TCGTTTGCTTTTTTTAACATCATTTATTATATTTTCACTTTTTTCATATTATATATCTCTTTGTTCTAATTTTAATTAACTCTTAAATTAATATAGTTTATCTTGAACTTAATTAAAGAATATCTTTTTCCTAGAGCTAAATTTTCAAAAAGCTCTCATCATTTTCCCATCACTCGTTATTCAAAAGGTACATTTTTATCAAGAAAAAATTGATTTAAAACTGAATAAAGTAAGTATTGGTAAATGTGTTTAATAAAAAACAATTCTGTGTCTATAAAATGTGTATAATGTTCGATATGATAAATAGAAAAGTCATTTAATTGAAAACTGGAGATTAAAAAAATATAAAAATAAATTAATGAGAGAAAAAAGCAGATTATTTGCTGGATTACTTTAACCAAAAATTAATTACAAAGAAAAAATTAAAAAAAAGGAAAATATTGAGCGCAATATATTTTAATATTATATATTATGCATTAATATTTCAATCGTAAAATATTTCAATTTAATTAAACTGATATAAATTCTATAATAGATGATTATGTGATACGTGTATATTATATCTATATTTATTTGCAATGTAGATAAAAAATGCAGCTATATAAAAGAACAATCATGTGCAGAAGGAATTATTTATTTACATTTTATTATATTATATTTTGTTTCAGTAAAAGAATTTAAATTGATAATAGATTTAGGTATCATATTTATAGGTTTTATTATATTATACTAGCAATTGATTTTGACTGTTAAATGTTGCAGATATACAAGTTTCCTTGTGAAATATTACGTGTATGTACATTTGAAATAAGAGGGCATAGATTTTATACAGACGAAATAAAATAAATATTTATATTTATTATATAAATTTTTTATATAAATAAATACTTATATGTTTTGAGTATCCATGATATTCAACGTTTAGTTTTCAAATAATTTCGTTGCAGAAACACGAGAGGATGATGAAAGACATATTTATATATTATATTGATATATTATATATTTTATTTGTGTGGAGTAATATTTATATATTTTATTTGTGTGTAGTAATATATAATATAATCTCAACGATCACTCTCTGAAAGATTTTGCAGCAGAAATAAACGAGAGATGGAATAGCTACTAATTTGCATTTTTACTTTTCTATTGTGCTCTGTTTTTGAAAATAATGGGAAGATAAAATATAAATTGTACATCGGAGTGATAGATTTTTATCATACATTATCCAAAACAGCTGATTTTGACAAGAGATATAACAAGTAAGAAAAATTACGTGTAAAATGTCACAAACACATTTGAAATAAAGAGCGCAGATTTTTTAAGATAATTTGAGAAATTAAACGAATATGTATTTATCTTTTTGTATTTATTTTTTAAATATTATGTATATAATATTATTTTATATTATATTATATTATATATATATATATATATGATATTATTTTTTTTAACTTTTGATATTTAAAATATATTAACAATTTATGCAGATAAATCATTTACCACAATTATTCATATTTAAGTTTTTTATCGTCACCATTTTGTGAATTTGATGTAATGAATGATAAAATCATTACATTCTTAGTTTCTATTGTACGATAATGCAGAGATTTGTGGGAGTTTATCTTAAGATTTCTTTTAAGAGTTAGTAAATTTACCTACATCTTCGCTTGACAAACATGCCATTTCAGCTACTCGTCTTTACGCCGTCGACTTTCGAATCTTTACTCATAATTAACATATTCCACCTCAAAGCTTGATGCAAAAAAGTAATCATTTCTAATTTAATATGTCCAAATATCATACGATTTATTTTATTCATGAAAAATATTTCAAGAATACTTTGTTTTGTTGTTGCGAAAAGATAATTTACATTTGTACTTTATTATATACATGGGATAAAAGGATTAACTCATTTATTTTGGTATAATGCTTCAATTTATTTACAATAATATTAGTTGTTTTTAAGTGATAATAAATCATATTATATATTAGCAAAAAATGATTTGGTGAAATGTGTCAAAAGTTGATTGACCTTTTCGCATTCAATTTAAATATCTTAGAATCCTTTCGTAATAAATAAAAATTTTACGTATTCCCATGTCATCGATAGATGATGTACAAAAATTACAGCAACAAGTAGAAAATGTGTGTAACATGAATAAGAAATATATAGCAGGAATAATTTTTAATTTCACAATTGAAATTACAAATTTCACTATTAAATTAAAATAAATTAAAGAAATTTTAATAAAAATCGAAAAGACGAAAATATTTAATTATTTAATTATTTATTTTATTTAATTATTTTATTTAATTATTTTTAAAATATTTCTTGTAAATAATAAAAATATGATTCAATAATAAAAACATTGTAAAATAAACAAGTCATTTATATCATCACAAACACGAAAATCTTCTATCTTTGATCAATTTTGCAGTTTCTAATATCAATTATATACGAAATTATTACATTCAATTTTTTATGTATAAATAATTATTAATAATAAAATTTTTTAACCAACAAAAAGGGTTCAGTCCTTTTCGGAAATTGGGGATTTGTTTAAGTATGATCCAAACATGTTTTAGTGATTTTATTATACTATGGCAGATGTTAAATTATATTATGACAAATCGCTAATCATCTGGTTACAAAATGAACCAGGCAATTCTTCAAAATAGAAATTTCAAAAAATTAAAGCCTTTTGATATAAATTTACATTCAAGGAATTATACAAATTGAGTAATTAATTATAGAATTAATTATTGTGTGATATACAAAAGTATAAAATATATTTGATCAAAATGAAGTATAATTTATATGAAGTATAATTATGTATTTAATTTCTCACTTTCTCTCTCTCTCTCTCTCTCTCTCTCTCTCTCTCTCTCTCTCTCTCTGTCTCTCGTATACATATAAAATATTATAAATATAATAAATATAATAAATTATTAATAATTAAGATATTTATTAAAATATGCAGAGTGACATTTGGTATTGTTAATATATTTAGAAAAGGAAAGATAATAATTTGCATGAAAAATTAAAATAAAAAATCACACAGAATAATAAAATATAAAAAACTTCTGCTTTTTTACATTTATTGAATTAAATTAATAAATAATATATAATTGTGTTAAATCATTATCTAAATTATAATGTTCTCTTCATTGATAATCCTGTTAGCTTGAAAAATGTTGAAGATACATCGAGACTGACAATAAACGCTCAAATCTCCATCTTTTAGAATGTAATCGAGGATTCTATATGTTCTATATATAATGTTTTATATATTCTATGTTAATGCTCTTTATTGACATATTCACTGAACTATTATGCATATTTTTTTACTAATGTCATATAATCCGACTACTTTATTATATTATATTTAGGGACACTCTTCTTTGGAAAAAAAACTAAAATAGAAAAACATTGACACCTGGAAAATATCGGATAGACATCTGCTTGTCTCTAAAGATATCGTAGCTGCTTCAAAACTCATAATAAATTATAGATGTACTGAGTCAACAGAGCCGGACATGTGGTATGCATATACTCTCACTTTCTCTCTGTCCATTAAACTTCCGTATTTATTGTTGAGATTGCCATAAGCGATTTTCAAGATTAATTTGTAACGAGTAAATTTCTAAATTAAAATATGTTTTTTATATGTTTAATAGCTTCATGGTCACTCTCGGCATTTATACAAAATGATTTCATCACAGATTTTATGCTATGTATCCATATATAACATGTAAAATGTAGTATATGTAATTTAATAATGTTAATTAAAAAATACATAAATTATTCATTAATGATTTAATAATTCATGAAATTTTATTTATTTTAAATTTTGCAACATTATTAAAGCAAAAATTAAAAATTTGCCAATAAAAAAAGTAAACATCTGTAAATTTATATTATTCAGATGCTGTTAAAATTATTTTTAATATGATACATTTAAAAGATCATTTTCTGTCATAATTGATCCATCATTACTTTTGTACACTTGATGTCAAAATATCATTGTATGCAAATTAGTATACTACCGTAAAATTAATACTAATAAGCAACGCGTAAAAGACGAAAACAAAACCTTAGTTTTTATATTTGTAAATATAAAAATTAAATATGTAATTTAAGTGATGCTATTCAAAAATTATTAAAATTATTTTTTATCCATTTTCTATAAATATAAAATATAAAAACGCAAATTAAAATAACTATGCAATTTCAATGCAAATGATCTAATTATGAAAAAAACATAATATAATTAATATAATATAATATAATTTATAATATTACCAGAATTCTGATTAAATTATCACATGCTAAATTAAAAATAATTTTATATAATTTATATTATACGTAATTTAAGTTTTGTACTTCAATATATAATTATTTATACGTATGAGTGATTTGCATGTCTGCTACCTTTTCATCTCTTTGATAGTAAAAGTGATTCATATCTATATGATAGCACATGTATAGATTATTAAACTTATTGAGTGCTTAATCAACAGTGATTTTTGTATTAAATTATACATCTTTGCATCGATCGTAAGCAATATCAGTTAGGAAGGAAGAAACTTCCGAGAAGTCGTTCGGCTTCGATATAATTACCGCAACACTGTTTATATATTGACGCGGTTACTGCCGGCGTGGGTGTTGAAACGGCATATGTGTAAACAGCAATAAAACACGTAGTGCGGTCTCGGATAGGTAACCGCCTCCCTACGACAGTATGTAAACGGGTGTTCCCTGGAAAACCATCGATGGGGCGGGGTTGAACCGATTTTTAGATTCTCGTGTCAAATGAAACATCGTTGGAAAAGACTGGATGTACCGAAGTCGTGATGAGTCTGTGTCCTAATCGACAGGGTACCGTTACATCAGTGCAAATCATTCTTTCCTTTTTCCCAGGCAAGAGAATCTTCTAAAAAATAAAACTGACGTAATATTATATTAATTATATTTTTTTTATTAATATATCGGACGATAATATTCAGAAATTTTCGTGCCATTAAAAAGTTTCCTCTTGAAGACAATAGCGTGAAAAGTGCGGGATCTTAAGAGACATTCTGCTTCTCTTGTTCTGGATAGTCAAAAGGATGGAGCCAAGTTATCACAATCAAGTTCCAAGTTTTCTCGAGAATGCAAAAAGTCATACGTACGATCTTCGTCGGTGTCCGGAGTACTGGTGGATGTTTCCGACTGATGAAACATTATCTGGGACGTGCACAATGAAATGCATCTACGGATTCACGAACGTCGTCGTTCCGGAGATGCTGCGCGCTGACGTTTCCGGGCCGGTCTTGTGCCAGTCATCGAGACCAACGTCTGCAATTATCAGTTACAAAACCCCGCATTACGAGAAGCCCCCGTATTCCTACATTGCTCTAATAGCGATGGCCATCAATTCGTCGCTGAAACGTCGACTGACGCTCTCTGGAATTTACCAATTCATCATGGACAAGTTCCCTTATTACAGAGAGAATCGGCAAGGTTGGCAGAACAGTATAAGGCACAATCTTAGTCTGAATGATTGCTTTGTAAAGATCCCGCGAAATAAGACCGTGGATCACGACGATGATCATACAATTGGAAAAGGGAGTTATTGGACGCTGGATCCATCCGTCAGCGAGATGTTTGAATACGGCAATTATAGACGAAGGAGAACGAGACGGCAGCGGACTTTTGCTCAAGAGATGCAGAAGTCTGCGAGAATATCGGTATAAAGAAATTTTATCTTCTGCGAGACAATCCACGTTAAAGTTGCACAAGATATTAAGATTAATCTTGATATTATATTATTTTGCTTCGAAACTAGAGGCAAGATCAAGACAAGATTGTTAGATAAGTATAATATAAGTAAACAATATCACTATTTGATTAAAGTGTGATATATTATATAATACAAATTTCAAAATCTTTATTTAATAAATTAAATGATTTATTTTAGAAAATGTAGAAATAATTAATACAATAAATAAAATAAACAATATAATAAAAATATAATAAATTAAATAAATATAATAAATTATGTTATCTTAAATTATGTTATAAAGATTATGTTAAATATTATTTTAAATAATTGTTCAATATTAAATAGGAATTGTTAATAAATTTGAGACAAAACGATGTCAAACGAGATTTGCTATAAAGATTCATTCAAGACTAACGATAAGACAAGATTTAAGTTTTCGAAAATTTTCAATATCATCAACACAATTTTTATTTGCAAATATTGTTTTGTTTTGTATCTTGTGCAATCCTATGCGTACACGATATTGTTTAACTTTTCAAAATAATATCTAAACATATTACTAAACGCCACATGTGTTTTATCCAAGATTAGACTTTTGATTACATCATATCTATTTTTTTATATTGTAAAAATGCAAATTTATATGATCGTGAAATAATTTTACGATACTGAAATGTGAGTTTCAATTGCAGGTTGAACTTTTACCCAATTTAACAAAACGTCAAGAGAAACTTCAGCTACAAAGTAAAGTTATTGAAATAAATGAAGAAAATACCACGGTGCAAGATACTAAAATCGAATATACGAATTCTCCAGAACCCATTGCTAAAACAGTGACATTTAGTATCGACAACATTTTACAAAAATCTGCGAGATAGTCGCAAATACAGTTTCTATTGAAAAATGGTTTCGATAATATTAAAATATAATAATGATGACATTCTCTCTTGTGACATCACACACACACACACACACACACACACACACACACACACACACCACACGAAATCAATAAAATAATACTCCATTTTTTAGAAAAATGATATCTTCTTCTATAAATTATGTACATCTATAAATTATGTACATTATAAATAATGTAATTATATATATTATAAAACGTTCCAATGTGTGTGCTCTCTAGTATTCAGATTAATTTAATGATTATATACAGAAATATATATTAAAAACATTTATATATTGTATTTCAAACAATCTCTTTTACTTTCTAAAATAATAAGTTTAAGATATAGAAATATGAGAATATTTATGTATAATTTTAATATTTTTATTTTAAATAAACAATTGATTAAAAAGAATAATGAGAATGAATTGATATCTCTATGAAAGTAGCTGTCAACCAATCTCTAAATCATCGATTTCATCTTCAGGCATATCGATACAAAATTTATAAGAAGAGTTACTGCCTTAAAAATTATAAAACAAATTCGAATGGAAACTAATGGTTACATTTAAAGTAATTTTCTAAATTTATTTTCTCTATTTATTTATTGTATTTATTTAATCTTTTGTCTTCTAGAAAATTATATACACAACAAATAAACTTATAATTGAATTAGAACTAGATTTTTAAAATATTTTTTAATACATTGTATTTATTGTATTAATTGTAAGTATAACTATTTAGTTTGATACATTAATCTATGGGTATGTGTGTAAAACGCTTGCCCCTTGATTCTAAATTATTATTTCAGATTCTTTATTTATGATACGCATTGAATTTAATACTGACAATTTTAACTGTGTATAGATAACAGGCGAAATTAAATATGAAATGTTAGTGTACATTTGAAATTTGAAAAAGAACAGATTATATACAAGAAAAATAAAATAAATAGTTATGTTTATGTATGTTTTGTGTAACAATGTTATTTCGATTTATTTTCAAATAATTTCACCGCAGAAACATGTGAGAAGGCAATAAAGGTCATATTTATACTTTGTATGTGTGGCAATTTAATCTCAACAATTAGTTTCCGAGGGACCTCGCAACAGAAAGCACGAAAAGATGGAGCGGTTACTTATTTGCATTTTCACTTTTCTATTATGTTTTGTTCCTGAAAATATTGGTAAGCTAAAATACTAATTGTACATCAGTGTGATTTTTTATCATGCTAAATAGTTGATTTTATCTGTTATAAATGTAATATAAGAAAGATTAAATGTAAAATCACGAACATATATGAAATATAAGAGATGCGGATTATAAAAGGTGTCCTAGGAAATTGACAGATGTGTATCTTTATTATAATTTTTTAATACGTGTGTTATCTTAGATATCATATGTATAATATTTATTTTCTTTTTACTTTTTTGATTTTTAAAATATATTATTTTTCATTTGTGTAGAGCGAGATTTTTCATTGTGTAAGCTGTTTTCTTTCGTACACAATTATGCATGTATTTAAATTTTTATTCGTTACAATTTTTACGAATTTGATTTAATATAAGTGATAAAAATCCTACAATCTTAGCTTTTATTTCAATGATGCAAAGCTTTGAAAAAATTGACTTTATGATTTTTTTTTTAAACTTGACAAAATTATATAAATCTTGGCAACACATTCCATTTCAGCACTTTACACAGTCGACTTTCAAATCATTATTTATAATTAAAATATTTCATCTCGAAACTCGATGAAAAAAAGTAATAATTTCTAATTTAATATGTTCAAATATTACACAACATTTATTTTATTCATAAGAATACCTATTATTTTCAGGAATATGTCTATTTTCAAGAATATGTCTATTGTCGAAAGCTAATTTGTTTGTATCTTTATTTATTATACGCATTGTGCGAATAAAGAATTACCCTATTCATCTTGTTTCAATGCTTAAATTTACTTATAATTAGCATTAGTCATTATTAGATAAAATTTAAAATCAAATTACCGTATGCAATACGAGTAGAGGAAAAAATTTTTTAAATTCGCAATTTTCTATTAAATTAAAATATAAAGAAATTGTAACAGAAATTTGAAAGAGGACATTTAAAATATCTCTTGTAAACATCAATAAAAACATGATCCAAGTACACCGCGAAGTCAGATACGTCATTTATATCATATTTTGTGATTTTTAGTAACAATGATATATTCAATTTTTTATCTATAAATAATTACTAATAATAACAATTTTTTAAATTAACAAAGCAAAAAAAGGATTCGGTCCTGGAGAACAAGAATGGGGCTTTGTTCAAGTACGTCCCTATGCAAACATGTTTTGGTGGCTTTATTATACTACAGCAGATGTTAAATCATATTACGAAAAACCGCTTATCATCTGGTTACAAGGTGGACCAGGCGGATCATCGACTTCGTATGGAAATTTCGAAGAACTAGGACCTCTTGATATTGATTTATATCCAAGAAATTACACTTGGGTAATCAATTATTACGTGATACAAAAACATATAAAATATATTCTGTCAGAGTTAAACATTATATCTATTTATTTCTTAGTCGAATGTATATAAAATATAAATTATTAATAGTGGAAATATTATTTTTACCCAAATGTATAGAGTGACTCATTATTATTAACATATAATATGTGGAAATCACTCACTATTATTAATATATAATATTTGGAAATGTGGAAGAATCATAATTTATTAAAAAAATAAAAAAAAATTACAAAATAATAAAATATAAAAAACTGCAACTTTTCTATTAAAATAAGTTTGTAACTTACAATTTTTAATATATAATTATATTTGTGTCATAGGTCAAAAATTACAATGTTCTCTTCATTGATAACCCCGTTGGTACCGGCTTTAGTAAGGCTGAAAATATATCGGGATTCGTGAAGACAAACGCTCAGATTGCGAACGATCTTTTAGAATGTATTCGAGGATTCTACAAGGAATTACCAAAATTTAAACCTGTTCCAACGTATATTACTACTGAATCGTACGGTGGAAAAATGGGCGCGGAATTTGCGCTTGTCTGGAATCGAGTAAGAAAGACAAATATACTTATTAAAGCAAATTGATGAGTACAAAAACAATTTGTATAAATTTATTTAAAGAAATATCGATTATTTTCGAAAAGAGGAAGAATATTAAACTTAAAAAAAGAAATTTTATCAATTATATAAGATGCTCTTAATATGAAAAAAATCTTTTTCTTAGACACCTTTTGAAATATCTATTTTATTATTGAAGATCTTCGTATTCTTAATATTTACTAAAATATAAGATAGTATGGAAACATTTGAGCTCATTGCTTGTGTGCTTTTAAATCATTCAACGACATTAAGCGAATGTACTCGTGGAAAAATATGGATTTTGCAAAAAATATCACATAAATTTTTTGTAAAAATATACATAGGTTCTCGAGAAAAAATGGACTTATGTAAATTCATATATAATTATTATATGATCATGTATAAATAATTATATGAGATAATATATATAATTATTATTTATTATAAAATTATATGTATAAATATCATAATATAGTAATAGTAAATAATCAATTATAGCAAGAGAAAATATATATAACACGCGTATATCAAACTTAAATCAAACATTATACTTAAATAAATCAGGAAACGAGTGCATTTTATTGAGACAGTAATTATACTTTCAACATTGTCCAAGATAGAACTTCGCGCGATGTAAAAACATGAATCAAAATAGTAGTAGAATATTACAGGATTTCCATATAATATTATTTGCTTGCAGATTATCAATTAAGCATACAAAAAAATGTGTCATAGATCCGGATGTAAAATCTGCTGTTGAGATTTATAGGAATATTATTTTTTTTCCTCTTATTTTGAGAAACAGAGACATACTTCTAAAGTATGATAAAGAGTTGTAAATGTAATAATATTCTTATAATGCTTTGTCGCCTTTTTCAAAACCATCAATTTTCTTTAGCAGCAGGACTGCTTGAATATTAGACAGAATTTTACCTTGAGCAATAGTCACTCCGGACAATAATTTATTCAGCTCGTCATTACGAATAGTCAATTGCAAGTGATGTGGAATTATCCTAATTCATAATCAGCTGATTATATATGAGAACAAATATGATCGAATATAATAATAAAATTGTTATATAAAAATAATATAAAAATAAAATCACTGTTTAGATGTTATTGTATATATAATTATATAAATTATCATATAAATATAATTATATAAATCATCATATATATATAATTATATAAATTATCATATATTCGCATCTAATTATATATATTTACATCTAATCATATTACATCCATTTTTTCTCGGATTGTATTAATCATATAACAAAGCACAAAAAAGAGCTCGAAATTCGTAGATTCTTCATTGAAAAAAGTCAACAAATAATTTTCTAGTAGAAATTTCTCTAATATAAATTGAAATAAGCTTATTTAAATTAATACAAAAAAATTACAATGCAGACAGTTTGTTTCTACATTAAACAAGTTTTCAATCTATACTCGATCGAAGAAATTATTAGCATTAATGAGAGAATTGTGATCATTGTGAATAGATAAAATAGGGTAATAAATAGAGGCGTGCAAATCTGCTCTCACTCCCGCTCGTTCCCGACAGCGAGACTGGATTCTCGAGAATCAGATTATCGGGAGCGCTGTTATCGAGAATAGAGGTTCGGGAACGAGCGAGTCCCGAGTCCCGATGTTCTATTAGATGGAGAGGGGATAGATTTCGACCACTTTCTAGTAATAAAGTATACAGTAAATGTATGCAACCGCTAAATAAAAATGCCTCTGTTACAGTTCTAGTTGATCTATCATTCTCCACTGTCCACTTATGATCTTTTTGGATGTCCTGACGCTCTAAGAATCCATGGCATCCAACTTTCTAACAACATCCATTCCTTCGATGACTTTTCCAAACATAATATGCTTTCCATTGAATCAACTCTTGGCGCCAATAATAAAGAAACTGACTGCCATAGATGTTGGATTTTAGCATTTGCCATAGAAAGTAGCGAATTCAGTATGAGTAAGCTTATAATTTTCATCCTCGAAAAATCACTCAACGATATTAAGCGAATGTACTCGTGGAAGGATTGGATTTTGCAAAAATTGTCGCACAAATCTTTTATAAAAATATGCATAAGGGTCTGAGAAAAAATGATCTTATGTACCATATGGCACCATAGATTTAGTGCCAGTATTGTGATTGATGAAACCATTCATGTGGCACATGAAATTCGGAATCACCCTGTGGAAATTGCTACCCTTGTAGCCTTTCTCTCCAGTGCAGACAACGCGGAAGTTTATTTAGCTATTGCATACATTTACAGCACAATTCTCTCATCAATGCTAGACAGGCCCACAAAAAAAAACACAGGCCCACAAAAAAAAGGTACTGTGCTGACGCTCTGATTAGGCTAGTCTTATGTATTTTGGAATTCGCTGAATTCGAATCTGACGTCAGAATTGCTCCATCACATCACAGTTTTTTTAAATTTCAAAAATAGACAAAACATATAACATATTTCATCAAAAATTCGTGCATTTACATATTAATTGTGTTGTTTTAACCCTTAGAAACGGTGAATATTAACTCAACGCAGAAATATTAAAATAACGCAACGATAATATGTTATATTAACATGAGAGTATATTAAAAATTCAACATAAAGATTTTTACACCAGAAAATCTTAACAGAAATACAAAATGATTTTTACCGTGTAAGACTAACTCAGATCGCCAGCACAGGGTACTTATTTTTTGTGGGCCTGTATAATTTTTCCGATCGAATATAGATTGAAAACTTGAATAATGTAGAAACAAATTGTCTGCATTGTAATTTTTATTCCTTAGGCCCAAAATGCTGGCATTATTGAAAGTAATTTAAAGGGAGTTGCACTTGGGGACGCTTGGATTTCTCCTATCGATTCTGTAATGACATGGGCGCCATATCTACTCAACATGGTATTACATATTTAATTATTCATTGCTTTTGTGATATTTGTACGCAATCTATTATAGAATGCACCAATTTTATCAAAACAGATCAAAATAATAAATAATACTGAAAAAGAAAGGAAAACAAAAATAATCCAATAAAGTAATTTACTAGTTTCCTCTACTCCATCTTTCTTCTCTTTGTTGGCTCCCACTAATTTTATGTAAAATTTTCATGATTTATATATGTTCTTATTAAAACTCTTGAATATTTTTCACAGGGTGTAATTGACAAAGAAGATTTTAAAGAAATTGAAGCTGATACAAAAGTGTTAAAAGAAAAAATAGAAACAGGTAAATGGAAAGAAGCAACTGATTATACCAGTTATATGCAAGCTAACATTTCTAGAAAAACTTACAATGTTGACTTCTACAATATTTTGTCAAAGATATATCTATGCTCACATTGTTTATCACCGCTTTCGGCTGGAGGTATATGATTATTTAACATAATAAATGATAACATAATAATTATTATCACATATATATATCGTTCTTTTTAACAAATTGCAGATCCTATTTTTCGATATTTTATTCAAGTTGGGACTCAGTCACTTTATGATTTGATGAATGGCCCAGTAAAAGAAGCGCTCGGACTTAATATTACTCATATTATCCAATCTGGCAAAGTTTACGATTTCTTAAGAGAAGATTTTATGAAACCTGTTACTAATATAGGTATCAATTAAATATGTGATATATGTATTAGTCAAATAAAAATAAGAGAAAGAAGATTGTATAACTTAATGCATTATTTCTAAGTTAAATGAATGTAAAAGCTTAATAATTCATAAGTTTCCAAAAAAACTGTTGAATCAATTTTCATAAGTTATATGAATTCATACAGTAAAAAGAAGATGGATAAGATTCGTAAATACGTGTGTAAATTTGAAAGACGCAACACATACATTTCAATATATTTAGACGTATTTGTTGCGTATTTTTCGTGAAGTGTCAAGATATATTATTTCTCGTAATGTAATTGCAGCTTATATTTCATAATAATTATAATTTAAAATTCGAATATATTTTGTTTTAGTGGAGCAATTACTTAATGAAACCAATTTGAATGTATTCGTATACAACGGACAATTGGATTTAATTGTTGATACACCGGGTAAGTTAATTTGTTTTATTCTAGTACAACCATAAACATATTAACTGTCTATAAGTATAACATATGAGTAAAGTTAATAGTATTAATACAAATAAAATAATTTGTAAGAACTTTTTATAATTTTTATAATTAACATTAAAACACATTACAGTAATTTTAAATGTATCTAAATAATAAAAATATATTAATAAATTGAAATATTTCGAGATCAAAATCTAAAATAATCAAACTAGAAATTTTTCAGATGAGTAAATAGAAAAATTTTTTAATTTTTTCCTTCGTATTTTAATAATATTTTTCAGTGATTTTTATTAAAAATTAGTCAAGATTTAAAAGATATTATTAATGTTCTAATTAATTTAGAATCTATTTTGTGGAAATCAAATACTGTATGAAAATTTTGAGACATATTTAAGACGTACACTTTGATACAATAATTACACATTATAACTGTAAATATACCATTATTATCAAATTCCTGCATTGGCTTTTACAGCCATTTTGTATTTTAATTTGATTATATTAATAAAAAAATTATTCTTTGATATTATTTTATTCTATTTTTTTAATTTCTTTATATAAAATTATTATTTCCTAATTACATTGCGAATAATAAAATGTTTTTTTATATTTTATGTTAACGTTTTTACTGATATATTATTCATTGAATTATTGTACATATTTTTTTACTAATATCATACAATCCACGGTTACTTTATTATACTTTAGGCACTCTTCGTTGGATAGAAAAATTAAAATGGAAACACATTGACACCTGGAAAACCTCCAAGAGGCATCCGCTCATCTCTCAAGATATCATCGAGGGCTACTTCAAAGCTTACCATAATCTCAGGGTGTACTGGGTCAATAGAGCCGGACATATGGTATGTACATATACTCACTTTTCATTAAACTCCTGTATTTATTGTAAGATCGTTGCAAGCAATCCTCAAGACTAATTTGTAACAAAATTTCTAAAACGAAATATATTCTTTATAAATTTAATGTCTTCATATTCACTCTCGTCACATATGCAAATTGATATCATTATAGTTTTTCCATTGTATCCATTATATCCATTGATATATAAAATGCAATTCACGTAACATGGCAAAGTTAATTCAGAGACGGAAAAGTTTCTTACAGTATATAATTAATAATAAAGTTATATGATATAGAATTAAAATAATTAGATGTAATTAAAAATTTTAATGCAGAGAAGATTGACTCTCTTCTATGGACGAATAAAGAATACTTTTGATTAATAAAAATCTTCAACAGAATTATTGAAAATTAAAATACAAATTAAAATATACGGCAATTATATTTTATAGCAGCATTAAGTTCTCTTTCTATAATCCATCATTATTTTAAAAAAAAACACAGATTTAATCAATAAAATTACGTTGAAATAATTTTTTTTTTTTCATAGTTTTTTAGAAGCATAGACTGTGCCTTTTTTAAAATGATAATTTTTTTATCATGATTGACCTGTTTTTAGATACTTGATATTGAAATGTCGTATTTCTTGTTTTATACATATATATTAATTATATATCTAACGCATTTTAATGTATATATAATTTTAATTGCGCAGGTTCCAGCAGACAATCCAGCTGCTATGGAAGTGATACTACAGCATCTGACAACCTGACATGTCAGTAACAATATGAGCAAAAATTAGTTTTTATATCATAAACAAAAGCAAAAATTAGCTTTCATATTTGTAAATATAAAAACTAAATATATGATCTAGATGATGCTACACTTAAATTATTAAAATTATTATATATTAAATTAAATTATTAGAATTATTATTTATTCGTTTTTCTGTAAAATTTAAAAAAAAGTCAAAATAATCAAAATAATCATGTAATGCATTCCACTGCAAGTTATCTAATTGTTGAAGAAAATAATTTTGATTACATTATTATATATTCTATTGTATAATATATATTAGTATATATTATATATTAATATATATTATATATATTATATATATTATATATATTATATATATTATATATATATATTATATATTAATATATATTATATATATTATATATTATTTATATTATTATATATATTATATATTATATATTATTTAATATATGCGATTTGTATTTCATAATTATTTATTCATGTCTAATTTATGTTTTTTATCTAACTTTTTATCTCTTAAACAAATTATTATAATAAATTATAAAATTATTATAACAAATTATTATAACAAATCATTATAATAAATTATTATAATAAAAATGATTTACACCTGATAATTTGTATTAATTTTTTTCTTATATTTATTTAATGTTTTAATATAATGTGACTGAGTAAGAGACCCAAAAATAAGTGTCAGACATGTACGTTTTTACATCGTTATTAAACATTAATTGACATTAATATACATCATTGATAATAATTTTTATCAAGTTTTCTATATTCGTAATGGCCTTTTATTAATCCTATTTAAATAGTTTTTATTTTTATTATTTTTTTTAGTGCAACGTAAGATCTGATTTACCTATTTTACTCATCATAAATTTTAAAACATATAACATGTGTTTAATATTCTAGTACAAGTAAAAAATTAAAATTTATACTTTAAATAAAAATTTAAAATTTCAATATTGAACAAAAAAATCGATAATATTATCGATTGTCGACCATAATCTGTAATCACCGCTCACTGGTGTAGGCCTACCTAGCCTATGTGTTGAAAATGAGTGGGGCGTGATAACTGTCACATAACTGTTGTTTTTTTGCTGCATTAATTTTTTTTGTCCGATAAACGTTATCGTTACTGGCAATGGTCTGACACAGTAGACCGAGAATTTAGAGGGAACTGTTGGTTATGTGTTGACAGCCGACATGGCAACTAGCGATGGTAGACGTGTTGCTCTAATAACAGGCATAACGGGACAAGTAAGATTAAGTATACATTGAATTCGTCACAGGCAGTTTAATTCTATATTGCATTTTATATTAAAAACAGTGAATAGTGTTTCAATTTTTAGATAGGGTTTGCTTTACTGAATATATTTTTTATTATCTTTATACTATTATCATTTACGTTTTAAGATGTAACAATATAATTTAAATTGCATTTACAGTCTCTTTTATTATTGTTACTATTTTAGGATGGCTCTTATTTGGCAGAATTTTTGCTGGAGAAGGGATACGATGTGCATGGTATTATCAGACGAGCCAGTTCATTTAATACCGGTCGCATTCAGCATCTTTATGAAGATCCAAAATGCCATCGCCAAGGTAAAATGAAGTTGCATTATGGCGATATGACTGATTCCAGTAGTTTAATTAAGGTCATAAGCGCAGTACAGCCAACAGAAATTTATAATCTTGCGGCACAAAGTCATGTTATGGTTTGTATATTGTATCAAATACATATATATAACATTATATTATCTAAATATTTATATAAAGTAAAATTAAATTTGATATTTTCTATTTTATAGGTGAGCTTTGAAGTGAGCGAATATACTGCAGAAGTAGATGCAGTAGGAACAGTAAGATTATTAGATGCAATACGTACATGTGGCTTAGAAAAGTCTGTAAAATTTTATCATGCATCAACTTCTGAACTTTATGGTAGAGCGGTAGAGGTACCACAAAATGAAAAGACACCATTTTATCCACGTTCTCCATATGGTAATTGAAAGAACAGAAAGCAGACGCACATATTCCCACATATACATATACATATATTATATATATATATATATATATACATATAATTCCAAATTTTAGCTTGCGCAAAATTATATAGCTTCTGGATTGTTGTAAATTATAGAGAAGCCTATAATATGTTTGCATGTAATGGTATATTGTTCAATCATGAGAGCCCACGAAGAGGAGAGAATTTTGTCACAAGAAAGGTGACTAGGTCAATAGCAAAAATACAGTTGGGATTGCAGGATGTACTTGAATTAGGAAACTTAGATGCAAAGCGAGATTGGGGCCATGCCAAAGATTATGTAGAAGTTAGTATGGCTACACTTTATTTACTAAATTAAATAGTTTAAATTTCTAGATATATATAATTTATATTACATAATGCATATGTATGTGTAGGCAATGTGGTTAATGCTCCAACAAACACAACCGGATGATTATGTCATAGCAACGGGAGAAACTCATAGTGTAAGAGAATTTGTAGAAACAGCATTCCAATATATAGGTCGTACAATTAAATGGGAAGGAAAAGGCATAAATGAGACAGGACAAGATGCACAAACTGGTCAAGTATTAGTTCGCATAAATCCAAAATTCTTCCGTCCAACAGAAGTGGTAAGATATTATAATCATTTTATAAATTATGAGAAATTAAAAATAAATTTCTAGGCGTAGATTTGATCTTTCTTTTCTTGTGCAGGATATACTTTTGGGTGATGCATCAAAGGCAAGAAATAAATTCGGATGGAAACCAACAATCACATTTGAGGTAATTTTCTATTTATTTAATACATTTATTTATTTAACTCTTTGTCTCTTAGAAAACCATATACACAAAAATAAACTTATAATTGAGTTTAGAAATTTTTTAGTATTTGTCTTTTATCATATTAAATATATATCTATTTAATTTGAATTAATCTTTGAAGTTTATCTCTCTTTGCTAAATTATTATTTTATATTTTTGATTTATAATATGTGTACTAAGTTTAATATACCAAAATATATGTAATTAAAATTTTTTAAATTTTATATATTTAATGAATTTCTGTTTTCTAATTTTATTTATAAACTTCTTAATCATTTAATCATATTCAGCTTAAAGAAGAAAAATAATAGGAATCAAAGAGTTAAATTAAATAATTTAAATTATTTTACATATTATAAATATATATAAACTGATAATATATATACATATAAATTGTAGGAACTTGTAAAGGATATGATGGATTATGATTTGGAATTAATGTCAAAAAATCCAAATGCTTAGTAATATTTTATATTTAAATTGTGATATGGAGACGTGCATTTTTCTCTGTGAAAGGCAATATATAAAAATTTATCTATATTTTGTAAATATTATATAAATATTTTTAATGTTTTTGAAACTCCTTCAGAAGTAAACAAATTCCTTTTTTTAAATATAATCTAATAATGATAATGTAAACATTAGTATTTCAAATATATGCAAAATGTAAAACAATCAAGGATATAACTATATAAGTATTAAATATATACAGAAAAAGAGAAAGAAGATGATATAGATAGCTGATGATTTTCATATTCAAATGATAAAATAAAAATGTAATCTTCTAATTAAGACAGAACCTATATTTTAAATATATATATATATATATATATATATATATATATATACATATAAATATACACTTTTTATTTTATAAGGACATGAATTTCTATTTTACGAGTATTACTAAGATTTTATGATCTTTTTGAAATATATATGTTAGTATTCTGTACAATTTCTGCCAAATAAAAAATTTATTTTAAGGGTTTTTGCATACGTTACTTTTGTATCTTTATGTAATTGTAAAAAATGTATAAAAATATGTTCTATTTATATAAATATTTATTTCACAACTTTTCTCTCTGCTTTAACATAGTCTTTTTATAACTCATTATATATTTAATAGCGATATTATTATTTGTAATCGTATTTGCAATTGTTAGGAAATATTTAACAGAAGCTTATAACATCTTTCTCTTCTCAGAATAAATATTTTTTTTATTGACAAGGAAATCCGGAAATTTTGATTTTGACAGAACTTTACATACGTGTGAAAGAGGGAAAACAAATAAATAAATTTAAAAATTTTCAATTGCTGCCAAAAAACGATTCTTAGAGAAACTATAAAATTTCGGGAAAATAATTTTTTTATAGAAAATTTTTTAATTTTATTCTTTCGATATCTCGAATAATTTTCGAGATATATCGAGAAAAGTAAAAAACCGCTTTTATATGAGGGATGGTTTCACCCCTTAAAATCGTTTTTGGGCAATAATTTAAAATTTCTAAATTCATTTATTTATCCTCCCCTTCTACATGTGTGTAAAGTTTCAAAAAGAATTTCCGTGCTCGCGAAATGCCCTTGTGAGAACGCATATTTATCGCATGCGCGAAAAGCTCGGTCCTCCGGGAATAGTGCCCCTCGCCCCTCTTCATTATTTCTCCCATTGTCGTTTACAAGATTGTAAACAATTCGTTCGGAGGAAGGATTGAGAGGAAGAATGCGATTGTCGTGGGTCAAAGGGAGGTACGCGCTTTGCTTACTAATTCTGCAAATAAAATTGACGAATTCGCGGACATCTTGGCGTTTAAACGCCGCCGACAAGGTCGTGAAGACGACCGATTACGTGAGCCCGATCGAGGATGATCCGATTTTTGATATTCTCGCAAACGGTATCATTATTAGCAATGGTCAGAGCTGGAGCAGGACTGCGACTCTGGAGAAACATGAGAAAGTGCTCTACTGTCAAGAGTGTAAAGCTTTCGCTAGTCAGGAGAGGTAATATCAACCGCATATCTGTTGTGTCGCATTGTTAGGTTATAAAATTATATCCATAGAATTAGATTTTTTTTAGCTACATTTTTTTATACTTTCAATTACCTCTCTCTTTCTCTCTCTGTATTTTTTTCTGTTATATTATGTATTTATATATCATGTTTCTCGATGGTATAAAATGTCGTATGCTTTTTGTAACATATTGAAGTAATAAGATATTATTTTGATTCAGAAAGGAAGCCAAAATCCTCTTAATCTGTGTGTAAATTTGCACGAAGCCTTTTCTTATGTTTTTATTATACACAAGCAATACTATTTGTATGATACATAATTTTTTTTTTTCTTCCTGTAGTTAGCGTTTTGTGTGTGGCTTGCTGTTGATTCAGTGTTAGAACAGCCCTAACTTTGGTCCCCTTGGCAGACGACTCTCGTCATTCGTGTTGAAGGACACAAAAAATATCAATGAGTCCTTTCCTCTGTCTTCGCAAGTGTCAAACGAGCTAGTGACATGCACCTCTGGCCAGCAGTGCGACAATATAATATTGGATTGTGGCAAGCCAGTAAATTTTACCTATTATGATAATCTGATTGGTGTGGCAAACAGGAACAAGCACCCATTGGTACCAGAACCCAATGTGGCACTCATGTTCAAGAAAAATGGTGGCAAAACTATTGATGTTGATATTGACTTGTTAGAAAAACGCTTGAAAAAAGCAAAGCGAGAGGTATTTATTTCAAAATTTCATTTAAATTACAGATATTCTGTATCAGATTTAAATAGAACAAAGGAACTCTAAATAGGAACATTTGATTAACATTTTTATTTTTTCAATAAACATTTTTACAAGAAATATAATTGCAATTCAGATATTTATACCTTTAAAATAATGTGTATATATATTAGCATAACTTTTCTAATTATTCTCTTTAAATGAGATTTTTTTTGTTTCAGAAACCAAAATCTGTCCAACTGTATAATCAAATAGGAAATTTTTGGCGTATTAAAGGCGATGCACAGAGATCAATTGAGTGCTTTCGTAGGGCACTTGCAGTATCTCCGCATAATGCAGAAGTGCTCTTGAACTTGGCTAGAGTATTACTGGTACAACATTACTTGGATGACGCGACATATTTAGCTAGGCGATCGTTAGAGTTGCAACCTCCAGATCGCAATGCATGGGAACAATATCTTACACTTGGACAAATATTCAAAGTATATAGACAATAACTTAATAGCAGTGTAATCAAATATCAATCAAATATATTCATATTTGTGTACTAAAATTACAATATACTGAAAGATCTTTAACATACAAGATTTAATTGATAAAAATTAGCGATAATAAAATAAAAATACAAAAAAAATTATAAAAAATAATGATTATATATAATTATATTAATAATTAACTAATTTTCTTGGCAACAAATTTTTCTTTCTTCATGCTTATTTATTTATCTACTATGCAAAATTCAATATAATTTAATAATTTACAGTTAGCATCTCAATACAATTAATTTAAATTTAATTTTTTGTTGTTCAATAAATAATTATATGCTATAACGAAAATATAAAAATAAGACTGATAGTTTTATATTCAAACAACAAATTTCTACAGAGTATACAGAGTATGTGATATAGAATTCAATATCATTAATTACATTTTTATCTTATCATTTTGCAGGCATATGGACACTTTCAAGAAGCAGCTGTTCATTTGCGTCACGCGCTAGAATTAAAACCAGACCTTTCTGACGCTGCCGATGCGTTAAAGGAAGTTGAATCGTTGCCGGCTGCGAGTATACATATCTATACGTTGCTGATTATCATTTGTTTGGTATGTAAATTAATTGATAATATATTTACAAATTTTATTTAGTCTCTATATTATATTTATTGACTATTAAAATTTCTAATATTTTTTTCAAAACTATTTAATATAACAAGTTATTTGGGAGATTTTACACAAAAACAGAATTTTCTCCTTTTTTTCTATTTATATCCAGAAGGCGGAAATTGTTATTGATATGATTGCCTGTTATCATTAGGTACTTGGTGTACTCTTGGTTGTGTTGAGCAGTGTAGAATGTGACGAGGATTCAACTCTAGTCAGTGGACAGCTTCAGCGTCCGGTACAACGACATTTTAGTCGTGCTATGGCTATGCGTAGTTTACGACTCAACGTTGCACGCAATAAACGTTGTTGATAATGATGACTCATTATTAGACGAATCAGTCGTTTCGTACAAGTAATAGAATAACTTTTCATTGCTATAACGACTTATATCCCTGCAAAATATTATTTGTAATACGATTCGTAACAATTCTTGGGATGCACTCTTTAACTATTTATTATGTATTGCGCGAAAAAGAGAATATATGAAGAAATATGCAAGAATTTTATTACTATCTGATTATGTCTTGTTACCTCCCCGAGCTTTTATCGAAAAGTAAATTCGATAAGTTTTAACGTTCATTCAATATTTATTCTTACTCTCTTAATGTGTTTACAGAAAATAAAAAATGGAATGTTACACACATACGCAATATCACACGCATTCATACACATAATATTATACATAAATTAGAATTACAATAATTCTCTTTTAGTTGCTATCACATATATATAATACGATATACACATTGCAGCAATTTCTTTTATTATCATATACATGAAATTAGAACAGATACAAGAGATATTTCAATGTGCCTTCCATCTATATCACTTTGTAATACGATATCTTATATTATTAATATACGATTAGAACTATGAATGTTAAGATGTTATACAGTGTTTCAAAAAAAGATATGACAGCAGCAAAATCTTGTTCTTAAAATTTATAATATCTTTAATACATTTATGATATCTTTGATCAGATCATGATTGCAGAAACAAATGTAAAGCTATGCACACAAAAAGAATTTTTACAATAAGGCGGAGTTTCTATCATATTTCAAAACATTGTTTCATCAAAATAAAAAATAATTCCGTGGAAATATCACTTATATGTATATAAATGGCAAGTATTATTTGTATTTATGCATTCATGTTTGCTTTTGACATTTCATAATTCCAGTTATTTGTTAAAGCCGTTATAATGATTAAAAAATTTTTTTTCAAATAATACAACTCATTTTATTAATTATAATGAATGATAATCACATCTTAAGCTAGTTACTTTTTTAATTAATATCAACACGGTTGTCCCTCTTTCCTTGGTCATTCTATGTTAAAAATAATATTTTTTACATTCACATACTCTACATTTATTTTCTATTCAATTCATTTACTATTCAAACATTGTTTCTTATGTATATAGTGTAGAAGTTCATTTTTAATGTTAAATATTATATAATTTTTTTGATTACTATTATTTTCATATATTTTCAAATATTTTGCTGTCATTCCATACTTTTTTTGAAACAATTCCAACAAGAAAAATCCTTGTAGAGAAAAAAAAAAGTAATATATAATAAAATTTCATCTAAAACATTCATTCAACAAGTTTCACCCTAACAATATTGTTTAACAAGATTATTTTATATTTTACATTAAAATTTAGTTGGATAATGTAAACAACATTGTACAATTTATGATTTAATTAACGAGTCATAAACACATACAGTATAATAGATTCTATTTCTTGTCATGAGACAACTACTGTTGTTCATTTATATTATACATATAGGCATGTGAAACATTTCTAATAACAAATGCATAATCCCTACATGTGAATGCACATGTAAAGTAAATTGCGCTTGCGATATTTCTCATTATTTCTTTACATTCAACCTAAAAAGAAGCAAATATTACTCAAACTCATTTTTATTTACATTATTTTAAATATAAAATTGTAATATTTTTCTCTAGACAGAAAAATTGTATTATCCTGCAAAAGAGATATAATAGAAGATCTAAAATTAATTTTCTAATGGTTTTCGTGAAACCATTATAGTAACAAATTTTAGAAACAAATATTTTTACACTCGACAACAAAATATTGTTTTTGTGTAGTATTATTAAATATTCTTCTTTTCTTTTATTAAAAATATTCTTTATAAAAATTTATCAATAATAATTAATATATTTGTGAGAAAAGAAAAATATAAAAAAATAGTTTTAAAAAAGATAGTATAAAGTAACATGAAAAAATCTGTAGCTATGAATTGTTTCATTCATTTCAATGAATGAAAATCTGATTTGTGATACAAATATATAATTTAATAAAGAACTTTATGGACATCCAGTGTATGAGAAAATTAGGCTCGTTTTTACAGTAGGCCTTCATAATATTTACAAACGTTGCAAGCGAATAGCCGAGACCAAATGGTAGTAACTTATCACACATATTTAATATAATATACTAATGTTAAAAAATTGTTGTTTGAATATCATATATGTAAAATTGATTAAATATTATATATATAAATATATATATATATATATATATATATATATATATATATATGAAATTTGTATAATCTGATTAAATGCCAATTTTTTAAAATTAATCTCCACTTTGTGTCTAATTATTCGACAAATTTTATAATTTATATTAATACTGAAATTTCTAGCAATTGAAGTATCTTTTCCCTTCTATTTTTTTGCTAGAAGAGACTTTAGTATGGCATTAATATAATTTGTAAAAGTCGGACAATTAAATATAAACTGGAAAATAATTTGTTATGAATTATTATTGATCATAAATTGAAAAAATATGTCTTCTCTTGTAAGTACTGAACGGATAGTGTTAATTATTGCAGTGTCTGGCTCAAATTTACTTCTAATTTATACTGCAGTTGATTTACTGGACTAGTTTATACAAGGCACTAAATACATCTTTAATATCAACATTTACACATGTAAAAATTGTATATCTAGATACATTGGATGTCCAAAAGCAATTGAGACAAACTTGAATAATATTTATAAGTACTAAAATTTTTCGCAATAAGTTTCCCTTTTCATGCTGCTATAATTTTTATCTCACACTATAGTACTAAAATAGTACTAAGATACATACTTAACATATGCATATACATACATTCATTCATATATACATGCATACATACACATACATACATAAGATTTCTACTATTCATATGTTGTTTCAATACAATCACTCTTGTGTATCTATTGTATAATCGATTATTTTAGCTATTTTAATATATATGGTGATTCAAAAATAGGTGGACAAATTTTGATAATATATTGGGATTTAAAATTTGACCATCTGTTTCAAAATTACTCTATATATAATAAAATATCTATACATATAATTTTAAAGTTAGAATTGTACCCAACTTGCATTGGGTACTGTAGGTGTGGATGCTGATGCTGGCTGAGAAGCACTGGCAAACTCACCCCACTCAGAACTTGTAACATCTTGATTCTGACTCTGTTGTGGTTTGTGCGCTGGTGAGGAAGTAGGAGTTTTTGCTGGTGGAGGAGCAATCTTGACACCACCTGGAGGAGGTGGCAAACCCGTAACCGCGCCAGTACGTTGTTTGGATTTAGATGAAACCTCACTACCATCTTTTTTCTAAATAACAAATATGTGAAGAAGTAATTTTAAGATATTGCAGAAATAATTTACAAAGATTTATAAAATTTTCCACATTAATTGATGCAACTCTAAACAATTCTAAAAAAGATAATAAAAGTAAAAACATTATTTTTTAGAAGCTAACAGACATGATATGTTATATCTGACTTTAACATTTTTATATGATTTGAAATATTTTTTCTTCACATATAAATTTAAAAACTGTTTAAATTTTATCAAAATTTTTAGGTTTTAATGAAAAACATAAAAATTAATTGAAAAAGAAAACAAATATATAATAAACATATCCTTACAGTGATCTTCATGTTAATCTTGATAGTTTCACCTTCCTTGAATCTAAGATCTAATTCCTGTTTTGGTTTTTCCTTTTCTTTCTCAATCTGCTCTCGATTCTTTAACCATTTGAAATGATCCTGAAGAGCGACATTCAAATCAAAACTGTCAGATCTGTCTAAGAAGCCAACACCTATAAAGGCTGATCGTCCATTATCATCCTGAATTCTCAGGACAAAGTATCGTGAGGAGTCGGTAACTGGTTCTACCGCTATTCCAGGATACTGCTCGATAGGACACTTGGCAAACAATTCACCCGTAATCTTATCCTCCAGCTTTATCATTATGTTATCTCCCTGTGACACTAATCGCATACGACCAGTCCACGAAGGTTCCTGCAGGTTCCAATCAGCCGCCCTGCGGTGAAATCACGGATGAAGCTGCATATGCATTCGTACAAATTTGGTAAATAAAAAAAAAACAATTTACTTGATTTAAATTAATTTATTTTACAAGATTCATTCGCGAGCAATGGAACAGTTAGCGTTATTTTACAACCGAAAATATATCCATTGTTTCTGACATATTGAACAGCTATGAAATGTCGTTCGCATTAAAACGTGTTTTGCGTTTACCGATAACCCCTGTTGGTTGACCTTGGCGGGATTTTGAAGACGAAAATCTCAGATTTCACCAGAAGGACGCTTTCGTACGTTTCCATCGCGCTTGCCGAACGAAATTTTCGGGAAACAATCGCAAGGGAAGAGTCACAAACAGTTACACCACACGCAAGACCACCGAAACCGCTATTTAAAAGCAGTTCGTCGAGTCTTCTTGACAAATGTCCGTCGTGATCCGCCGTGAATTGATAAGTTTTATCTCATGTCACGCCTTCTCTTCTGCGATATTTCTCTTCTGTCGCCCACGAATTGTCCATAGATTAGGAACCGATGGAAGAGACGGATCAATTTTTCAAATTTATCTTCCGGTGAAGGCTCGCAATTCAAGAGAATTCAAGGTTACCAGATTAATAAAAAAAAATGCCACTTCATCTCTAGCGTTGCGTTCGAAAATCTACTCACGGGTACCTCTAGCGTTTATTGACCAATCAGAATAATAAGAACAAATATTCCTTGATCCTGATTGGTCAACTAAGGTGCCGTTTCATGACGATCGAAACTACGGAAAATGGAATCTCGGTAAAGTAATAAAGTAAAAGTATATAATTAAAATTTAGTGCATCATTTTAAATACAAGATTATCTTATATATAAATTGAGATTGTTCGGTAAGTATTCATTAATATATAGATATTTAATTTCTTATCATATAAATATAGTTATCATGTTATAGAGATAAAAATTAATTGCATGTTTGTCGATCCGGAATTTTTGGCTGGGCTTAATTAATATTTAATTATTAATTTTTATATTAATTTTATTAGCGGATGTATACATCGTGGGAAAATACTTTGTAGAAAAATACTTTTTAACGAAAGAATTTATTAAATGGCAGCAAACTTCAACAATCAACAATAGTTAAAGAAATAGAAGGACAAAAGTTATTGAAGTTATATTTTTTACATAAAAGAATGAATAAGAGGGAAGAAGAAAATATTCAGAAAAAATTTTGAGTCTATCCCATATTTATCAAACGAAATAAAAAATGTTACAAAATGCAACCAACGATTAAAGAAATGGAAAATTCTGATCTGAATAAATTTGAATATTTGAAAATGGATACACCAGCATTTAATTAGATTTATAAATCAAAAAATTTGAAAGTTGAATATCTGAGATGCACCAGCATTTAATAAATTATTAAATCTAATTAAATCAAAAATCGAAAAATAATATAAGAGCAGTGATCTCGGATAAACAAACGCGCTAAAATTAGATAACTCGGATGGGTTGATCCCCCCCCCCCCGCCCCTCATTTCTGAAATTTCGTTTTCGAAGTTCCGATTGTCATGGAATGTTATTCTTTTAAATGCCACTTGGATGAAATTTTCAAACGTTTTTAATCCTCTCTTTTATATTGTTTAAATTTTCTTTTATATAAAAAAGCGAATTAAACGAATGTATATTTTTGTTAAGATTTCTCAAAATTTGTAAGAGAGATGAACGAATTTAACTATACATTTGTTAATATTAATTATGATATAAACAACATAAAACCTTGGTATATATCTTAAGATTAATTATTTCCGAAAATTGAGAATATTAATATCGGAAATATATGTGTCGATATCTTTATTAATTTTATATGTATTACATAATAGGATATTACAAAGGTTAGACCTGTATCTATGTCTGTCATTAACGGAAATTAACGCTGGATGAACGTGACTTTTAATCGCTTTCTATACGAAAGAACAACATGCCTGAGAACATTAAGAAGACTACTGGACCTTATATAGGTGCTATTGATGAGGGAACGAGTAGCGCCAGATTTTTGGTAAAGTATAAAAGAGGATTCTACAATAAGAATCACTCGACAATGAAACTAAAATAAAAACAAGAGATCATTAAAAGTCGATATATTTTGTAAAGTTTATTATATTTATCTGTTTAGGTGTTTGATGTGTTACGCAGAAAGGTAATTGCTTTGCATCAGATTGAAATCAAGCAGAAATATCCTCAGGAAGGATGGGTGGAGCAGGATCCAAAAGAGATACTACAAGCTGTCATAGAATGTATACAAGAGACTATAAAAAAAATGAAAGATATGGACTTATCAATCTCAGATATCAAAGCTATTGGGATTACTAATCAAAGGGAAACGACAGTGGTTTGGGACAAAGATACTGGAGAACCCTTGCATAATGCAATTGGTATAAATAGATATTATAAAACATCTCATTTTTATTCAAATTTTTAGTCAAATTTTATGACTCACATCGCATTTACTAATTTAACGCATATTAATAGAAATTACTTGTGCAAGAAATTTTGTCTCATAAGCTTTTATAAGCATGTTAAATATTATTAAATAAAATTATCAATTTTACAGTATGGCATGATATAAGGACAACAACAACTTTAGAAGCATTATTGGATAATATCCCTAATAAAACTAGAAACAAGAATTATTTGAAACCTCTATGTGGTTTACCATTGTCTCCCTATTTTAGTGCTCTCAAGATACGTTGGTTGATAGATAATATTTCACGTGTCAAACAAGCAGTGAATGCAAAAAAATGTGCCTTTGGAACAATTGATACATGGCTTATTTGGGTAAGTACTAAAATAAAAATTAAATATTTCAAATGTTATTATCAAATACCTCTTGTTTAGAATCTCACGAAAGGACAATTGCACATTACGGATGTATCAAATGCATCTCGTACAATGTTAATGAATATTGATACATTGAAATGGGATCCTTTATTATGCAACTTCTTCAGTATCCCACAACATATTCTTCCTGAAATACGGTCCAGCGCAGAAGTCTATGGTTATATTTCAATTCCTGAAGTTCTTGCAGGCATACCTATAGCAGGTGTAAGTATGTGAAGAAAATATTTTATATAATTTTTATTATATATAAACTTAAGTTAATATTTGTTTTTAAAGCTAGTGTAGAAATATAAAGTTATTTTCTTATGTAATTTCAATAATTGAATTTATTATTATTAAAATTATTTCAGCTTCAGTTGTTATTAAAATTATATCATTATTTACCCCTAAATAGAATAATAAATTTATTTCATTAATGCAGGAAATTCTATAACAAATTTAATGACACTTGAAATAGACAACATTATATAATAATTATATTTTCCTTTGTATAGTGTGTGGGTGATCAACAGGGAGCTCTTCTCGGTCAATTATGTTTGAAGCCTGGTCAAGCAAAAGCTACATATGGTACAGGATGTTTTCTACTTTATAATACAGGAAATATAGTATGTATAATATAAGATATACATGTAAAAAGAAAAAGTAAATACTTTCCCTTTTTTCATAAAAAGAACATTGAGAAGTAATTCATGAAAATTCCACTTTACAGAAGGTTGATTCAATGCATGGTTTAATAACCACTATTGCTTACAAGATTGCACGATCTCCAGCTGTTTATGCACTAGAAGGATCCGTCGCTGTCGCTGGAGCTGCTTTATCCTGGCTGCGAAATAATATGCAACTTCTCAGTAATATAACGCAAACACAAGATATGGCAGAACGTGTGAAATCTTCTGGTGATGTGTACTTTGTGCCAGCTTTTTCAGGTCTATACGCGCCCTATTGGCAGCAAGATGCGCGCGGGTATTGTTTCTTATATTTTCTACCGTTTCCTTTTTCGTTATTTTTTAAATTTTCTATTAAAAGATTTTAAGTTTTTTCTTTAATCAAGCATTAGTATACCTCATTTATATAATTTAATGAAATCAGAGTAATTTGCGGCATTACCGAGGATACGGAACAATACCATATTATACGAGCAGCATTAGAAGCAGTCTGTTTCCAAACGAGAGATATATTAGAGGCAATGGTGAAAGATTCAGGAACAGAGTTGACAATGCTGCAAGTGGATGGTGGGATGACTGTAAACAATTTGTTAATGCAATTACAAGCAGATTTAACCGGAATAACTGTTGGTAAGTAAATATTAATATTAATATGATTCCTTCATATTATAATCACTAATAAGATAATGTTTTAAATAAATAATTATATGTGTTAAATAGTGAGACCAAACATGGTTGAAACAACAGCACTAGGTGCCGCCATTTTAGCTGCCATTGGTGTAGACTTAATTGATATAGATGAAGTGGATATGTCTCAAATAACCAAGTTTTCACCTGTGATTGGTGAAAATGGTACGTAGTCGTACATTTTTTTACATATTTGTAATAATTATATCTGAAAAAAGTTAATTCGTTTAATAATATTTAAATGTTTCATTTTAGAAAGAGATCTCAGATATTCCAAATGGAAAATGGCTGTTGAAAGATCCATGAAGTGGGATTGTTCTACATCTTTAATAAATAATTAATCGTATGTATACATATATTTTTTTATACCAAAAAAAATAAATATCTTTAGAGAGGAAAATATAAATATTATAATATAAAGCTATAAAACGGTTTATAATATATTATAGCTATATAGCTATATTTTATATGTATCTTTAATAAAACCTTTTTCCGTTTTTCCAAATGTTCCATTTTTGATTAGATCATTATAATATAATTACAAAATAAGTCACTATAAAATTAGTCATCATAAATAATTTTTATTTTTTTTATATTATATACAATATATTATAAAAATCCTTTTTAAATCAGTACATTGGAAAGACTATATTTAAAATATAAGAAAATATTAAAAATATCTAATTTCTTAATTAAAAGAAATAAGATAATTATAGAGATAATTATAGAAATAAGATAATTCATTGATTTTGAATTTCAAAAATAATGATCTTAAAAGAACGATTCTGTATCCATTTGTTTCTTTATATATAAAATTCAAAAATTAATTAATTATTCTTTAGAAATAGATATTCTTTAAATTTTAAAATTTAAGTACTTAAATGTTTCTATTTCTGTGATGAACTAATCAGTATAATAATATGATTCATTCATATTGTAATAAATGATGTATACAATATATAAGTTGATTTTCCGCCTCGACTATTATGGTCGAAGAGCAAATCGGCCGGATACTTTGACTAACTCTGTCGGCCAAAGCACGAAGCTTCGATATAGAAAGCGGTCATTTCGTGTTCTGACGAGCTATATCATTGACGTGCGTAGCAAGAGCTGAAAAAGAGTCGTAAGTTTATATTTTCTCTACAACTTTAAACACGTTTAGCAGTAGTAAACACATTTACTTTTTTTAAACAATTTTTTTTATTTATTTTATATAACTTATTTCTTCAGAAAAATTATTAAAATGTATATTTTTAAAATTAACATAAGTCCATAAAATCGTTATTTATATAAAAATATATTTTGTTCATTATAAATTCATTTAATCGTCTGACAAATTAAATTTTGTTAATTATATATATGTTTTTATATTGATTGATTGACTGATTTATTTATTTCAAATCATAAAAAAGGAGATTCAATTTCAATTTATCAATCTCAATTATTAAAGGAGATTCAATTTCAATTTTTCAATCTCAATTTATTTGCTGTTGCAAATATATTGTATATATGCACAATATATTGTATATATTGTATATATTGTAATATATTTTACAATATATTACAATATATACAATATATACAATATATTGTCTTATGTACTGTAAATGTTAATGTTTTGAATTATGACTTAATTAATGAAAAACTTGAAATTAATTGTAGAAATTTATTTAAAGAGAGAAGGAAATTGAAATTAGTCAAAATCGAAATTTTAAAAAATAGAACATCATATTTTTTTGTCTTTAAGCTACTCAATTTCAGATAATAGCTTTCAATTTCACACACATAATATGTGTGTATTTAAAATTCGATCAATTCTTAAAATGATCAGTTAATGCTAAATTAAATTAGCCAAAATACAAATAATATATTTTATAATTATTTCAAGCTTTAGCAAATTAATTCTAGCCAGTTTATAACTGATTTTAAATTATTGATCATAATTCTATGTACATAGAATATCTAGGGGAGGACACCCAAAGGATATTTTATGTTCTCTGGATGTCCTCTCGATGATTTTTGGACATGTGTGTTGTTAGGGTACATATATATTTATATATGATTATTATTATTGTAATTTATTATTTTTAAAAATTAACACAACAAGAAAATGATATTTCTAATGTGTAAGACATTAATTTGTTGCACACATCGCGTTTCTGCTCAAAATTTTCATTTTAACGCAAAAAGTATTATCTGTTGATCGATCTTGTAACATTCCGAGGACAAGCGGAATGGATCAATGTTGCGCATGCTGGCGCATGTGAGATGACGGCACGTGAGATGCTGCGTTGTGTCATCTGTGTGTCCTATCCATTCATCTTTTCCTCTTTATCGTCATTCTTTTCTCCAGTTTGTTAAGCAAGAAGCAGTTAAATATTCGTGAATACAAGATGAAGGATCATGACGCAGCTCAACAAAAGAAACCTACGAAATTGAAAAATCTTGCGGATAAGACGGAGGCATTTGATTCTTTGCACTTAAAAAGTGTTAAAGAGGTATTTTTTCTTTTAAAGATTAATTAGAAATAATTAGAAATGTTAGTATTTTTATCATAAATAATACAAAGTGGTTTATTATCGGTGATATAATCGGAAAAAAGCTAATTAACATATTAAAATGTAATTATAACAGTTAAAAATATACAGAATAAAATTTTCTTATATAAATTTATATGGAAAGAAAACTAACTTTTTTTACATAAATGAAATATTAGTAATATTATTTTTCTTGTTTTGAGTTTGCTCAATTTTCAAGTTTCATTGATAAGTGCTATAAATCTATATTTTTGTTTTAATTTAAATATAATTAAATATAGTTTATTTTTAATATTAATATACAATATTTAAAAAATATATATATGTTTCCATTATAGCTCAATTAGGATGTTAATTCTCTTTACTCATTTACTTTGATCGTCGTTATTGCATTAGATAATCTATAAATAATTTATGTAATTAAAATTTTTCAATAAATATACAAAATATTTCGAGAAAAATAAGATTAATATTTGAAAGATATAACCATGTCTTGAAAAATTATAATTTCGAAAAATTTGACGTGTGATATTCCGAAAAATTATAATTTCACAATTAAATGTGAAAAATGATCAAAAAAATGATAGAAGGTATATTAATTGTAATCTGAGTTTTTCAAGATTTCTTAAAAACGAAGCTTTTAACGTGTATGAAAAAATTTTACATTTTCTATTAAATGTATAAAAATTCTACATTTTCTATTTGTTTTACATAGAATCGTTATTTTTCCGATTATATGTTGTTAATAACAAACCACTTTAAAATTCTTTTTATTGAAACTTTTACAGCGCATATCTCATTACGTAATAAACGTAATAACGAGAGAAACATATAATTGAAAAATATTAAATGAATTTTTAGAAAACCCTTTGCTCAAAGGAATCATGTCTCGGTAGTATAATGCAGCTACCGCTTCATGGAACTGAACCACGAACAAAAGAAGAAGTTCTAACTCATGCAAAAGACTTTCTGGAGCAATATTTTACTTCCATCAGAAGGTATATTTGCGTGTGAATTTCTTTAAACTATAATAAATCTTACAAGCACTTTTTCTCAAATTCGCATTTTTGTCTTTATGATTTACACAGATTAAATAGCGATGCTCATCGCACACGTTGGGAAAATGTACAAAAGGAAGTGATGTCCTCTGGTACATATCAGTTAACAGAAACGGAATTGGTGTTCGGTGCAAAAGTAGCTTGGCGAAACGCAGTGAGATGCATCGGACGTATACAATGGTCAAAATTACAGGTCTATTTCATATCGCAATATTTCTTTGCGTTAATGATATTTTTCAAAAAACGTCCATTCGTGCATATTCGGAAAAAATTTACATACGTTTGTTAGTCTATAAAATAAATATTTGCAGGTCTTCGATTGCCGCTACGTTACGACTACAAGTGGCATGTTCGAGGCTTTGTGCAATCATATCAAATATGCTACAAATAAAGGGAACATAAGGTAAAAAATAATGAATTAATTAGTAGTTAATTAATTAGGAAAAAATAATCACTTGATTATTTCTTAAATTGTACTTTTACATTAAACAAATAAAAAATTGAAATTTAATATTATAAATTAAATTTCAAAATAAATTTAATTATATATAAATATATTTATAAAAATTAGTGAAATTAATTACACATATAAATTAAAATAAATTTAATATTAATTATCTACTTTTATTATATTTAAATATTTTTTCAGATCTGCAATAACAATATTTCCGCAACGCACTGATGGAAAACATGATTACAGAGTATGGAATCAACAATTAATTAATTATGCGGGATATAAAAATCCAGATGGCACTATTACTGGAGATCCTGGTACCGTAGAATTTACAGAGGTCAGAATATATAAATAATATAAAACCGTTTTGCATTATTTGTGGCAACTTGTATAACGTGTCGATTAAAATAATTTCATTTTGTCTTATAATCATAATTCACAATTTCATTTAGTATTTTCAATATCTATATTGGAAAAAATAAAAACTTGGGATAAAATGCATAATATTCAATATCAAATCTAATAGGACAAAATTCTATACAAATTTATTTGTTAAATTAATTATTTTAAAAATTGTGTGTGTGTATAGTATATAATATATAACTCGTATAAATATGCCTTCTGGAAAACATTGATAATGCAAATCGTTGCGTTTACATTGTCTCGGCGGTCTCGGCTATAAAAGGTAAATTCGTTGTTTTAATAAGTCGGCCAACAGCTATTGTTTCATACTTTTATATTGTCGATAAGATTAATATTGATGACTTCATGTTAAACATTATTGCAAATAATTCAAGGCGTTACATATCAGAATTATTATACAAAATAAATTACTATTCTGAAATATTACTACCAATTACAATTGAATGTAAATAAATGTTATATTAATTTAAAAATATTTATATATATTTAATTAATTAATAAAATATATAATTAAATATATTTTTAAATATATTAAAATATATGATATTAAAGTATTTTATTTATTTATTTAAGATTTATAATAAATTTTAATATTATATAATAATTTAAAAAAAAAAAATATATATATATAGATTAAATATAAATAAATTTAAAAAGTATATAAATATATAATTTAAAATTTCATTTTTAATTATTGTTTTGAAATATAGTAGGAGTTTTATTGGTAAATAGCGGAATTTGTAAGATTTAGCATTAAAATTTTTTAGATTGTAAAAGACATGATAACTATGTACGGTTATATTAGATTTTAAATCCGTTAACACTCTAAAATTAGGAAATATTTTTAACTTCTTAAAATATAAAATCTCCTCTATAAAGAATGTATTTTGAAAGTAATTTAACAAAAGAACAATTTGTCTCAACAGGTTTGCGTGAAATTAGGATGGAAAGGAAAGCGGACTAAATTCGATATATTACCGCTTCTTTTATCCGCCAATGGACACGATCCGGATTATTTCGACATTCCCAGCGATTTGGTACTCGAAGTACCACTAGTTCATCCTACGTAAGTAGTTATTAAAGCTTTTAGTAAAAACTTTAATTTTATATTTTTAATTAATTTTCATAAATTTAATTTCATCTATTACGTAAATTTAATTATTATTTAATTATTACATTGACGTTATTTATTATATTATGTTTATTCGTGTTTTATTAATTATATTAAATTATAATGGCTCAAACTACATGATTTCTCATTTAAATATATTCATAAATCAAGAACTTTATGCATCGGATGACAAGCATATTCAGATTCTTAAATAAAAAAGAAAAAATGCATTTAAAATAAATCTATTTAAGATAAATAATTTTTCATTCTCTCTCTCTCTGAAAAAGAAATTGTCGGATTTGTCTCGTTAAATTCAAGAGTTATGCCTTGATTCTATCATAATTCCATAAAGAAATAATATCTGTGCTTGGATGACAGGTACGACTGGTTTGAAAAATTGGATTTCAAATGGTTCGCCATTCCGGCCGTGTCTGGAATGGTTTTCGATTGTGGAGGTTTAGTATTTACCGCGGCACCTTTCAATGGCTGGTATATGAGCACCGAGATTGGCTGCAGAAATTTGTGCGATGGTCACAGATATAACTTGCTCGAGACAATAGCGACGAATATGGGCCTAGACACTAGAACAGCTACATCGTTATGGAAGGACAAAGCAATGGTAGAAGCTAACATCGCGGTGCTGCATAGTTTTCAGCTGAAGAATGTGACAATCGTGGATCATCATACGGCTTCGGAATCTTTCATGAAACATCTCGATAATGAGATGCGTCTTCGGAATGGATGTCCCTCAGACTGGCTATGGATTGTGCCACCGATATCTGGATCCGCGACAGCGGTATTTCACCAGGAAATGTCGCTTTATCACTTGAAACCCGCTTACGATAACCAGGAGCCAGCGTGGAAAATTCACGTATGGAAAAAGGGACGCGACAAAAAAACGACGACGAAGAAGCCGAGGCGAAAGTTTCATTTTAAGCAAATCGCAAGAGCCGTAAAGTTTACGTCCAAATTATTTGGACGAGCGTTATCGCGCCGTATAAAGGCGACTATATTGTTCGGTACAGAAACCGGCACGTCCCAGATGTACGCGGAAAAGTTGAATGAATTGCTAGGCCACGCTTTTCACTCTCACGTACTTTCGATGGCGGATTACGACATCAGTAATATAGAACACGAGGCTCTACTGTTTGTGGTAACTTCCACTTTCGGGAACGGTGATCCGCCCGAAAACGGGGAGGTCTTCGCGCAGAATTTGTATGCAATGAAGATGAACGATGCTTATATCACCAACAGCGATAAAGTGAATCTGGCAACCTCGAAGTCATTTATCAAGGCCAATAGTCAAACGGAAGTGAGCGGATCGAAAAAATTAGACAGATTAGATTCCCTGCGCGGCTCTACGACAGACTCGCAGACTGAGGATACCTTTGGACCTCTCAGCAATGTCCGATTCGCCGTATTTGCGCTAGGTTCGTCCGCGTATCCAAATTTTTGCGCGTTTGGTCGTTACGTTGACAATCTGTTGGGCGAATTGGGCGGAGAACGATTGGCCCGATTGGCTCAGGGTGACGAGATGTGCGGACAGGAACAAACCTTCCGAAAGTGGGCGGCCGATACTTTCACGGTTGCGTGTGAAACATTCTGCCTGGATGATGATGATACATTGGCAGAGGTGGCCCTGTCCCTAGATTCCGAGGCACTGTCCGCGGCCACAGTCCGTTTCGTGGAGGCTGATCCACAACCGATTGACAAAGCATTGAGCAAATGCCACAACAGAAATGTGACGATGTGCAATATGCTGCGAAGGACCAATTTGAGCGGCGACGAGTCCAGTGGAACGACATTGCTCCTGGAATTGGATGATATAGTGGGCATGGATATCTCTTACAAGCCTGGGGATCATTTAGGCGTATTTGCGTGCAATCGGGCAGAACTTGTGGAGAGGATCTTGCAACGTGTACAATCTACCTTTCACGTTGATGCACCGATCGAGCTTCAAATGCAGAAGCAAGCACATACTCCTAACGGTGATCAATCTAATACATTTTTTTCTTTTCTTCTCTCTTACATTCTCTATAACTGATAATAGCGACTTTTTCCAGGCATTGTAAAAACATGGGTACCTTATGACAGATATTTACCGAATTCTTTAAGAATGCTATTAACTCGATTTTTGGATATCACGACGCCGCCTACGCCGAATCTATTAAGATACTTCGCTTCAATAGCTACGAATGCAAAAGAACAGAAGCAACTTGATCTTTTAACTTCTGTAAATATGTAAATATGTAAATATTTGTAAATGTAGCTCTATCGAAGCACATCGGAATTTCGAGAGAAAAAAAGCTAAGGTTTAACGTTAAAAATATTCGAAAAACAAAAGAAAAAAATATCATTAATATATAAAATTTAACACGTTATCGTACTTTAACTCTAAAAATATATTATTTTAATTAAAAATATTCTCAAGAAAACAAAATTTTAAAAAGAGATTCTTAAAATAGGATCCGACGGCTTACGAGGATTGGAGGCATTGGAAGTTTCCTAATTTGGCCGAAGTTCTGGATGAATTTCCATCCGTGACTCCGTACGCTCCGTTGCTTCTATTTCATCTAACACCTTTGCAGCCGAGATTCTATAGTATTTCATCATCTCCCTCCGTGCATCAAGGGCAAATTCATCTTACAGTCGCAGTAGTGCAATATCAAACGCAAGGTATCTTATTTTTGTCTTTTCTTGTTTTTTTTCTTCTTCATTCATATTGATTCATGCTAAGACATCTGCAATCTTTAATTATAATTTAATTATTGATTCTAGATGGTTCTGGACCGATACATTTTGGCGTTTGTTCCAATTATCTGCGAGAAATATCCGATGGGGAATTGTTATATGTATTTGTGCGGAGGTAAACTATTTCAAAATTTTGCTTATATAAAAATTCTTCATCAAATACATAATGATTTATTAATATTCAAGCGCGCCAAACTTCTATATGCCGACGGAAACTAAAGCACCAATGATATTGGTGGGCCCGGGTACGGGAATCGCACCTTTCCGAGGTTTCTGGCACCATCGGTTTGCTCAGATGAAATTTGACATGAAACAGAGTAAATATATGTTTTTCATATATACTTATTAGTTTCAAATATGCCATATGCCATTTCAATAATCATATGTATTGCTATATAAAAGCATCAAATAATTGTCAATAATTGTGTGGAAATAATAGCAATCCAATATGTTTCATTTATAAGTGGTTTATAAGATCTTTGTTTGAAATCGATCTAGCTAAATCTTGAAAACAACATTCAGAAGTTACTTTTCAGAAATTATATTTGCAGATCAAACATTTGGGAAGATTTGGCTATTCTTTGGTTGTCGTCAAAGAAACTTGGATTTGTATAGACAAGAGAAAAAAGAAATGTTGGAGGCTGGTGTCTTGGATAAAGTATTCTTAGCATTATCCCGAGAGCCCGGTATTAAGAAGGTAAAATACATACACATGTGTGTTCTTTATTATCTAAGAAAATAACTAGAAAGAAAAAGTTTGCAAAGGACACTTCTAAGAAGTTTGATTCTTTTATGCATAAAAACATAATTCTTCCTTTCAAATAAAATTTTTGAAAGCTATAAATATGCAGTTCATACATAATTTTGCAATCACAGCAAATAACATAGATTTTACAAACATTTAAATCTCAATATTCGATTCAGATTTGTAATTACTTGAATTAAACTTGATCTCTATCATGTTCCTTGAACTCTAGATTTATTTCAGCATAATGTAAGTAATCCTTTTGTTCATCATTTTATATTAATAAATATGATAAGTAAAAACAAATTTGTAAAATAACAAATACGATCTATAATGTTATAATATAAATCTAAGTTTATATGAATTTTACCTAGACTTATGTGCAAGATTTGATCCTAACGAAAGCATCTGAGATTTACACAATGGTAGTACATGAGCACGGACATTTCTACGTTTGCGGAGATTGCACAATGGCAGAGGATGTTTATCAAACCTTGAAACACATTATACAAACGAATGGCCAATTGACCGACAAGGAAGTCGAAGCGTATATGTTATCACTCAGGGTATAAATTTTCTGCCCATTATTATTCTTTTCTTATTGCTTATTTACTATTTATACAGCATATAATATGAACAAATAATAGCCACAGGAATATAAATTGTCTCACTTGTATGGAATAATTCTTTCTTTCAGGATGAGAATCGTTATCATGAAGACATATTTGGTATAACATTGCGCACAGCTGAGGTGCACAATCGATCACGTGAGACTGCTAGGATTCGAATGGCTGCCGAACCGTGAAGATATCGGGCTAATAAAGCACAGTCCGAGTAACTTTTGAGGGTTCGTGCTAATAATTATTAATTACTGCACCGCATAGTTTCCATATAGAGTTCCACATAGTAAGAAACCTGTTTTATTGAAAGATAGAGTGTAACCGATTTTTTGGTTGCTAAAATATTTTATCCACTAGATCGTACATTTTTGGTTGTATGAAATATATTACACTGATTATATATGTTTATTGTGCACGTAGTATAATGTATAAGACAGATATATATATATAGAACTTATTGTGTCTACCTGATTTCCCTTAGCTATGGAGATGCTGGAAGTTCCGCTTGTGGTTTTTGACTAATATTAGCTAATAATTTCTTTATTTCCGCTATTGCCTTTCCAGGATTTAAACCCTGTAAAGACAAAAAAATGTTTAAGTGTTTTAATTTAACATAATTTTGCAAATTTTCAAATAATAAATTAAACTTACCTTTGGACAAGTACGTGTGCAATTCATAATTGTATGACAGCGATAAACTGAAAATGGATCTTTCAGTTTCTCCAGACGCTCATTCGTTTGAGTATCTCGCGAGTCAATAATCCATCTGTAAGCCTAATAAAAATAATAGTTAGAACAGATTTAGAAAAAAAATAATAAATAAATGTGAGAAAATTATGAGAATAAACTCCAAAAAAAAAAAACAAGAATTAGTATTAAACAAAATTATATATATTCTAATTAGAGTTATCTTTAGAGATGCAAATGTACAATATTATTTGTTTAAAAGATAATAATTAGATATTTAATTTGGTTCATATATGTGTTTATCTCATTTTTAAAGAACTTCTTATTTATATATTTTTTTCTTAAATCTATTATTTTTGCAATTGACTATTCTACTACGCAATACAATATCTATAGTATAATGTGTGTAATATTAAAATATGCTTACTTGCATAAGTACTGCAGGGCCTAAATATTTATCACCATTCCACCAATATGATGGACAAGAAGTACTGCAGCAAGCACAAAGAATACATTCATAGAGACCATCCTGTAGAAAAAAGCTTAAATTATGTATTTAGTTTTAAGTAAGAAAAATAACTATAATCAAAATGGAAAATCAAATAAATATGATGCCAAAGAAGCTTGCTTACCAATTTTTTTCGGTCTTCTACACTCTGCAAATACTGTTGGTTACCAACTTTCTTTATACCTTTATGCTGTAGCCAAGGCTGTATGCTACGATACTGTTCGTAGAAATTATTTAGGTCTGGCACTAAATCCTTGACAATATACATATGTGGTAAAGGATAAATGTCACACGATGAGCTTGTATTTTTATCAATTTTGCTGAAAAATATAATTTTACTCTATTTAATTAGTTATAATATGGATTTATATGTAAAATTTAATTTATGCTGAAATATTGTATGAAAGAAGTCAATCAGAATTATAAATTATATTTTTTATGATTAAATAATACAAACATATATATGTATGTATATAATTAATGCATATAATACCTAATACATGCCAGTGTGTTTGTTCCTTGAATATTCATAGCACAAGATCCACAGATACCTTCACGACAAGAACGACGGAATGTCAAAGTTGGATCCACTTCATTTTTAATTTTAATCAATGCATCCAACACCATTGGCCCACAACTAAATAAAAAATACATAAAATGCAAAAACTAAAATAATGATGTAATTTCATAAGATCACATAATTATTTAATTTGCTCAATATAAAGTACCTACGTATTCAAATCAACTTTATATTTCTGCATGTATGGTTTCTCATCAGGCTTATCCGGATTCCAACGATAAATCGAGAAAGTTTTTAATCTGGCTTCAGCATTTTGAACTGCTGCAGTATGCAAACTTCTGATCTGTAAAATTAAGAAAATACTGAATTAGAATTAGAAACAGATAACATATAAAATATATATGTCTTGAATCTGTCAAGATTCAAGGTATAGTACTATAAAAAATAATTTTTTATTAATTACTGAAATGAGGATTGTTTCTTTAACATTAAATTCTAATTCACAAGTAAGGATTTAAAGTAATCTGTTAAGAAAAATGATAAGTATATTATGACATTCTTAATTACATGCTCATTACATCAAGCTGACAAGTGCTTGCATTGTACTGGATAGAGACAAAAATATTATACATTTATACGAAAAATGAAGCGAAAAATTATATGATGTCTTGTCATTACTGATCATTTTCCTGTTCTTCGAAAAAGAACTCACTTGACGAAGCGCATTTCTGCAAGTATACGGTGTTATCCCGACCATCATCGCGAATTTCTTTTTATCAACACACGCTCATTATGTAACTAAAAATCTGCGCATTGATAGAAAGATGACACTTCATAGGCTGTGACCAGGGAAACGCTGAAGATGTTTTGATTGACCAATCGGGAGCATCCAGTTTGACCAGCCAATTATATCGACTTGTGCCTAGGGTAACCAACAACGATTGACCAATCAGAGAGTTCTATTTTGAATTGGCCAATTGCCGATGTGGTCAATCGGGTGCCATCCGACTAATCAGGATAAAAGGAATAAAGTTTCTTTAACTTGATAGGCCATAGGCAGTGAGCAAACAGTAGCAACAACATTTTAGTAATTTACCAAACGATTCTAGTAATTTACTAATAAAGTATCTCGGGAATTCTGGGAGGACGCGTCGATGGTTGCCGATGGCAGAATAAAATTTTGCACTCTTCGTTGAATATATATTTTCGATTGTATTAATAATTCAATTGTAATGTGCAAACAAACAAATTTAAATTGTACGCTGTATTCCTGGACATTGAAGTTTAAGGTCAGTGGGAAAAGTTTCTCATTGCTTAGCGATATCAGAGAAAAACCAGAGAAAGCGGCCATCAACTTCGATGAACATATTTTAGAGAGAATCGACCTCACTTTACCCATCTCATCTAGTTCAGATACGAACCACATGTACCGTTACCGAGCGAAACGGACTTAGTTCACGTCCACTTTTTCAGATGGCGCGTCAAACATCGGGAAATTTGCCCATCAAGGCTGGTGGCCGCCTTCAGATTTCTCTCTGGCGATATACTCGTCGTGATCTGGTTAGATTCTAACCTACGTTTTGTTTGCCAGTTCGACCTCAAGTAGACAAATCAGGTGATTCTTTCATAATTTTATTTTCTCTTAACGTTATCACTATTTATTTATTGACTTTAATGACTATTGAGATTGTATTCTAATTATGGCATGAGAAAATTTTGGAGTAAATTTTATTGAATAAATATTAGTTCGGTCACATTTTTGCGTCAGAGAATCGTGGAAAAAGAAAGGGGAAAATGGATACATGTTTGCCAGTAAAAGCAATAATCTGAGTTTAAATATAGATTTTCTATGAAAATGCATTATTATTAAATATTGCTAGGTACGCGCCTCGTATAATTTTTCATTGTGAACAAATGCAACAAAAATATAAAGGCACAAAGTGAATAAATTTATTTTTTCAGTATATTTACATCATTTAATAACAAAGACATTCTTTTTAAGCACAGATTTATTGAAATCAAAATTATTTTATCTTTTTCTTCTCTTCTTCTCTTAATTATATTTTTCCAAAATATATTTATAATTCCAAAATTATTATTTATAATTTTTTATTTATAAATTATTTATAATTTTTAAATATATTCATAATTATTAAAAAAACAAAAATTTACAAAATGCTTGAAATCTCTGTAAAAAATAATCTATACACTTATACATAAGAAGTATTATTTATATGCTAAAACTTAACATATATGTAACTTTAAAGAGATTAATATTGCGAATGTAACTTAACATAACATAATTGCCAACCATAATATATATGTATAATGTAATTTCAGGTTCGTACTAAAAGCGACCAAAGCTCAACGTGTCCATCGGGCCCATAAAAGCCTTCCTGTCCCCGCGCCTCTAAAGCCCTCACGTGGCACAGTTGGGCGCTGGGCCAGGCTGTGCAACGCTAGACCGGTGAGTTCCCACACAAAATATTGCTTGGTAGCACGGCGGGCACTCAAAACCAACTAACCATGTCTGTACAAAGTGTTGCTCTGGCATCTCTCAACTCCGCTTATACCGACTCGGAGGGCGAGGACGGGGTGGAAGACGAGCGCCTGCAGGAGGAGAATTCGAACACTCCCCAGGGGGCCGCCCCGCATAATGCCCAAGTCGGTCGTCAGCCCCAGGCCCGATCTGCCACCAGTCCCATATCTGGAGGCCGTTCAGCCTCGCACAGTCCCGTCGTCGGCAAGTCTGCCGGTAGTAGCGACTTGCCGGGCGCGGCTACGAAGGTGCAACGATTGGTCTCTTATTTTGACGATACGGTAGTCTCCGAGGACGATGAGGGGGCGGCCGTTGCTGCGCTGCCGTCGCCGTCGCCGTCGCCAGCACCGGCACCGTCGTTGACGACGGCGAGCGCGACGATCGCCACGACGGTCGCGGAAGGTCGTCCCGAGGAGAACGGTCTCCCGGTCGCGACAGCCATTGGCACTGCCGTAACCGCCACCGCCGTCACTGTCGCCATCGGTAGCGGCGGCGCTGAGCGCCGGTCGCCCTCCTCGCGTTCCGGAGAATTGCTTTCAGATAATAACGGGGAAACTAAGGACCCTTACGGTGTGACGATACCACCAGAACCCACGGGTCAATGTCCCGCCGAACTGCAGGACAAGATTGCGAGGTTGTATCGGAAAATGGAAAGTGACGGGCTAGACATGAACACATTGATCCAGCAGCGCAAGGAATTCCGGAATCCATCCATTTACGAGAAACTTATTCAGTTTTGTAGCATCAACGAGCTGGGCACCAACTATCCACCGGATAGGTTCGATCCGTTCAAATGGAGCAAGGACTCGTACTACGAGGAACTCGCCAAGGTGCAGAAAACAGAGATGGACAAACTTGAGAAGGCGCGCAAGGAGAAAACCAAGATTGAGATCGTATCTGGCACTGCGAAGCGGCCAAATAGCTCCACCGGCAGCGGTGCCGACGAACCATTGAGAACCGACGATGCTAAAAAACGGAAAAGTAAGTGGGACCAAGTGGCGTCCGGAGGCGTCGCCGCCGCTGCTGCTGTCGCAGCTGCTGCCGCCGCCGCCGCGACAGCCAAGCCCACGGTGCTCCTCGCACAACCTACTCTGACGACTCTCGCGTCGTCCGGCGCCAAATCTACTGTTATATCGGCCTTCGGTTCGTTGCCAAAAAAGAGATTATAACATATCGTATAAATGTATATGCTCTGTGTAAATAATATTCATTAAGAGAGAAACGTCATCCTCTTCGTTGTGAGGAAAGGGAGACACGATCTTGTACGCTTCTGGAGACTTAAATCCTTGCATGGTTGTTGGATTCTTTTTTAAAATAGCATTTTAGAGAATTGGTGTCTATAGATAGAATTCTGGATAACATCAATTATCTATAATCTATCTATAGATCTGATTTTATTCTTCTAGTCTTGAATTCTTAAATTCATAAGTTCTTAAATTTCTGTTTTCTTGGGTACATTTTTTGAATTTTCAGATTTTTTAACTTGAAACATATTGCAAGAATATAACAGCAACAAAAGTCGAATCAATTAATTCTCGGTCTTAAATCGTTTAGCAAGAGTTTGACTCTTGTGAAATTAAGAACCTAGGAGAAATATAAAAATATAAACACGCATAATTAGAAATTTAAAGAATTATTAAGATTAAAAGTATTAATATTTAAAAAAAAGCTTATAAAACTAAAAGAATATTTAAACATCTGTGGAATTAGAAATTAAAAAATATAAAAATCCAAGACTAATAATTCAGCTAACCAGTGACCAAAAAGGATTTAAGAATCTACAAATCTACGAAAATCTATGAAAATCCATTTGCAAAATAAACATTGTAAATAATATTAATTGTGAACATTATTTTTTCTTTACAATAAAAGTAATGTTTGCAAGTTATCGAATTGAATGGGAAAGAAAATATTCTGGATATTTATATTCTCTCGAGAAAGAATTTGTCAACTTTTGTATTTTTAAATCTTTGTAAGTCGAGATATATGTTTACTTATATCTAAATTCTTGTATTATGAGGAGTATGTGAGATTTGTTTTAGGCTTGAGTATTTACAAGGATAAAATTATAGGAATCAAAAAATAGAAAAAAGGAATATAGGTTTAAAAAGGAAAATACACAATTTGTGAATCTAAATCTGAGAATTCAAGGATCTACGTAGCTACTGATATAAGAACAAAAGAACAGTCGTAAATATATTGTAAATATTCCAATTAAAAGCATAATCTACTGTACAATAGATATATACAAAGAAAACGAATTGGAGCTTTTTTGAACTTAGATCCTTTGATTGTCAGAGTTCTTTAGAAATTCCTCTTAGGATGTAGAACATTCGAAAAAGAATAGAATAATTTAAATGAATTAAAATCGTATGATGTTTAAGAATTTAGAGACCTATGTATGAATCTATAAAGATATAAAAATTAAAGGATTTAAAAATGATAAAGATGTAACTAAAAATTTGTAGAGTCTAAATACAAGAATTTAGGTATTATTAAAAAATATATGTTCAACTATATATGTATATACAGTATAATGATGATTTTAGAATTCTGGAACATTAAGTGAAAGAACAATTGCAACATACAGTGATTTCATTAATAAAATTTGAATGCAGAATAATTTAAAAACTTAAATATTTAAACATATTAATATATATGTATTGAGTTTAAGAATTTAAGGATTTAAAAATTTATATAATTGAAATTTTTTTCGAGTGAATATCCAGAAATAAAACGGATTTAAAAATAAGAATTTAAAAATAAATGTGAGAATCCAGAAGCATATAATTTTAAAAATGGCGTGCTAGCTTTATTGTATCTATAAGACAAACATAAGTCACACTTGCGTTTAGGTGTATATTTTGTCAACTTAACATAAATTCCAAAGAAATTATGTTAGAAACTTTTATGATTGTTAAATTTTGTTTAGATTCCTTTCTGTGGATTCTTGCTTCATAGCATTTTTAAATTTTTGACTTTGCATCTACAATTATGGCTAGTATCTCTATTTTCTATTATGTATGTATTTATCACAAACACTGTGCAAACCAAATCAATTGACATTTCTGAATTAAGATATGTATATTAAATTAAGAAAAAAAATAATGAAAAAGAAAGGAATCACATTATTATCTTTTTTTTTAATAAGGAAAGTTGATGGGGCTACACCACTAACAATTGCGTTTTTCTTTTTTAAAAAAAAAAATTATATTGTGTAAGCATTATATTATATTGATCAAAAAATTTGTTTCTTTTTTTTATGTAATATTATAATAAAAAAATGAATGTTTTTATCAATATAATATATGTAATGGTTACTGAATATGTAAGTTATGAATGTCAAGTATCAGTTACAGTCACATTTATGTACAATATTTGTCAAGTAGGACCACATTCTGAGAGATGCACTGGTAATTAATTATTAAATCTCAACATGTCAGACAAAGTGAGAAATTCGCGTGCGCTAATGATCGCAAATCAATGTATAAAACATGTGCTGCAAATTAGTAAGGACCCATTTTTTATATTAAAGAAAAGAAAAGTAATGAAAAAATATCTTTCACAGAAAGACTCCTTGTATATACACGTTCATGTGTCAATAGAGAATATGGAATATATACAATATATAAATCTATATTACATTGTCATATTCTTTTTCTCTTATTGATTAATAGTTTAATATAGGATGATTTTCGATATTTTTGTGTGTGGGAAAATAGAAATCTTTAAAATTTGCCATTTCATTCATTTCTTGAAATTTCATTTTTTTATTTATAATGTATCTTGTTCAATTTAAGAAATTTTTTCGATTTCTTTTTTATAAAAAAGCACATTTAAACATTATTTTTTATTTTTAAAATGCTTTCAGCCTAAAAGTTATTTAGCACAAGATCTTTAATTATAAGCATAGACTATAATTAACATAGAGACACTCAAAGAAATTTTTCTAGGAATTCGGCAGGGATTTCCTTGTCTCGTCAATGCTACTACTGTCGTAGCTTGCAGCTGATTTCATGTACTTAAATAGGTTATTTGACGTGTGTCAAATTTCTCTTGTCAAAAAAAATTTGTCTCGAGTAAACGGACGCCGTTTTCGAAGAAGGATCTGTTCGCGTGTGCGAATTAAAAAAAATATCGAACGTTGAATTTGTCAAAAATGTGGTGGTAGTGATGCGCCTAAAAGGGAAAAATAACACAAAATCCTTTAACAGCGTCTACAGAGTATTTTCTCGTTTATGTCGTGAGTGTCTTTGCAAGCTTTCAATAATTAAATCATCGAGTCGAATTATTTATTGAACAAAAATCTATCGATGCAAACAAAATTATAAAATACCTCTGTTATTTCTTCTTATTCGATGCAATTTCGAGAGTCTTGAAAAATTCATAATTCAAAGTTTTTACAATCCTCAAGTTTTTCAACAGGAATTTAACACATTAAGAAAAAATTTCAATTAAAACAATTGCATTTTCAACAAGTCCTTGCTATTGAATAGTTTTTCAAGTTATTGTTTGCATCTTTATTTAGAAATATATGTTCAATGTGCTTTTTTATATAAATTGTAATATATTTACTATACATTTTGTACTTAATTTATTAAGGTAAAAATAATTCTTGTATTGGAAGGAGAAATAATATAAAATTTATGAATTTAAGAGAAAGACAGAAAATATGTTATATTTTTTATTAATTCAGATTTTTAAATTTGAATCCATATCGTTAAATTCATCATTATTCTTTATTTTATTATCATTTATATAAATCTTTAGATTTTTATGTGTGAAGAATGTTAAAATAAACTTATTGAAACATCTTTCAAAATACTATAATACTATCACTAATTCACACAAGTTCATGCAAATTAACATAATTTTTATTATAAAAACCTCTTATAGGATCTGTGGATAAAGGGCAACTTGATGGTTTCATGGCGGATGGCATGGCGCCGACCTTGAAAAATGGTCATAACTCCAATATAGGTTTTACTAACCAACAGTCAGTGAAACAATCATCCGAAGTATCCAGTGTCGTTTATACAGTGAGCCACTATCCTTCAAAGCTCTTGCGCAACCTCAATGCACAGAGGCTGAAGAATAAATTCAGTGATGTGGGATTGGTGGCTGGTGATAGAATCATCAGGGCACACAGATCAGTCCTAGCTGCCGGTAGCGCCTACTTCAATGCCATGTTTACTGTCGGCCTGGTCGAAGAGCAGCAGGAACTCGTGGAAATTCATTCAATCTCCCCTCACATTCTTTCCCAGCTGGTGGACTTTATCTATAGTGGCAATGTGGATATCACTCAGGATAATGTACAGGAGCTATTCGCTGCCGCCGATATGCTAGAATTAGATGATGTAGTAGCTGGTTGTATCAACTATCTCAAACAGCAGCTACATTATTCTAATGCTCTTGGAATTTACAGGTGAGATTACAGATAAGATCAACAAATTCAAAGAATAGAGAAAAAGAAGATCCGAACCAGCTATAGATAATGATGCTATAAAAATCTCTAGAGTAAATAAAAAAAATTTATTATCTAAGAATTTTTCGATCTTTATTCAGCATGCGAGTACAAATTAAATGTTAACTATTATTTAAATTACATAAAGTAAAAATATTTTTCATATAAATAAATACGATAGTATAATATATTAATTACATATAATATATTAATATAAAATTATAATGACATTTGTATAATATTATAATTACAATTAAATTATAATGACATTCAACAATTCATGTAACACAAATTTGTCTAAAAAAATGAGAAAGAAAGATATTTGTTTCTTTCTTCGAATTTTTTTAATTAATAACTTAAGAATCTTTTAATATTTTTAAAATCAATTATATTTATGCTAATATAATCACAAGTATTGTTTTAAAAATAAAATATAAAAATAGCATATATGTATATATATTTAAATATATGTATATATATTTATCATTGTTGTTGATTACAGATTTGCTGAAGCACATAACAGACTGGATCTTTTGGAGACTGCCCTACGCTTTATAGAAGTCAATTTTCCTCAAGTCTGTCAAGAAGAAGAATTTTTGGATCTGCCCAAGGAGCATCTCGTTCAGTTTCTTAGTAGCGATTACATTCACATTGATACTGAATGTCAGGTTTGTTATTCTATGATTTTTAAATTAATTGTAATTAACTAAAATTAATTTATAATTAACTAAATTTATTAAGAATTAATCAAGATATCTAGAAATATCTAAAATGGTTAGCGATATAAAAACGAATTATTTCAAAATAAATTTTTTTTTCTTTTATATCGTTATTATATGTATTTGAAAGTTTTGGAATTTTAGAAAGAACGTTAAGTAGGCCCGGAATTTAAACTTACTGAACTGTTTCTAACTTTTGCCATATTGATTTATGACGTTACAAACGAGAAAGATGAATTTCTTTCTTTAGAGATATGTCGAAATAAATTAATTTTCTCACACGTGTGTATATGATATATTTCATTTCTTTTCTATTAGGTCTTCCAAGCTGCGTACAATTGGATCGTTCACGACATCCCCGCGCGGAGATGCTATGTATTCGAGATCCTCGGCCACATACGCTTGCGATTGTGTTCATTAGCAAGACTAGAGCGTATTATCTTAGAGTGCAAAGACGCAAGTCTTATTGTCGCATTGCGATCCATTCAGAAAGATTTAGTCTCGAATAAAGGTTGCCTGGTGCCTCTTCATGCCCGGCCTCGAGTCTGCGCTAGGAAGAACATCTTAGTGATTGGTGGATCCAAGCGAGAACACTCCGCGGACAGCTGGGGTAGAACTGCCGAGAGTACTTACGAAACTATCGAAAAATACGACATATTCACTGGGTATATAACAATATATTATTTCTTCTCTTCCCTCGCAGTTTTTAGTAATTAAAGTGAAAATAGTAAAACAAAACTCACTACTTCAATTTTATTCTTTGATAAATAAATTGTTACTTTATAAATCTTTTTTTATTCCATTTTATTCTTTACTCACTTATTAATGTTTTACATGGATTTTATTTTTGATAAATGGATGAAATGTCTTCTTTTATTAAATAAGAATAATCAAGTAAGGCATCTTACTCTCTCATTAATTTCTCTAGAGAATGGAGCGAAGTAGCTCCGATTAGCATAGGACGCATTCTCCCTGGAGTAGCTCTTCTGGACGGCAAAGTATATGTTGTCGGCGGTGAATTAGAATCTTGCATAATAGCGAATTGCGAGTGCTACGATCCTCGCGACAACGTGTGGACCCCAATCGCTTGTATGGAGGAGCCTAGATGCGACTTCGGTCTTTGTGCCTTGGATAATTGCTTGTATGCGTTTGGCGGATGGGTAGGCGAAGACATTGGCGGTGCCATTGAGATATACGATCCGATCACCAACACGTGGACTCTTGACGGTTATCTTCCAGAGCCACGATTTAGTATGGGCGTCGTCGCGTACGAAGGTAATACTTCCGATTCTAAGATCTAACAGTGTCCTGTCATTACAGGTCGTCATTACAACTCGTCATTACAACTCGATTATATGTATATCTCCTGATAATTAAAATCGTAAATGTATCTGTTGTTTTAATTTGGCAGCATTGAAAGCGCGATGAAATTGAAAGTACATAGTTAAGTTTTCATTTCTCTATTTTATATCTATCTTTTGTTTCATATGCATTTTAATTCAATAATATTAAATCATTTATTTAATAAGGTAATTGTTTGGTAAGATATTTCTTCACTGTAATTAAAAATGTTATGTAATATTTTATAAAAGACAGTATACGATCATATATCTTTTTTCTTTAAATTCTGAACAAAGTATATCACATTCTAATTTACGAATTTTTTGCAGGATTAATCTATATCGTTGGTGGCTGTACTCACAATAGCCGACATCGTCAGGATGTGATGAGTTACAATCCCGTGACCAGAGAATGGAATTACTTGGCGCCAATGCTTACTCCACGTTCACAAATGGGAATCACGATCCTCGATGGATACATGTACGTTGTCGGGGGAACAAGTAAAAATCAAGAAGTCTTAACGTCGGTCGAAAGATACTCGTTTGAAAAGGTAAAGTTCTTCGAGTCTCTCTAGTTTTTTATTGATTTTCATGCTCGTTAATACCGATGTTTGCAGAATAAATGGAGCGCCGTCGCTCCCATGAGTATGGGCAGATCTTATCCGGCTGTCGCGGCAGCCGACAGCCGGCTCTATGTCATAGGTGGCGATCAGTCGCAAGAGATCAACTTCTACCGCACGCAGATCACGATTTCGACCGTCGAATGCTATGATCCTCACACGAACAAATGGCACGAATGCGCCTCTTTACCGTCAAGCAGAGGCGAAGCGACAGCAATTGTCGCGCCTTTCTGATTGATGTTTCGCGTGAGTTTTTGTTCGACATGCTGAGTTTGTATCTTCTTACTTTTTCAACATTTCTTTTTCTCTCGATATATATATAACTCTCTGCGTTATTCATCTTTACATTGAGAGTATTGTAACCGTTAGATAGGTAAATGGGTCGCGTGTTCGCTAACAGGAATTGTAGTTTTGTTAATTTCTAAATACAGTAGAATTTTCTTAAATTTGACTTCGTTAATTTTGGCACCTCATAACACATACTTTTACTCTAATTTACTCTAATTTATTGGCTTTGTATACGCGAACTGCGTAAGTGTATAGTAATTACATTGTGGAGAAGATATTATTTATACACGATATTCAGATTTTTAATTTTTGTACTTCAAAAATTTTCTCCTAGAGGCCCAAAATTAACGAGACTATATTGTAGTCTATATTGTAGTCTATCGCGACACATATACTTTTTTTTAATACTTATGAGATATTACGTATATATTTTTTTTAGATTATATTCTAAAGTTTATCTTAGACGATCTATAATTCGCGACAAGATAGAAGACAGAAATCTATTTGCGATTTTTGTGCTACACACACACACACACACATAATATTTTATTTGTTTTAATATTTTCTACATTGTATAGAATTATATAAATAGAAATCTGTCCAGAATTTCGTCACGAATTATAAATCGTCTAAGTAGTCAGAAAAATATTATTGTTTTTCTAGATATATTACAATTACATTAATAAATCTAGAATTCAAGAATTTAATACATTTAAATTTTAATCTATGTAGAACTTAAAAAATCAGAATTTAAGAAATTCAATAAGAATTTACTTTTATAATTTAAAAATTCTCGATTTCAGAGGATTCAAATGTTTTTGATTCCAAATAGCCGAAATATAAAAGTAAGGTCTAAAGTCTAAACTATAGGTTCTTAAAAATTTTTGTATCCAAATCATGTAAGATTAAAAAAGATTTACAATTTAAGAATCTAAAACACATCCAGAATCTAAAACATAATCGAAATTTTAAGAAATTTAAAATCCTAAATGAAAATTATTCAGATTATACATATGTGAAATCTAAGAAAAAAATGTAATAAAATGTATATTTTATTTACTTTATTACGTAATATATAAATGTTTTAAATGAAATAATCATGATTGAAAATTATAGACCGAATCTAAATTTTTTTATCGTTCATTATTTATGTAATTCGAAATTTGCAAATGGATCTGAAAATAACAAAGATGTCAAAAATAATATATGTAAAAATAACTTACAGAGTGTAATGGAAATATATATTCAAATACTTTTATTAACTAAAGACAAGCATTAATCACAATGTGCGTTAGGAAGGACTGAGACTCTTAATATAGTCACATACCAAAGTTATTGTAATTTTTAATCGCATTGCTAAAAGTTAACAGCCTGTTAAACTTTATATAAGTGTAAGAAACTATAAGATATTTATCTTTGAAGCATGTAAGGGTCTAAAAGTATAAGAATCTTCAAAATTTTTCAAGTTTAGAAATTGAAATATTTTATGATCAGTAAATTTGAATATAAATATATAAAAATTATAAAATTCAATAAAATAGACTAAAAATGTAGAGTAAAAAATCTAGCAAATTTTTATAGCAATAATTATAAACACTATTATTTTAAAATATTAAAATTGAAAATCCAAGAGAAAAATAATTTAGTAGAAGTTATAAATATTTTGATTTACATCTAAAAAATATAAGAATAAAAATGTACGTTTAACTCATTTAAATATTCTTAGAACTTTTAACCCTTGCTGTTGTGAAAAAAATTTTATATTCAAATTTCAGATGAATATCTTATTGTTATAACATAACGATGTTTCTTAAGTAGCGCGCGCAAAGCTGCGTGCCCAATGTTTTGTAAAGTTTAAGGCCACATTTTATATAAAACTAATGTAAGAATCGAAGAGTGTGTCGCCGACGGTCTCTGTAATTAGTTGTCGATGTAATCCAATTTGCCATTATTCGAAATATGGTGTTTGGTGCTGCACGAATATATAGTCGCGCGGAATAACATTCGATTATTTTCAAATTTCTTGTCACAGGATAAATATGAATGAGATGATGTTGAGCAATTGATTTACTACTAATCTCAACTTGCTTTAATAAATAACTTTTTAATTTTATTATTTTATTCTTTTTTCATTGCAAGATAAGAAGGATAAAAAAATATACTCGCATATCATTCTTTTATATTCTTAAGTGCTTTCACAATTGATAAAAGATAAACATTATGATTGTGTTAGAAAATACTTCAAACTTTTTTTTAAGTATTTTTATAATCTGTAAATTACTTGAAAACTTAAAAATGCTGTTCAAAAAATGGTGATGATTCACATGATCAATTCTTATATTTTCTTATCTATTCTCTATAAATTATACAATGTGTATGATGTATTTATATTTATATATAAATGTATAAAATTAATTCCTTAAATTAATTCATATATTTCTAAATAAAATAAAGAATTAAATTTTTTAAACCTTCAAAACAAAATTGGAACAACAGACATCTCTCTAGCATGTTTATCCTTCTTAAGTAAAAGTCATTAAAACAAAGCTAAAGGATACGAAATAAACAATAATACAACAGTTGATGTATATTTGTAATCAATCAATAAAAATTGCTGAAATCGTTTATATTTTTCTTCCTCGTTTGGAAATCTAAATTTTATTTAATCATTCTTTGTGATAAAAAAATTTTCTATTTGTCTATGTAAAATATTACACTTTCTACATAAATTTTTTTTGTATCCTTTTTACTATGTTTTATTATATAATAATAAATAATTTTTAAACAAAATGCAAGAAAATTTTAATTATTCATAGCATATTTTTTTATTTAACGGCATTCATCTCGTTATTTGTATAATATGAATTGTATAATATGAATTATGTTATTTGTAATATTTATCAATAAAGGTATATAATTTTATTTTCAAGAATTAAAATTATTTAGCAAATAAGAAATTTTCCATAATAAAAAAAAACATATATGGCTTTTATCGTTTTGGAAGTATACAAAATCCCTACCAAATTTCTACATATTTTTTTGATAGCCAATCAATACGTGTTGCAGGACAATTATTGTATCTTGGACAACTTATCTCTTTATTTATAAGAACATATTTTTTACTCTACAAAATAGATAATATACAATAAATTGTGTTTTGTTTGTACATTCTATTTCAACAGATACAAAGAAATCAGAAGGAGAAAAGTAATATATAAAATGTTATATCAAATGAAAAGACTTTTATCATGATGTAAGGCCGGTATATTAAACATTTGATTAGATGATATGACATGAACTTGATATCAAATTATTAATTAACAAATAATCAGTACGAGTATGTGTTATACATGCATGGTATATTTATAACACGCGCTAACATTCTATCACTTTGCTGGGAATTTAGTTAAAAGTATACCATAATCTTCCATAAAGGTCTCTATTAAATTGCGATTCAACACGTTGATTGCTCTCTTATATATTTCGCCGGGTTTCTTCGGATCTCCATGCTTCATCTCGAAGCTACAATAATCTATCCAGATAGACATGTTTTCTGCTCCGAATTGGTGCGTCATCACATCGTAAACATACCGCATGTGTTTTAGCGAAATTTCCGGCTGTAAGTATTCCAGCGCGATCATTTTCATATGAAATTCCAATGAGTTGGGAGGTTGCAGGACAAGCTTCTTGTATTCTTCGCGAGCTGCACGGATACCTGAAGTAAAAATATCAATATTATAAAAAGAGGGATTTTTTATAATAAATATATCAATATATTCACTCGCACGCAACTCTTTTGTTAATAACTTTAGAATTTTTTAATAACGAAAGCAAGAAGTAAAATAAAAGTTGTAAGATTATAACGGTACTAATTTGACTTGATAATACCTTTCGTTAAGACAAGCCATTCCAGCCATATGGGCCTGATACCATTGGCGATTAATGGATGCACCTCTAAAGCCGCTCGGAAATTCTCTTCAGCTTCCTTTGAGCTTCTTATTTGACTGTGTAAAATCCGCATTTTCCACAGAGGTAATGCTTGTTCTTCCAAAATTTGCGTCATCTAATAATTTTGTCACAATAAACGTTCCTTAATGTGTCGACAAGATTATGTAATTATTCGCATATTTACTTACCTTGGGAAATATAGCATCCACCTCTTTCTCCTGACCAGATTGCAACAAATGACTGATTCGCGCGTGCCAAAGATTAACGCTATTTGGTATAATATCAGTTGCTTCGCACAACACTTCGAAAAATTTTTTTCGAGCATTCTCATCGCGTTCTTTGTCGACGTTCAACATATCGATCTACAAAACATCATAATCATTTTTATCCTGAGATATATATATTTTTCTTGAATGTGCACAAGTGTCTCAAACAGCAGAGATATTATTGAAATAAATAAATAATATAGACGAAGGTAGATATTATTTTAAAGAAGATAACATCTTAATTTAGAAATAAACGAATTGTTTACTCAAGTTTTGATTTTTATATAAAAAATTATTTGATTAGCTTATTGTTAAATAAGACACATATACTATAAAAAACGAAAAATAGAAAATATCTTCAAACACGTACCCAATGTAAATAATATTTTTCGTTCAGCTTTTTTGCCTGATGAGCCTGCATCAAAGCAGTTTTCAAGAGTTTCCTCTTGAAATTTCTTAACGATTGCAAGTCATGATTGATCTCCAGTAAACATTCTATGTATAATGACCACATTTCTTCATTTTTAATTTTCTTTACAGCGGTTTGATAAACCTTGGTACAGGACGTAATGCGATCTCTCAGGGAAGTCTGTTCGGAATTCTCGATTTCCATTGGTATATCGTTAAGACCTTGCAATTCACGACGTGCCATTGTATCCCACATTAAAGGTTCAAGAGTATATTCTCGAATCATATCACTACAATTACAGATTAATTATGTTTAGCATGTTAATCATTTACACAAATTGACATATTTATTTCATTCTATTTGATGAAAGTTTATATTACATATGTGTACATATATAATTTTATGTGTACCTAATAATTTTCTTTTGCAATTTCTCTGTGTCATTATATTCCTTTGCAATGTTAAGCAACTCTATTATAAATTTAACATTCTTGATACACTCGAAAGCTTGTTGATATACAATGTATGCTGTTCTTAGTGAGAATGGTATCTCGTCATTCTCCATTGCCAAATTATCTTCTTTACTCTCATTGTTTTCACTGTTATTAGGAGCTACAGTTAAACGATTCTCTAGTTCTAATCTGAAATAGTAAATTTTGTGATTAATAAATTGCAACAGAAATATCTAACATATACATTTTTATGATACTTGCTTAAAAATATCAATGTACAACAATTGAGAATCAGGATGAATTTCTAAGCCTCTAAGAAGATATTGCCGAGCACTTTGTTTATTTTTGTTTTCTTCCAATTCCCAATGTGCCACTATGTGCCAGCACTTTGGCTTATCTCTGTTCACTTGCAACATTTTATTTAATATTTTGCTGATATTACTGTAAGAATGCTAAACAATGATGATATTAAATTATATGAATGTAGCAAAACAGAAAAATTTATTTACGTTTGTTACTTACTATATGCTTACAAAATTTCACATAAGCAATCCAAAATCTAATATCATCTTGAAAATTACATATTGCATCTTCGTACAACTTATTCATTTTAGCAGTTATAGCAAATTCAATGTCTGACTTATTTTGGTTAATACCATATTTCTAAAAAAGATGTATCAAAAATAATGTGTGCACATGTTATTTATAATATATACAAACTATATGAAGAATTTATTGTGACAAAATCTACAAAGCTCAATGCAGTTGACTTATAAATCTTTATCAAATGCTTCAAGGATATCTTATAATATTCAGAAAGCCTATTAAATTAAACATTAATTTTAAATTTATTTAATTATAAATTTATTGTGAAACAATTATTGTGAAAATGGTTTAAAATTACAGCATAAATGTATATATATAATCTTTTTTCAAATTATATCTTTGAATATTATATTTTATGCACATAATATATAGTTTTTTCTGACTCAACATTGAATTGATAAAAAATTTAAAGATTTATATACACAATTTCTTTTCAAAAATCGATTATTGAACTTGAAGAAACAAAAGCCAGGCTGTTTAAAATCTTAAGACATACTTTATTTGCGTTCTTCAATTCAAAGTTTACATATAACATAAATGTTAAAATATTGAAGCACATGATATCCTAAGATTGATTTTACTTGGATTTCCGGCAAAAATATATTTAAAATACAATAAACCTCGATTACTTACATCTCTACGTTGTTTAATCAACTTTAAAAGATCCATTTCATATTGTATATAACGGAGATAATCCTCCTTACACTTTGTTTGTCGTTGAATCTTATATTCATGTTCTTTGAGTTTCTTAGAAATGTTCCTGAAATATATTAACACTTAACGATTGTAGTGCTCGTAAATACACACTCATATAATTTAATCCATTTCAATTGAAGACAGGCTCTCTGAAATCCACAAAAAAAAAAAGACTCACCGAATTTCATTTTTATCAAAAAGTTTGATCCTTTTCATTTGCTCCAACTGAGGTATCATATCCTGACATCGTTTTTCCACAAATTCTGCCATTTTTCGCGAATTTGTATCAGAGAGAAGCCTGAGAGCAACTTATTTCAATGGTATTTTCTTCGTACTAAGAGATTACGGGAAACTGGAAAAACTTTTATGAGAAGGAAACGTGAATTCAACATCCATTGCATACAGTGTTCCGATTAGGGATTCCGTGCGCGCGCATGTGCGGCTCTGCGCTTGCGTGACCGTGAAATTACAATGTAATTTCAAAAGTCGCGCATGCGCAGAACCGCATATGTGCACGCACGGAATCCCTAATCAGAACACTGATTGCATATGATTGACTGTTAATGCAAGAAACTTTCGGGGTCCTAAAAATTCCCTATCAAACAACTAATCGACAAATTCGTCGTATGTCATTGGTCACATTCAGCGGACTCAACAATTTGGTAACATTACTATATTTTTAGATGTGATTTGACGCTGATTGGTCGGATCTGAAAGCAGAAACCAATCATGTTCGATTGCTACTTAGCAGTTGAATCCGCTGAAGGCGGCCATTTTTTTTAACAATTTAAGCTACATCTCTAGTTGTAAAGGCTTTCGCACATGAATTGCCATAACCATAAACGTAAAACGTAAACGTAAGCTGAAGAACCAATCAGAATATAAGTTGTAACTATAGTTAAGGCTATAGCACACACTTTCCATAAGACATAACAATAAGGTTTCGACCAATCACGTTGCTCAATTTGGTTACGGACGGCCAAATTGAGCAACGCGATTGGTCGAAACCTTACTGTCATGTCTTATGGAAAGTGTGTGCTATAGCCTTTAATAATAAGTTGTAACTATAGTTTACTTTTTTTAACCTCTAATTTTTATCTATACACGTGATTGTCTGTTGACAAATATTTCGACGAGAGTTGTAGGTATTGATATTTAAGAAATAAAGACTCAAGAAATCCAGCATGTAAGCAAATTAAAGAAATTTAGCAAAGAAATTAAAGAAATTTAGTTTAATAAGAATTCAACAACATCGAAATAATTAACAGGAAAATTAAGTGAAATTTAATGTGAAATTACAAAGAGTCAATAAATTAAAATATCGAAGAGAAAGACTCAGACTAAAAAATTAACAAATTTTTTTTCAGTAAGTTTATATAGAGTTCGTAATATAAATTTTTCTTTCAGTGTTCGAGAAAATGACCAGATATGCAAGAGCAAGAGGATCCAAAGCATCAAATGAAAGATTGCCAAATGAAGCCACACCATGGCATATAATGAAACAGCAAAAAGAAGAAAATGAAAATAAAAAAGTGTTGGAGAAAAAGAAATCGGCGAAAGAATTATTAAAGGATCAAAATGATACATTTGATAATAGTACTAACAAAAATGTTGATCAGAATTGGGCAGAGTTTGATGACGATAGATCTAAGTCTGACATAAAGAAACATAAGAAGTCAAAATCAAAGGAAGATCGTACAAATTTCACAGAAATTTCTAAAAATGATATTGCATCTGATAGTACTAAAGAAACAGAAAGTACAAAAATTGAAACAACAAATAATAGATCAGATGAATTTCCTAACAAAATTAAACCAAAAAAGAGAGACATTAATAATTCACATATACCAAATGAAGAAGAATCGATAATTTCACAAGATGACAAGAATTCAAATTCTCTTATATTAAGTAAACGACAGAAACGAAATCGGAAGAGAAAATTGGAAACATCTAATGATAAATCTAAAAAGTTTGAAAAAGATACATCAGATAAAAGTAGCATAATGGGGAAAAAGAAACTTAAGGAAAGAGGAGAATATAAAAGGAGGAAACCAAATGTTGGTGTTGCAAAAATGATAATTAATGGTGTGGAAATTGAAATCGTTATGTATGATGGATTTCCTGTAAAGAAGGAGGATGCAGAAAGATTGACAGAACTTAAACAAAAATTGATACTAAAGGGTAAATGTACATTGTGTTAAATATTACAAATTTTGATGCTAAAAATTAACAAAAAAGTGCATTAAGATACATATATTTAAGAATTTTATATAAAATTTTTAAAAAATAATAAGAATGGCAGAAACATTTAAAGCTTATATATTGTTATCATTGATACAAAGACATCACATAGATCAATTATTTCAACTTTTCTTTATATATTTTTATTAAACTTTCTGAGAAAATACTAAGAAATCTAATTTAAAGATATAAATAAGTGTCAGAGGTTTTGAATTTAATAAGCAAGTTTTCTATAAAATATACTATTATTGTTAGATAATAACAATACATAAAATAAGTATAAAATGTCTTATTACTTTCAGGCATACCAAAATCAGAGGTGGATATGGCAATGAAGCTGGAGAGACGCAGGGCTGAGAAAGCTTTGGCGCGTGTTAAAAAACAAGTCTGCTTCAATTGTCGCAAGTCTGGACACAATTTGTCGGATTGTCCTGAGCTTGGCCGCGATGAAGCCTGTACTGGCATCTGTTTCAAATGTGGCTCAACAGAGCACACTCATTTTGAATGCAAAGTCAACAAGAATTCTACCTATAGATACGCTAAGTGCTTTATCTGTCGTGAGCAGGGACATATTGCTGTGGAATGCCCTGATAATCCAAAAGGAATTTATCCCCATGGTGGTTGCTGCAAGATTTGTGGAGCTGTAACACATTTAAAGAAAGATTGTCCCGACTTGTTGAAGAGCAAGGAAGACAATGTCTTTACAGTAGAGAAAATGGACGATTCTGCTATAGAATCTCTGCAAGAAAATGTAAAAAAGAATGGCGAGGATAATAAATTGCCAAAAAATAAAATTATCAAATTTTAAATATATATTATGCGACATCTTTATAAAATATAATATCTGCATACAACTTATCATTTTATTATTTCTTGTTATTGATAAAAAATACATTAAATCATTATAATATATTAAATTTATATAATTTAATAAATTTATATAATTTAATAAATTTATATAATTTATTTAATTTATATAATTTATATTTATATAATTTATATAAATTATTAAATTTATTTAAATCTTGAACGAAAGTTTTTGTTGTTATATTATTTCATGCACAATATCTAAAATTCTTTATTTTGAAAACAAATGTTTATAAACAAAATATAGTGCAATTTGTAAATATCTAGTGAATATGATATAGTTTGTGTATATATATATATATATATATATATATATATATATATATATATGCTTTTATAACAAATTATATATATTATTACATTATGTAAATTATATAAATTTACTAATTATATATACTAATATATTTACTAATTATATAATTTATATACGTGTATATAAATTACATAATATATAATTTATATTAATATATAAAATATATGTGTGTAACATATATATATGGTATATATATATATATATATATATATATATATATATATAACATATACAATAATTTATTATTATAACAAAATTGTAAATGTTTTTTTTAATATTTGAGATATTTATAAAAAATGATAAAAATAATGCGACAAGAAATATGTATCTATGTATTTTCAATTATTTGTTTCTTGACATGCAATTGAAATCGTTCGAATAATATTCAAGAATTGGAATGAATTGGAATAGCTTCGCATAGGAGTAATGGATTAATAATCAATAGGTGGAAATCCATCTGTATAAATTTGAAAAAAGTGATTTGTTTACTTATTACATAAATATTTCTAAAATGATTTATATAATTAAAATTCACACAGAATTATTAATCATGACAATTTTAATCATAACATTTTAATTAAAGAAATACATACATGTACATATGATACATAGTCTTGTATTTTTTTAGAATCCAAATGAATGGTTTATTTAAATCAGTGTCATAGATACTCTAACGTGTTACAAACTATTAAAAATTAAAGATGAATATGAAACTTCAAGAAAATATCTTTCATTCAAAGTAAATAATATAAAATTCTTTATATAATTATTCATACATAATATCAAATACTTTTTATATACTAAATGAAATTATTCAGTACTTATAATTAATGTCACTAAGGTATTTAATATTCACAATTAAACAAGCTGTGAATATATATTATGGGTATAAAGGATTTTTAATGTACAATCACAAAAACCGGAAAGACTTACAAGAATCTAAGTCATAGTATTTATGCACATATCTTGATTAATAAATTCATTTGTATGTTTTGAAACATATACATATATATTTGTATTATATTATTAATTGAGATATAATGCAATAATTGCAACTTAGACTCCTATAACTCTGCTTTCTCTGTGATTAAGTAAGTTGTGAGAAAGAAGGTGCAGATTAATAAAATTTCTATAACTATTTTAATTTTGCCTTCTATATATATATATATTATTTTGCAAATATAACGAATTATTTCTAAAAATATATGGTATATAATCAATAAATTCATAAGATAAATCCACAAAATGTTTTACCATCTCTCTCTATATATATTTTTACTATGACACTGTGTGAACTTATTAAGCGTTAATGCTGATAACATAATTGTACTACTAGGCGAATATGATGCTATCGTTTTTTACAATATGACATTATGTCTGAAAAATATGATTTAAAAAATGATGAAAATATGATGAAAAATATTCTTGATTATATAGTTAATCTATTTCTTTTTTCTCATTTAGAATTATAATAATGTCATGTTGAAAAATATTTGAAAACTTGAATTGCGAATTTTTCTTCCATGTTATTTATAAATTTCACACAAGCAACGTATAGCTTAGCAGAAGCTTTGAAGTAACAAAATCATTTTTATAATATAAATATATAATGTTATTTTTCTTGTAAATAGAAATTGAAGAAAGCGTTTCGCCTCTACTCATATAACTGACATTTTCAGAATGGTTTATTATTTAAAAGTAAGTTCACAGACAAAATTACTTATCATGAATTTCTCTCTTGAAGGTTATTAACGGATGATTCGAAGTTTGCAGAACGATTTCCAAAATTTTGCTTGGTGAAGACCAGTGCTCGTATCTTGTATGATAACGTCTTTGGTAACAACACTCATATTGTACTATCTCTTCATTTCTATCCAATTCCCATAAACAATAACGGCGAATGAAAATTACAATACAAATCACGCGAATACACCTGCTAGGTAGCTTCAGCTTTATGCGCTGATTCGATTATTTCCTTTAAACAGCGACCAAACTCTTCGATAATGAGACGTTGTGACGTCTCATCATCGAGCATGTTACGCTCTGCTTCGTCTGCTTGCGCCATTAAACATTGACATGTTATATCTACTACTTTGTCCGTTAAAAAATTGAATGGTTGTCTGTAACAAGCAAAAAATGCAAATATATATACATAACCGTAGAATTCGAATTATCAAATGTACAATGTTTTTATAATTTCTATTTTATAAAGTCAATAAAGGTCTCTAAATTGGTTCTAGAATATCGCTTTTTCTTAAATATGCGATTCGAAATTTTCTTTCTTTTCTATCTTAGTAAATATAAGAAACATGTAATCTTTGGAAATACGAAAATATCTTTCTTATTTCAATTACAGCCATTAAGAAATACACCTGAATTAAGTTTGATCGTCAAAAATCATCTTTGAATTATTTTTTAATTCTTTTTAGGTTCATATATATTCATATTCATATATTATTTTAGAGATTATTATCATGTCATTGATTGATAAGTAAAAAGTAAATATTTCAATAAAACTTATACATTATTAGTGTTCTAAACAATATTATCAATTTCAACAAAACTATAAATAAATAAATATATATATATATATATTATTTGGATCCTTAGCGATACTTCTGCTTTATTTTTATTATTTACGTTCAAAATTTATTTATCTATTTTAAGATTCCTGACTGCTTACATATCAGAAACAAAAATTATGTGATTTTTTCTTCGCATTACAGATTTAATTCCTTTTATGTTGCAATTCGATTATTTTAGGATAACAATATCATAATTAAATATTAATTAAATATAAGAATTGTTGCAATAAGAATTATATGCAGAATTTTAATTTAGTCATTAATGCCTAACTCGGCATGTTTTAATCTTAAATTTTTTAAAAGTTATAAAATTTATAAAGAAATCTCATTTCACAGTCATAATACAAACCTTGTACCGGTGTTAGATACAGCCGGAGGTCTAAAAGCCATCTCTGACAATTGTAGCTGTGCTTTGTTTAAACTAAGTTGAGTCGTTCTGACTTCGGTTGTTTCCGTTAAATCCTTTAAGGATTTTTTTTCCAGTATTGGATCTTCGATGTTGCGACAACCAATACACTTACAATTCGCTGAGCACGGAATTTTTGCCTGAAAAAGAAGGAAAAAATACAATGTTTTCTTATATATATTTAACAAACAAGTACATAACTATTCAAAAAACTATCAAAAATATTGTCATTAATATTTTTATTAAATAGCAATTATTAGACATATTATTTACATTAATCCGAAATAAAATATGAAAATGCAATTAAAAAATATGAGAATATAAACTATGTATTTTATCAAACAATGACAGATTAGAAAAAAACGCGTATAAACATAATTGTTGAACGACATGAATGATGTTAAAATACCTCGTAACATTCACAATAATTCTTAAGACAACCACTACGTTTGCAATTGCAACCTTTGTTGTGTCTCCTTATATCATCACCAGTCTCACGACCTTTTCCAATTTTAGGACGGAAGGCATTAGGATTGCGTTCAAGACAGGATTTAATCGCGCGTTGTCTCTCCTCCTCGTTTCCAAGATTGTTCGAGCAATTGTTGCAGTTGCACATATGACAAAACTCGCCATTCGCAAAACAATCGCAATAACTAAAACAAAGATATTATTAGCGTCGATTTTACTTAAAGAATATATTTATAGATTGAAAGAGTTTGATATAAAAGTTGTGTGTTTATTCTACTAACAATAATCTTTTTTATGGATATATTATTTCTTCATTAATTTTATAACATAGTTACTTCAATTAATATCTTGTTTTAATAATCTTTTCATAAGATAAATAATATATTTACGAATATTTTCAGAAAGATGCTTCAAACTGTCATGCTGATAACAAAGGAATGTAGTAAAATTCAAAGCCTACTATATATAAAAGATATTTAAGAATACGTCTACTTAAGCAAAAAAAAATCGTTTAAAATAAAAAATAATTTTTAAGACGGCTTGAGAAATTACAAAATCTTGATTCACATAGAATTTTTAAATATTTTGTGTAGAAATTTTTTGCTTAAAAAAAATGCTTACAGTTTAAGACACTGTGACTTAGTGCAATTGCAAGGTTTTCTTGGCCTGATACCATTCGGTTCGACAGTACTATAAGTCCCTCTTTGAGAATTCTTTCCATCAATCACGCATAGAGTTGTTGTAGAGCTTTGTGAACTTCCTAGAAGACCGGACGTTGTTTGGGACTTCAATTTTCCGTCATCTGTTGACTGCTTTGACAGAAGAAATATATTTTGCACATACACAAATTAGATACAAATTTTTAGAAAATTTTATAAATAAGAAAACGTATCTACACAAATATAATATATATAAATAAGATAAATTTATATATTATAATTTTTATAATAAAATAATATAAATTTATATAATTTATATTTTAGTAAATCAAAATAATACAATTTTATTTAATTACTAAAAATATTTTATAATTATTAGGAACAAAGACTATTGTTTAATATTTCTAAATCTTCTCTACAATATTTATATATAAAATCAAGCATATTTAAAATTAAAATAATATTTGCAATATTGGATTATCTATCAAATTCTTCAAATTTTCTCACATATCATTTGTGAGTCAATTATATTTTATGTGAAGATAAAATAATTGAATTAAAGAGACTTTTCTCTATTTTAAAAAGTCTCTTATGACTTTTATTTTTAAATTTATAGTATTATCAATTTTTTAATATTCTAATATTTAAATGTGTAGAATTACTTAATTTTGTACAATTTTGTACAAATGTAATAAAAGATTTAATTAACTAATTTAAAATGCAACATTTGATATACAAAAATGATTATATTAAGTAATGTTTGTGATAATTCCCGACATTCTCGTCTCAAAAAGCAAATTGGATAAAGAACAGAAACGAATGTATTGAACCTGTTGCTGAATATATTGAGCAGGAAGGACGACGATGTTCCCGACGCTCGGATTAGCCGACAGAACTGCCTGTCCTGACGCTAACTGACTCAATGCTGATGCTGGAATTGCTACCGCACTCTTCGACTGATTGCCAACAGCTGCCGCAGCAGCAGCCGCCGCAGGTATAAGTAGTTTTTGGCTGCCACTTGTCAACGTTGCTTTCGGTGCGACAGTTCTTAGAGATTGATTGCCAGTATTTAACGGCACAACCTAGATGAAAATAAAAAAAAATTCATGTGATATACTTTGTAATATACATTTTGAATACATTGTATAACATTTTATAATATATTGTTTCATGTATTGCCTTTTATATTAATTAAAATAAATTTCTAAAATTATTATATTTCTTATAAACAAAAATATATGCTTCAAGTGTACATGATAATTTTTTTCTCTCAAACCGTTTGTTCAAAATTAATATCCAATTCTCGTGTATACCTTTACAATCTGCTGTTGACTTCCTACTTTCTGACTGATACCTACAGTCTGAAGAGTCGTAGCAGGTTTTGATTTGCTTACAGTAACAACATTGGTAGTCCCTGTTGAAGTACTGACTAATCTTACATATTGCACCTAAGAAGCAACATAATATAAATGATACACATTCATGAATAAAGTTATCTATAAATAAAATGTAAAATAACATACGTGTCTTCCAGGCATCTGAATTTGATGGACTTGATTTGATCCAGTTACAATATTCTGGTTAGCAGGTATTCTAATTACTTGACCACTTCCAAGTACAGTGCCAGGTTTCAAAGAACTCTAAAAAATGATTTCTTTTAATAATTTAAAATTTCATTCATAATTTATTTTAAGATATACATATCATAATATGCATCTTATAAATCAATAAGTTATAATTATTGATTATTGCCAAAATTAAAACAATGATATTAAGAGAGTTTTTGTTTATCTTCTTGAAAAAATCCAAGCCAAGCTGTTAAGACCAATATAAGTTTTCAGACATAAATGTCCATGTACAAAATATATCTCATATTCAGCTTACTCTTTGTAAGGTTCAGAGTTTTATACAGTTAGTTGCCAAAATTGAGCTGATAAGGATCAAGATTAAAACTACTTCCATCCATAAAAAATAATTATATGTGTATTTTAAAGATCTTATAGCATGAATATCGATGTCCAATAACTCGTATCCTTAATAATAATATTGCTTTAAAATACATTTGAAAAATACTTAATCTATTTTTGACATAATTACTTCCAAAATGGATATCAGAACTGAAATTAAATTTATTGATTATAATTTCAAACAATCTTTCAAACCTGTCTGATGATGACTTTCTGTGGACTTTGCTGCACGGACGACTTAGATGAAATAAATGTGGATTGCTGATTCGAGGATTTGGCCTGAATATTCGTAATTGGTGCAGGTAGGATTTTGGTCGGCATTGACTTTGCAGTATTGGTAGGTACTATGGTCACCTTAGATTGTTGCGATGTCGAGGTTTGTAATAGCTTATTCAATATCATACCCTTTGAAAAGATAAATGTAACATAACATAACCGCATGTTAAATATTTTTTTAAGTTATATTGTATAGTGCAAAAATTTATAACACACCTGCTTTTGCGAGGATGATGGTAAAATGTGTTGCACTTTATTGGTAGAGAGTATACCCATTTGTTGGGCCTGTGCTAACGTTATAGTTTTCGTCGGGCTTGTTATACCATAACTAGAAGAGCTATTATTGAGGAATTTGATTCCTGAGCTCGACTGATTTTCACTTTGGGAACTTGTAATGAGAACTTGATGAGTACCAGGCTGCGGCTGATTTCCTGTCAATATCATTTTTGTGTATACCTGCAAGATTAATCAAAAGATAATTTATCTTCAGATTTCGCGAGATTTTTATCATTAAAAAAGATATTTGTTGTCTAACGATATTTTTATTCATAAAGATCACAAATTTTACACAATATCTTACATTGCGTCCTTGTTGGACATTTTGTGTTGCTCGTTTCAACGTTGGCTGCGTTATCTTAAGATTTTGCATGTTACTAATTGTGATGTTTCCTGAGGCACTAGTTGTCGCGATAGATTTAGCAGGCTGAGTTGACCTTAGTTGAACGACGCTTCCATCCGCGGACTTGCCGGTTATGAGAGTCTGAGCTAAGGACTGCAACTGTTCGGCCGAAGCTGTTGGCGGATGTGATATCTTCAGTATTTGGCTAGTGCCTTGTCCGCTTGCAGGTGACACTATCATAATTGATTGACTTTGCGTAGCTTGAATACTTGGTTTTACCTGAAGATAAGCTAACATGAGCAGAGTGTAGATCGCACTCTAATAATATGCTACGATGGCGAAATTTATTACCTGGACAGCCGACGCGGGTACTCTTTGCAGTGTGGGCTTCGTTTGAAATACGACATTCTGGTTGCTCTGATTGGCCGTCGAGTAAACGTGTTCAGCCTGCACTTGCTCAGAGATCTCGGTCATCTCCACATCAGGTACTATCGTTTCAGTCTCAACGTTCCGCTCGATTATTATCCGGTCGTCGGCCGCTGTCATAACTTCGTCCGCGTTCATGCATTCAAGTTCTGCTTGAATATTCGCGAAGGCATCGAAGTCATTTGATGTGTACTGCTCGCTATTATGGGACAAGCTTAGTGCGCTGAGATCATTGTCTCCTAGAGTACGCGAGTCCAAAGCTATAGGTTCCACCAAGGCCCTCGCATTCTGTCCCTTATTAGTGGACATGACGATGATCCCTGATTGAAATAATAAAAATATTAAGTCCAAGTCAAATTTTGTAAATTTTATTTACCTAACATCAAGTTTTAATTATTTTCTTCTATAAATTATTGCAAATTGTGGGAAGCATATGTGGTTATATATACATGTTAGACAAGTTACAATAATACAGATATATTTCTTCAATTCATAAAATTAGCTTAACAAAGTTTTATCTTAACAAAATTTTAACAAAGATATCTGTGACATTTAACGAAGAAGATGAAATATGAATAGTAATGTAATTAGAATAACAAATTTATTTTCATTTAATTTTAAATATATATTATTCAAATATAAATTGTAACATTAAAAATAAACAGTATCAAAGTGCAAAAATAATCTTACAATAAATACAATAAAATGAAAGAGAAAAATAATGAAAATTTTATTGTTATAGAACTAATGCAAATATAGAAAAAAAGTATAAATATAATTAAATTATAATTCAAAAGTAATCTCTCTGTGTGTACACACTTATATACCAACTTGCAATAGCACAAAATAAAATCCCATATCAAATTCAAATATTTATCTATTCTTCACGTACAACTTTTTGTTTATTTATAAATATATATGAAAAACATAATCAACATAAGCTAAGCATACAAACTGTCAAGCGCGTACGATCTCAATGATTGTTTCTATCACTTGTATTCCAATTTTTTTTCAACTTATCTCTCTTTCTCTCTCTCATTGAAATAATTTCCAATTGTATAAAATTTCGAGAGAGAAACGCACTTTAAAGTTGACAGTCGTCTTTCGAAAAGTCGCGGGAACGAAAAGTCACTCGTCGAACGAAGCTCGAACGAGAAGGACAAAGTGGATTCGAAAGCAGGATTCGAATTTGCGTAATAAAAGAAAAAAAAAGCAAAACGAGAGTTCGAAGCGCGAAGTCCCGCTTCGAACATCAGCGCCATTTACAACAAGGCGGAACGCGCCATTTTTACGGAGCGAATTTTCAAGCGCACTCGAGCGGACTCGAACTCGCGAGCAGCGAGTCGCGCGCGACTCGCTGCTCGCGAGTTCGAGGAACAGGATGATCGTCCGGGGGGATCGGCGTCGATGATCAAGAGCGGGATAATAAACGCGAAACATAACCTCAAAGCCTTCGAGTCGGGGAGCGAGTGAGTAGGTGATAAACGGGCCTCGAGGGTCGGCGCACGGGTCCACGGGAACCCGCGGCTTTCCCTCCTTCTCGATCTCCCTTGGAGTCTGGCCGAGTTCTACGGGGGCGGGCAGGGAGGAGGACGCAGGGTAAGGACCGCGAATTATTTGGCTCGTCTAGCGTACATACCTGCGCGTTCCTTCGATAGCTCGAATTGTTCAAAATCACGCGCTCACCATTGCTGGCCCACAGTGCACCGCACTGTCGCGATCCGAAAATTGCGCCGAGAAACGCGACGAGAGGGCTCCCACCGCGCGCAGAACGACGCGTGCCTTTCGTGGAATTCGCGAGCAGTGCTCGCGTATCGTATGGCACGGGTGAGCGTTATCGCAAGCGTGACGCGGGTTTGTTGATCGCGCACTTTGCGGATCGCGAAAGTGACATTTCTCGCGCTTACGCGGGCGAAGATTGAACCCGAGTCGAAGACTGAGCCCGACAGCGAGATGGGAAACCTGCCCTTGGGTTCGTGACGGCTACCGTGGCGCTATCCAGCGGAGAATCAAAAAAACGCGGGAACTCTGTTTAAATCATTTTCATTATTTAATTATACCTTCAACGAGAGAGAGAGAGAGAGAGAGAGAGAGAGAGAGAGAGAGAATAAACGTAATCAAAGATCGTTATTTTTATTTCGGTTTTTATTTTTTGCTTTATATGGTATATATATTCTAATAATTTAACTTCCTTTCGTTTGACTGATAATAATGATATTAATTATTTAGAAATAATTATGTATTAAAAATAAAAAGAATAAAAATTAATTTTCAAGTACTCATACTCTAATTATAATTCAATAGAAATAAATTCTATACTTAGAACATATGTACTTGAAAATTAATTCTTATTCTTTTTACTGTTTGATACTTTTTATTTTTATTTTTCATTGTTTAATTCATTTCATAATTAATTTTTCTGTATCAGCATTTATAAAAAAGAAAACTTTTCGAAACTTTGAAAACTTTTTATTTAATAATCAATTGCGTGACATTTATATATATCTACCTGTCTTTTCTTGCTGGAAAGTTTCCAAATTTATTAAAGATGACAATTGGCTACCAAATAGAGAATTTCCAGAATTCTGATGAAAACTCTAGAATTCCCTATGCGATAGCCAATCGTTTGACAAACATGTATATTACTGTAATCTCATTGGATTATCCTCGAGCAATAATTTTTAGCAGTAGTTTCGACTATTCTAGAGTAATCTCTGTTCAAAGAAAGTTCCTATGGTATAGAGTTGTTTCTGAAAAAGCCGATAAGCTCTCTTTCTAACTGTTAAAGTTCATGACAGTATGCGTGGATAATACAATTGTAGATTGAATAATTCAATGTTTCGCCGAACTCTCAACGTATTATTATTATATTGATATATATCTTGCGTAAACTGCGTAATTCCTCGTCTTACTACGTCCCATAGGAAGGTGATCCAACAGAGGAGAAGAAAAAAGAAGGGAAGGCATATTCGCCAGCTTTTTCTTCACGATGGACTCCATTCCGAGGACGCATAAAGGTTTCATATCTACCACACATTTTCTCTGATTAATTTCTTCTAATTTGTTGATACGCACTGATAAGTACAATTTAAAGATATAAATATTTATATACGTATAAATATATGTATATAAATGTATATAAAAGACTATTAATTTAACCTCTATTATATATCAACATCAGGTTATTTATCATACTCATCATTTAACATACTTCAGAATAATTATATACAAAGTGATTTGGAAGATTTAAAGAATAAGGAATGTGGGAATATGGTAGGTTTCATTAAAAGAATAAATTTTTATCAAGAAATATCTTCTCTTTAACAATCCTACTTGATTTTTATCTTTTTGTTTTTATTTTATTTGATAGATTTAATTTAATTTATTTATTTATTTACTTGTTTTATTTAAAGGACAGATATTATATGTAATGTCATGTTCAATCAAGGATGCATAGTTCTTTAAGGATGCGTTGCAGGATGCATGGGTTTGTTAAAAAAAATAAAATGAAAATAATTAATGAAACCTACCCTTTCCAGAAGTTTGTTCCTTAGATTTTAAAACATTGTGTGTATAAGTAATGGTATTTTTTAATCAATTATGATAATTAATACGTTAAAATTATATTGAAAATAAATAATGATACTTATTAGTCAATTAATAGAATTATTAGAATTAATATGTTAAATATTTAGGATATCTTTATTTTTAATTATATAATTTGTGCATATCAATAATAAATATACTTTTTTCTCTCAGTTATATTAGTTATAATTGGCTACTATATACACACACACACATACACATATGTGTGTGTGTGTGTGTGTATACATATGTACTTTTATATGTGTGTGTGTGTGTGTGTGTGTGTGTGTGTGTGTGTGTGTGTGTATATCTGAATTTTTGTACAGTGTAATAATTTCATATATTTCATTTGTATTTTATATATTGTAGATATTGAAGCACAGATAAGAGAGATACAATCGAAAAAGAAGGAGCTTTTAAATACAACATCTGAGAAAGAACAGGTTGCTTTGGGAAAGACTGGATTTTATGATCAAGACATCTATGATGATAATAAATTTGATGGCTATGTTACATCGATTGCAACCAACGATGAAATTGAAGTATTGTTGATTGAAACTTTACAATATATTTTTACAATATTTATAACATTTATTAAAAGACTTATTTACTAATATTTTTATATTCACTTTATAAAATAAAGATTTTTAAAAAAATTTAAAGATTAGGTCAGAAAAATATAGTACAATTAATTATAAAGTACAATTTTTTTATTTAATATAGTGATATATATGTATGTATGTGTACATACGTATATATCACGTGTATATATATATATATATATATATATATATATATATATATATATAAAAATCTTGAAATTGATACAAATTTATTTTGTATGGAATAGGATTATGATCCATTTGCGGACAAACGACTACCCACCGTAGCAGATAGAGAGGAGAAAGATTATGATCCATTTGCGGACAGACGACGACCTACTATAGCTGATAGAGAAGATGAATACAGGCAAAAAAGACGTAGAATGATTATCTCTCCTGAACGTGTTGATCCATTTGCTGAAGGTTAGTAGAATTTTTTTTATAATTTGTAACTAAACAATAAATATTAAATGATTGTAAATTAGTTCGACAATTATATATTACATTAAATATCTATACATTAAATATCTATACACAATTATTTAGCATATTCAATCAACTTAATTACAACATTGATATGACTTCTTTTATTTTAATTATAGGTGGTAAGACACCTGACATTGGTTCTAGAACATATACTGAGATTATGCGAGAACAAATGCTCAAAGGTGAAGAGACAGAGGTATGTTAAAATTCAAATATTTTTTGCATATACAATACATATAAAAAGAAAATTTAAAGAATATTAAAAATAAATATATAATCAGTAAAACTTTTATGTTTATATTTTGTATTTTTATATTTTCTTGTAGCTAAGAAAAAGATTAGTAGAAAAGGCTAAAGAAGGTACTCTAAAAGCCAATGGCGAACCTAAACCAGCTCCCAAAAAGAGAGGCCGTTGGGATCAGACAGATGATACTCCAGTGCAGAAAAAGTTATCTGGTACTTCAGCAACACCCACATCTTGGGATAATGCAGATGTATGTTTATCATATTATCTTTATGTTATTTTAATTCTTTTATTCAAATCTTTAACTTTCTTTAATTGAATTTAATATGAAAAAAATCTCTTAAAATTTGATTAGTTTAAATCAATATTATAAAATAAAATTTTTCCCCTTTTTATTATAATTTTTTATTTTATAATTGTTGTAATAGGTGACGCCAGCTGCTGTTAGATGGGATGAAACTCCAGGCCATGGTAAAGGAGCAGAAACTCCTGGAGCTACTCCAGGAGTGAGTACAAGAATGTGGGACGCTACTCCTGCGCATGCAACGCCAGGAGCTGCGACTCCAGGAAGAGAAACGCCTTCTCATGAAAAAACAGTAACGAGTCGAAGAAATCGTTGGGATGAAACTCCAAAAACTGAAAGAGGTTGTTATACAATTTTAAATTATTATTAATGCTAATTGTTGTTTGCTGTACAAGTAATTATTTATTGATTATATATGTATTAGTTATTTTTCTTAAGTAGTGACATAATTTATATATGATTGTTTAAATCTTATATTGTAGAAACTCCCGGACATAACAGCGGTTGGGCAGAAACTCCGAGAACTGATCGTGTTGCTGGGGACTTAATACAAGAGACTCCAACACCTTCGGCGAGCAAACGAAGAAGTCGATGGGACGAGACGCCGTCGAATCAAACGCCAGGCTCGATGACGCCGCAAACTCCAGCAACACCTCTAACAACACCTCATCAGACAACGATATTGACTCCAAGTGCTACCACACCGACGGGACCCAAGGCAATGGGTCTGGCTACTCCAACTCCAGGACATTTAATGTCCATGACACCTGAACAATTGCAGGCTTACCGTTGGGAACGCGAGATAGATGAGCGAAATAGACCTCTCTCGGATGATGAGTTGGATGCACTGTTTCCACCTGGGTACAAGATCTTGCAACCTCCGGCAGGTAAGATACACAAGATACAGAAAATATTTCCATTTTATGTGCACTATGGCTTGATATTCTGAAAATATAAATTACATAGTTTTTAAAATATTAAAGGATCAGAAATCTTAAAAACAAACATTCACAAATAATTTCTACTTTATATGGTCAATTATTTTATTGATTGATCAGTTAAATGATAATTAGTTAATTAATATTTTCATGCACATGCAATTAAATAACAAGTAATTCTTGTATATTTAATTATATTATAAAATTGGAAGAGATAACTTATTGTTTACATTTTAAAAATCCAAAGAATAAAAATAAAATGTAAAACACAATACATAAATATTCAAATTAACATTTTAACATTTTACAAGTTATATGAAGAATTATATTTTTTCTCTTTCTAAACTAAAGATCTTTAAATCTTTACTATTAAATGAGAATAATTTTATATAAAGAATATATATTCATTAAATACATCAATTAAAAATTAAATAAATACTAGTTTAAAATCTTTAAAGATGTATATAAAGATGTATATACTTTAAAGATGTATAAAAGATGTATTAAAGATGTATATACTTTTTAAAATTTTTAAAGATATATATTCAGAATCTAATAAAAATTTATAAAGTTTATCAAAAGTTTTTGAATAGAAATTATTAGTAAAAAAAAATTTTGCACTTTAACATTTTATGTTTGATTTTATATGTCATGCATAATCACTATGTGTTTTTTCAGGATATATACCTATTCGTACACCTGCTAGAAAACTCACGGCGACACCCACGCCCATCGCTGGTACACCTCAAGGTTTCTTCATTCAAACGGAAGACAAAAGCGCCAAGTACATAGATAATCAGCCGAAGGGTAATTTACCATTCATGAAACCGGAAGATGCGCAGTATTTTGATAAGTTGCTAGTTGATGTGGACGAAGAAACGCTGAGTCCTGAAGAACAAAAAGAAAGAAAAATTATGAAATTGCTTTTGAAAATTAAAAACGGAACTCCACCGATGCGCAAAGCTGCGTTACGACAAATTACTGACAAAGCGAGGGAATTTGGCGCCGGACCACTCTTTAATCAAATTCTCCCTCTTCTCATGTCACCGACTCTTGAAGATCAAGAACGTCATCTTTTGGTCAAAGTCATCGATCGCATTCTGTATAAACTCGACGATTTAGTACGGCCGTATGTACACAAGGTAATTATTTTAGGTATAATTTTGCATTATAAATCAATTTTTTGTTTTATTTTCAATTTTTTGTTTAATTACTGCATTATCAATATTTAGATTCTGGTCGTCATCGAGCCTCTATTGATCGACGAGGATTATTATGCTCGTGTCGAAGGCAGAGAGATTATTTCTAATTTGGCAAAAGCCGCAGGACTGGCTACAATGATCTCCACAATGAGACCAGATATCGATAACATCGATGAATACGTTCGTAATACAACAGCAAGAGCATTCGCTGTTGTAGCATCCGCTCTCGGAATCCCTTCACTTCTTCCATTCTTAAAAGCTGTTTGTCGCAGCAAAAAATCCTGGCAAGCGCGACATACTGGTATCAAGATCGTGCAACAAATAGCTATATTGATGGGTTGTGCCATTTTGCCACATTTGAAAAGCTTGGTGGAAATTATAGAGCATGGTATGTAAATAAATTAACAGTTACATAATTTTATCATTAAATTAACTTCTTTTTCTAGTCTTAATTTTCTTTTTTCTCTTAAGTTATATATATCATCTTTTTAACAAATAACCGCAACACGAAATATTACAGGTTTGGTGGACGAGCAGCAAAAAGTACGAACAATTACTGCGTTAGCCATCGCCGCACTGGCTGAAGCAGCAACACCTTATGGTATCGAAAGTTTTGACTCTGTGCTAAAACCTCTTTGGAAGGGTATTCGTACGCACAGAGGAAAAGGATTAGCAGCGTTCCTAAAAGCTATCGGTTATCTCATCCCTCTTATGGATGCGGAGTATGCGAACTATTATACTAGGGAAGTAATGTTAATTCTTATACGTGAATTTCAATCTCCTGATGAAGAAATGAAGAAAATTGTGTTGAAGGTAAACAAATTATTTTATTTATCGTGAAAATGATCTCTCAGTTTTCGCATATAAGTTTATATATATATATACATATATTATATGATTTAATTACATTGTACTTTTATATATATATATATACTACTTTTATATATATTTAAAATAGGTAGTCAAACAATGCTGTGCAACTGATGGTGTAGAAGCTCAATATATAAAGGATGAAATTTTGCCTCACTTCTTTAAACACTTTTGGAATCATCGTATGGCACTAGATCGTAGAAATTACAGACAGGTAAATATAAAATGAATAAATCATTGAAAAATTTTCTTTTGTAATTCTAAAGAGAAATTAATGAATTACTAATAACAAAATAAAAATAAAATTGTAGCTTGTGGATACAACAGTAGAAATAGCCAACAAAGTGGGCGCATCAGAAATTATTAATAGAGTAGTAGATGACTTAAAGGACGAAAATGAACAATATAGAAAAATGGTGATGGAAACCATTGAAAAAATAATGGGCAACTTAGGAGCGGCGGATGTCGATTCTCGTCTAGAGGAACAGCTTATTGATGGAATTTTATACGCCTTTCAGGAGCAAACAACCGAGGTTTGTTGATCCTATATTTTTAAATTATATTTAAAAAAAGAACAGATAATTAAAACAAGCTTTATTTATAGGACGTTGTTATGCTGAACGGTTTCGGTACAATTGTGAACACATTGGGTAAAAGAGTGAAGGCGTATCTTCCACAGATATGTGGTACAATATTGTGGAGATTGAATAACAAATCTGCAAAAGTCAGACAACAAGCTGCAGATCTTATTTCGCGCATCGCAGTGGTTATGAAGACCTGTCAAGAGGTAAGAAATTTATAGTGGACAATATGTTTTGATTTTATTATTTATAAATTTAGAATAAACGAAATATATATATATGCGATATTTCTAGGAAAAACTTATGGGACATCTGGGAGTCGTTCTGTATGAATATTTAGGCGAAGAATATCCAGAAGTATTAGGTAGCATTTTAGGAGCGTTAAAAGCTATCGTTAATGTTATAGGAATGACGAAGATGACACCACCTATCAAAGATTTGTTACCAAGGCTTACACCCATCCTGAAAAACAGACATGAAAAGGTAAAAACTCATGTACACCTTGGGCTATTTACTATTTCATATAAAACGTATTGTTAAATGATATAAATTTCAATATTATAAAAATTCTATCTTATCTTAAATATACGTGATATGAGTTTAATATATTACTTTGCCATAGGTACAAGAAAATTGTATTGATCTTGTGGGTAGAATCGCAGATCGAGGTCCCGAGTATGTTTCCGCGCGAGAATGGATGAGAATATGTTTCGAATTGTTGGAATTATTGAAGGCACATAAGAAAGCTATTAGAAGAGCTACGGTGAACACTTTTGGTTATATCGCGAAAGCTATTGGGTAAGTTAAAAATAATTCAATACTGTTTATACATATAAATGTATATATTTATATAATATAGTATTTTCTTTCTTCTCGAACAGGCCGCACGATGTCTTAGCGACACTTTTAAACAATTTAAAAGTACAGGAACGTCAAAATCGTGTTTGTACCACAGTTGCTATTGCCATAGTTGCTGAAACTTGTAGTCCGTTCACAGTATTACCGGCATTAATGAACGAGTATAGGGTACCTGAGTTAAATGTACAGAACGGAGTGTTGAAATCCTTGTCGTTCTTATTCGAATATATTGGGGAGATGGGTAAAGATTACATTTATGCTGTCAGCCCATTGCTAGAAGATGCGCTTATGGACAGGTAAGAGTTAATGTTAAAATAATATATTAATTTTATTGTTTATAATATATTTTATTCTTTTATCGATTTTTCTTTATACATATTTGCTTGGATTTAATTTTGTAAGTTATTTCTGATCTTTCTCTTATCCTTTTCAGAGACTTGGTACACAGACAGACAGCTTGTGCTGCTATTAAACATATGGCATTAGGTGTATACGGATTTGGATGTGAAGATGCGTTGATACATTTATTGAATCATGTGTGGCCCAATGTTTTCGAGACTTCGCCGCATTTAGTCCAGGCGTTCATGGATGCTGTGGATGGATTACGTGTCGCGCTTGGACCAATCAAAATTTTGCAATACACATTACAAGTATGTAATTATAATTGCGTGCTCGCGTATTTATATATTAGTAATTTTTTTATCTTGGCAAATATTAAAAATATATACATTACTCACAAGTGTTTGTTTTTTGTTACAGGGTTTATTCCATCCAGCCCGTAAAGTTCGTGACGTTTATTGGAAGATATATAATTCTCTTTACATTGGCGGACAGGATGCTCTTGTAGCTGGTTATCCTCGTATCATGAATGATCCAAAGAACCAATACATAAGATATGAATTAGATTATGTATTATAATAAACAACATTCATATAATAGTTGCGAGAAACACAATGAATTACATAATAATTTATATTGACTACACTCCTATATAATAAGAATAATTTTATTGGAGACAAATTTGTGAAAATCATTCTAAAATTAAAACCTGATGTATAGAGAGAGTTTCTCATTTCAGGATATTGAATTGTATTTAATGAATCAATTAGGTGCATCATTGATTAAATGTTGACGAATTAAATTATATTTATAATATGGGTAAAAATTTACTACTTTATAATGTAGATAAACATTTAATGATTCTGTCATATATGTCCGAATGTATAAATTGATATACTTTTTTTATATTTTTCTTTATAAAGTAAAAGTTGATATATTATAAAAATGTGTTGTTATATAAGAAAATTAGTTTGTTTAATTAGTTTAGTTTTTATATTTTTCATTTCTGTATCAGAGCATTTGATCTCTTTTTAAATTCTAAATTTTTGAAAAATTCTCTATATTTATTATATCTCGAAAACTTTAATAATAAAATTAAAAACTAAAATAAAAATTTGCTTTTCTAATGTATTACATTTTACTTTTTGTTTGTAACTCTTTGATTTATAATATTGTATTCTTAAAAAAAACAATTTTTTGATGCTTATTATGTAACAAATATTGTTATTTATCACAACACAATGATAATTTTATATTTTTATTCACATATAATGATATAATTATTCACATAAATGTTATTTAATAAAAATTTTATGTATATATATATATGTGTAAAATAATACAGTTAAAATAATTACAGTTCGATACCCCTAACTTTTAACAATTGTAACTAATTATTGATAATATTTAGTGTTTAGTGTTGTTATATATATTTAGTGTTGTTATATATATTTAGTGTTGTTGGCCTGATTTTGACGTTTAATAGTTGTTAATTTAATTATTATTAGCAAAATTAATGTGACGTTACAGAATAATTTTAAATTTTTGTTTCAATTATGTTTTAAATCGATAGAAAACCGATTGTTAGTCGATTGTTAAATATATTTTCAAGAATGATTGTTGGATTATTTAGTAATTATAACAAAATATTACAAAATAATAACAAAATTATAACAAAATTTTCAATAGCGCACATACTGCGCATGTGCAACTATGCCATGTATGTACGTCTGGACTTGGCTTTAAACGTCAGTGTGACAAAACTTTTATAGTTTAGACGTTTCGCTGAAAAACTGCCTTGACGATTCCAAATTTGCGCCTTGACATCATTCGCTTCTCGCGTCATCGTTACTCTCGTAAGGGTGTGGCGTAGGCAAATTGCAAAATCTGTAACACAACCATAGAGTTCCACGTTCATTTTCATAAAAGGCCATGTTACATTCGCCGAGATCGGATTGGCTATCTTGATTTAAAATCTGACAAGAATATGGATGTAACAATTGTACCACAATCATACGCGTATAATCCTTCGGATATTATCTGTCTTCATTAATTAGTTAATAGTAAGTAAATCCTTTTTTGTTAAAAATATTAAATTCGTAAATACACTTTACGTTAATTATAGAATGCAGAACATTAGTATCTCAAAAAAGTAATTTCAATTATATTTTTTACATAACATTAAACATTTGTGTTTGAATTAATTAAAATGCATTATGAGGTAAATACGCATTAAAGATAATAAATACAAGCAAGAGAATTAAATTTAAATAAATATATATAAATATATAATTAGTTATAATAAAGATGTTATAATGAAGAAATTGAATATTAATATAATGTGTTAATTTACATTATTCTTAATTGAATTTTTATTTTTTAACAATTTCATAATTATTAATTCTTAATTATGTTCCAATAATATAAATTTGTTTACAGCATTGTTAACAGAACTTTGTTAAGTGCAAGTGAATAAAAAAAAAGTAGAAATATTTCTTAATGTTTAAACATATAATCGTGTTCTTCTATTAAAATATGCCAGGGTAAGTAGTATCTCTTTGAGGAATATATAATGAAAAAATTGTTCGAGTTAATATATAATATTCAGTTTCTATTGTTTAATTACTAATAAGTATTTATATATGTATGCAGGGTTACAGAAATGTCATTGGATCATATGTTTTGCTCTCGCTGCAGAGAAGGTTTTGTAGCACATGAAAAGATTGTGAACTCAAATGGCGAATTGTGGCATCCACAATGTTTCGTGTAAATATATATATATGTATTTTTTATTTACCTTTTCTATTTTTGTAAATATTGCACTTGGGGAAGTTTTTCTTTTTACAAAATTTTATTTTTCTATTTTTCAAGTACTTTAATCATTGGTTTCTCTGTTATTTTTCACACTACACAAAATTATAGATTATACCATTTATTTTATGAATTGAATCTCATGAGGTTATTTTGACAGATGCGCACAGTGCTTTCGGCCATTTCCAGATGGAATCTTTTATGAGTTTGAAGGATACAAATACTGTGAACATGACTTTCATGTTCTATTTGCCCCATGCTGTGGCAAATGTGGTAAGCTAATCTTAAAGATTTGCACTCAATATAAGTATTTCTTTATGCTATGATAATCATATAAAAGTTTGTAATGTATTTAAATATACTCAAACTATTACTTACTCAAACTATTGTTTTTGTGCTAGGTGAGTTTGTTATTGGCCGTGTGATTAAAGCGATGAATTCAAACTGGCATCCACAATGTTTCCGCTGTGAAGAGTGTAATGGTGAATTGGCGGATGCAGGCTTTATCAAATGTCAAGGCAGAGCGTTATGTCATACATGCAATGCTAGAGTGAAAGCCGGCGTGCTCGGGAAACACATATGCCATCAATGCCAGTATGTTTTGTTATTTATTTTTGCATAAAAGTTTGATTTAATAAAAAGAAACATCCGAAAAATTTTCAAAAATAAAATTTAAAGAAAAAAAAAATTATTATTATCAGTATTATTTTCTACAATTTCTAGTGGAGTGATTGATGATAAACCTTTACGTTTCCGTGGCGAATTATATCATCCATATCACTTTAATTGTACAACTTGTGGTATAGAACTTAATTCTGAAGCCAGAGAAGTTCGTTCTCGACCTGGATATGCTGCCAATGAAATGGTAAGATTATGTGGATTGAATCGAAATCACTAAAGTAAAAAGATTTTTATAAAAAATATATACCTAAATTTATATGTGCAAGAATGCGAATAAAAAATAATTTTAATCATAATTATGCCAAAAAGTTTGACAATAAATTTTAAATAGTCTATAATTACATGTACGAAGACATCTTTTATCAATAAACATTTTCATAGTCTAATATATTAACACACAACTTTATCTTATTTAGAACGAATTGTATTGCTTAAGATGTCATGATAAAATGGGAATTCCAATTTGCGGCGCCTGTCGGCGTCCCATTGAAGAGCGCGTAGTAACTGCACTTGGTAAACATTGGCACGTAGAACATTTCGTATGTGCAAAATGCGAGAAACCCTTCCTAGGTCATCGTCATTATGAAAAGAAGGGTCTCGCATACTGCGAGACTCATTATCATCAATTATTTGGGAATCTTTGCTTTGTCTGCAATCAAGTTATTTCTGGAGATGGTATGTGTATAATAGAAAATGCTACATATTAAAAATTAAATAATCCAAATACAATGAATGGAAACTTCATTGGAAAAGATCAATCTTATTTACATGATATAAACGGAAACTATTTTATTTTTTTGGACTTTTATTTTCTTTTTACTCTCTTTAGAGATTTTTTAAATATATATATATATATTTTTTTTTTGTAATAATGTATAATATTTCTCTTCTATTAATATATTGAACTTCTACAATTCTTAAAATTTCTTCAATAAAGTTACATTGAACTGCCAAAAGCGTGAAATTATATAAATTTTCTTTTTGCAATTTTTTTGTGAATATTAACAATTTTAATCTAATGCAATATCTTTTTCAGTTTTTACAGCATTGAACAAAGCATGGTGTGTCCATCATTTTGCGTGTGCATTCTGCGATCAGAAGATGAATCAGAAGACAAAGTTCTTCGAATTCGATTTAAAACCCGCATGCAAAAAGTGCTATGACAAATTTCCGCAAGAATTGAAGAAGCGAATGCGACGTATGTATGATCTGAATCCTAAAAGAATTCCACCAGTTTAAATGGTCCAATTTCTCTGAATCTACAAGTATCGATCAAATAGTAGAAATGGTGTCCGACTTCTCTGAATGTTTAAGGATCAATCAAATATTCTTTGTTTACAGTGCCTTAAAACATACTGCCTAATATATTAACATAAAAAAATATATTAAATCTTTTATATTGCATTGTAAGAGCTATATGAAATGTATCAAAGCTATTCTATTATTCTACTACAAATATTTGAACATAGGATTGCTGTAATTTTTAATGCAATTTATACAATTGAGAAGCTATTGTTCTAATATTCTTTTCTAATTTGATATCTATAAAAAAAGTGTGCAATAGTTTTGAAACATTTTATATAACCAATCGAGGCACAATGCTAATAATTTATATTTTAAATGTACAACAAATAAGCAGATATTTTTAATTATATTGTATAATATACACAATTTGTATATATATAGCTCATTATTTAAATATTTTTAAACTTATTTGTATTATTGTTGTATTTAATATTAAGTGTCCATACACAAATTCTGATATCTAAAAATAATAGCCTTTATATATATATATACACATATACAAACAAGAGATACAGAGTTGTATTTTATCAATGAAAAAAGAAAAAAATGCACACTGAAAAAAAAACGGAAGTAAATTTTTACCTCTATTAAAATAGCATGATTTATTTTTAATAAAAGTTTATTTTTCTCGTTTTTCTCTCTTTCGACATTTTTTTTCTTCGGGAAAATCTCAACATACGTAAATTTAACGTATGATTAATGTTAAATGTCTTAAAAGTATGATTAGTATTCTAAGATTAACGCTGCGTTTAGCGCTAAATGTAGTCAATTGATCTTGAACTTTAACGCGGTATAATCGATTCGGCTATATATATACATAGTTCGATGACGTCAAAAGCAAGGGAGAAATCTACAGAAATTCCCGAGATGACCTACGTTTTTATAAAAGCACATAGTCACATGAAAAAAAAATATTTAAAAAAATAATACTAAAAATTATGAAATAAAATGACAATATATATATATATATATATATATATATATATATATATATATAAAATCTTCTGTACATATAATTGATAAAATTCTATTTTGAAACCATAATCGGATAGCCGCATTTCGTGCTAAACGCTGTCGATGTAAATAGGACCATGCTACTTTATTGTTGCGATGAAGCGGGCCTTCAACGGGTGAAAATATAAATCATGAAAAAGAAAAATCTTTATAAGGCAATTCCAATAATAAAAATAATAATATAATACAATTGTTTCTAATCTTTTACAATGCGCACAGCAGTCGCTTTTATCGCATTTTTTTATTCTTTTGTTTTTGTTAAGAAATTTTCTCTGAATTCGTATATATAAAAAAGTCTCGATTCGAATCGGCGGCCGTTTCACTCGGCGAAAGCCTCGAACGCTATTCTTTTTCTTTCTTTTCTTTTTACACATACATACACGCATACAGACATACAAATGTACATGTACACATACACACGCGCATTCTCTGCTTCTGCCGTTTTTTTAAATATATATATATATATATATATATATATATATATATATATATATAATGTATATATGTATATATTTTTTTTACAAATTTGTCACTTCATTACGCACAGCAAGGCAGCGGCTTGAAATCCTTGTGATTACGATTTCAAGATTGAGAACATTATCGGCAACACTTTCTCACGAGCGTTTCTCCTTGCTTTAATTAGATATCGATATATTACATGTTTGCGTATGAAAATGTCAAATTTTTTAATTTCCTGTGCTTCTAAGAACCTTTCAAATTTTTGTATTTTACAATTAATTTTTAGTATTTTACATTTTTTAAATTCCGCGATATTACTAATTGTTCGATTTTCAGAATAATTTCCAATTTCTGTTAGTTTTAGATTCTTGCTTCTAATACATTTAATATGTATTTATGTATTAATATTCTTGTACTCTATTGTATATCTCTATTGTATATCTCTTGATTATATATATATTTCTTGGTTAAATTCCAAAGAAGTGCATGGTAAAAAGCTGTTCTACAAATTAATATTTATTTATTAAGCATACGAACTATTTAAAATTTTTAAGATTTAATTTAATCGCAGATTATAAAACTAACTATTCCGACGCGCGCATATAATTTAATTTATTAATATTATTAAAAACTTTATTAATATAATATAGCTAAATCATAAAATTTACAAACGTAGAAAAGTGTACAAATTCTATTTTTCGCTAATAAATAAATAAAATGATTTAATTTTTAGCTTGTTTAACACCGTACATATCTTTTAGTTGTGAATGTGTATGATTATATATTAAAATATTTTCTTATAAAAAATAATGTATTTCTAATTTCATTAAAAATTTCTTGAGATTACATCAGTCTAAATAAAAACAGACTTTTCATACGCAATAACGTAATAATAATACATATAGTGTAGCTAAAAAATATATTTTTAGATCCTTGAATCCTTAGATTTGTGTGTTATTTTGATCTGTATATTTGCGTGCATCCTTTCAAGCCCTTGGATCTTTGGCTCTTTGAAACTCTAATCTGATCAATGTTTAAATTCCTAAATTTCTTTCAATCCTATATCAATATATCAATATATTTTTCAATTCTCACATTTCTGGATATTTTTTATTTCTTATAATTAACGAATTTTGAATTTTTTTTGAATCTTTGGTAGGCTCTCTCAATTCTTCTGATGGGATTTTTAAAATTTCAAAGACTTCTATATTCTTCTTAAAATCTCTAATCGTTCTATTCATGATTCTTAATTACATTATAGATTATTATACTACTAATAAATTTTTTAATTATCACACATTGTATCGAATAATTGCACACTTGTATATATTTATTGATTCTAATATTCTTACAGTCTCAGATTTTAGAATACTCGATTGCAATTCTAATATTATTGGCTTCTTTTCAACAGAGCAGATCCATGAATTTTTTTTAACTCTCTTAACTCATTCCGGTTTTCGAATACTTAGATCTATGGATTCTCGGATTCTTAGATCGTGCAGAGATTTGTACAATAATCATACATACAGAATCATTTCGATGGGCGTTATACAAAGAGAATTTTATAATACATGCGTTCACGCATAATAACGATTATAAGAAACATCGTTACTTACTAAGTACAGAAGGATGGAAGAATTGGAAGCCACATCAAAAATCTCTTCCTATTTTAAGTAGAAACGATAATTCGAACGATCAGACCTCTCTCAGAGAGATATCGTTATTTCGCTAAAATGTTAGAAAAGTACACAGGATAGTTCAAAAATCTCGCTACAATATAATAGAAAGGTAAACAACTTTCTGATAAAATAACTAAAGAAAAAACAAATTTTTTCTATACAAGTAACTTTGTTTTTTCGGAGCATTTTTTTGTCAAAAGCAATTTCTAATATGCATACACAATCTTTTTCATTTTAATAAGTAAATCATTCTTCAATTTTTCTCGTAAATATATTGTATCCTTGAGTTTTATTTTTAGATATTGAAAATGCTACGCATAATTACTATCAGTTATATTTTAATACAATTTCTGAATATGTAATATCTTTTTGTCCAGAATTTCACATTTTCAGATTTATAGTTTATTTGTTCTTTGATATTTTCTTGTAACTTGAAATCCCGAATTCCAAAAATAAAGATTTATTAATATTTACATTTTCAAATTAAAAATTGAAAAGTTTGGTCTTTGCATATTCAAATTGTTATGTCGACAAGGAATTAGTCTCTTATCAATTGTACCATGATTTTCGATCTACCCTACATTCAGACAAGGAAGAAAAGATAAAACAGCAGACGCAGCCGAGTTTAATACGCATACACATACATACACAGATCAATACATACACACACATACAAGCTGATATTGATGATAATTAATACTAACTCACTGAATATATCGATAATAATGTCGTTACTTCAGTGCAAGAATAGAAAAAAATGTACAATTTTTATCTAAAATTAATTTCAGAAAAAATATTTCCTGTTTAAGTTGGCTGTGATTTTATAGCAACAGCAAAGCGTGCAGAGTAAAAAAATTTTTTTCTTTTCGCCTTTTCTTACATTAGAGTAACGACATTAGCGCGGATACTTATAATAATATAATAATAATAAAAATAATATTAACAAAAGTCAAAGCAAAAGAATAACAATCTGAATTGGGTACGACAGTACAATGCACTTTGTACATTTGTTATGCTCAATTTCAAGCAGCTGTGATCATTTACAAATTACGCGTTAGTAAATATATGCACATAGGGAGATATTACCGCCGCTTATTTATCGCCCTTCAAGGGCTACATCTAAATTATTCTAATTTGTTAATGACATCATCGTGCGATTCATTTCGAAATGGAGCAAGAAAATGTGTTAATGGTTCAATTTTTGTAAAATCTAATTTCCAAACATATATTTTTTCATGCATATAATATGCGCATTTCGCTCTTTAAAAAATAAGCGATTTAAAAAAAATGACTATAGAACTTAAAAATAAGAAAAAATGTTAAAATTAATTCTTGATTCTAAAGATTAAGAATTCAATTTTACAGCATAAATTCTTTTCTCTGTTCTCTCATCTCTCTGATATATTTTGCACACAATGACAATTGTATGTATCCAACAACTCTGATAATTATTAGCAATTAACAGATGTTTTCATGAGAAAAAAAGCATTATAAATAGAAAGATTGTAAATGTTTAAATTAAAAATTATGTGTGTGTGTGTGTGTGTGTGTGATATGTCGAAAATATATGAAAAATATATATGTGAAGAAGACAAACCAATGTGCAAATTGTGCAAATTATTCAATCAATTGCCATTTTCTTGCTCCAAGAAAACGAATGATCATATATGACGTAACCTCGTAGCTTGGAGGGAAAAAATGATATGCATTGGCCCAGTTCAGTTTATCAATATTGGCAACAATATGATGTGATCCATGATTATCCTTAATTAATTGATTTATACTCCTTTTCCAATAAAAGTCATTTAATTTATTATTTATGCGACTTTTGTGTAAAATTTCTCTGTAAATCAGTGAATATTTTTCGATAAACTTAATTAACAATCTCCAATTCCCACATCATAATTTTAAATTTTTCTCAAACTTTTTGGCAAACATCAGAAAAGAATTTTGCTGCTGGATAAAAAGTAAAATTAATATATATATATATATATATATATATATATATATATATATAATCCACATAAATACATATATAAACTTCTAATTAAAATATTTTATTTAAATAAATATTTCAGAAAGAGAGAAGAGTACAAGAATTGTGTTTATTTATTAACAAGACGATAAATAAAAATTAAAATATATATTTAAACAGGTATTATATAGAAAAAAATCTATAAGAAAAATGGTAATACATACCCGTGCAAAATTTCACATTGTTTTCATTTTCAATGTCACTGTTTTAAATGCTACATTACAGAGCGTCTTACAAAAGGTGTGTACCAGCAGCAGGAAATGAACCTAACATAACACCAAAATGCGACATTAATAAAATGCTTAATTTGCACTCTTAATTTTTTCGAATGCCGTGAGACTTGGTCATAGATGCTTTAGAGATATATGTTAGTAGTTCATTTGATTATAATAATTAAAAAATTTAATAGATATAATCTTATAATTGATTTTATTACGATATAAATTTCTGTGCTAGGTTTAAAAAATATCTTTTGTCTGATTGAAGCAATCTATGGCACTCTAGATAAATCAAAAGCAAAAGTTTGCACAACTGAATACGTGAAATTGTTCCTATTCCTCGGCAGTGTAAAGCGAGTAGTAGTTGTTATTAATCACATTTTATTTTATATATTATATATGTATACATATGTGTGTGTGTATATATATATATATATATATATATATATATATAGATATATATATATATAAAGTTGAGCTCTTCTTTAAAAATCTTAGATTACAATAATGTTCTTGAAAAATAACAAATTCCTCTTCCAAAAAAATTTTAGATTAAAAAAAATATGATTTACATTTAGTTAGCTTTCAAGTTTCCTTCTCAAATAATTAAAAAAAGCTTTGGAACATTACTGATTATTTTTTAAAAATAGATTTCTAGATTCTTTTAAACTTTAAAATATTGATATCCTAGGTTATTTAAAATTCTATCTTCCCGAATGCTTTCAAACGCTCATAGATATCTATAATTTCTTAAAACACTTATTTTTGTATCCCTATACTTTAAGATCCAAAATGTTTTGATATTAATTTTTAAAATATCTTGAAAACTTTTACAAAAAAATACTACTTTTAAAAATAATTAAAATGATAATTAAAGTGAAATTTTTCCATTTTACATTGACAAGTAAAATATACAAATTCCAAATTCTACCTGCTACTGTTACTCTCCTCTTTCAACGTTCTGTAAACATTGGGTCAGAAGCATTCGAAAACGTAGTCGAAGCGTTGATATCTTCTTTATATCAGATTATTCTTATAATCGGATCTAATTGAAGCTGGTGTCTTGATTTGAACAGAATAAACTAAAGAGCGACAGCAATATGGCCCATTAAATAACTCGGAGCAAGCTCTCTTCTTTCTTTTCTCTTCACATTCCCTCTTGTATCTTCCTATATATCCTTTTTTCTCAGTATACAATCACCATTGTTAATCCTAACCGTTGCTCTTTCTTCTCTTGCGACTTTTCTGTAAGCAATTTCTTCTATCGACGGAGATTCCATCCTTCGCTAGATTCTTTTTCTCGAGCACATACCATCCATGCAGACAGGACCGATATAGTTCGTCGTCTTTGATGCCTGGTGCAAAATGGAAGAACACTCGCGCTTCGAAGCTGACTCAGTCTTCGTTGCGTTTCTCGCTAGGAAGAAGGATATCAGCAGCTATGTGTCACTGTGTGTCGACTTGGATGACGCGTTTTTAAGGTATAGGACATTTGGCCCCGCTTAACGGAGCGATTCTCCTAAAGATCAACAAGGAGGGGCACTTCGAGGATCTTCGCCGCATAGCAAGTGACTCACATGGAGTAATCCCCTCAGGATTCTCCGGAAGGTGCATTGAGCGACAAGACTGGCCGTGTTGCCAGAATTTAGATGGGGCTAGGAAGCAGCCAGCGAGCCTAATCCCGGCGGATTCTGATTACTTTGTACCGCTTGCGCGGGCACCTGATTGTAAGGATGATTGCTGTTGCACAACACTGTATAGATATTTTCCACATTGCTGAGTTTCTCGAAGAAGGGGATTAAATCCAGTAATTCGGAATCCGTCATGTCATCAAACCAAGATGCCACTGGAACCTGTAAAAAATAAACGTTTTACTTTTAATTATTCACTTTTAATATGCTTTTATAGGAATGAAAAATCACACATTCTATGTATTAAAATAAATATATAATATATAATAATTCTCTTTTTGTTATATATGTTATCAAGCATATCTTACCGCATTATCCGGATGGAAAATGTAACTGGCAGGACTATTATCTACAATAATGATTTGTTGCAAATCACGACCTAATTTGTTCAAATCCTTAACATAATTGCCTCTATGAAACACACAGGATTCTCTAAATAATCTTGCTCTGAATACACCCCATCGATCTAATAGATCTGCCACTGGGTCTGCATACTGTAAAATACCATATAATAAAACAAAACATTAAACAATGAATAAAAATCCAAATTTTTTCTTTTTACTAATAAATTTGCTCCATTACAATTTTCTTATTGTGACAAATGGTATTAAAATTTTTGCATTTGCACAGTAATAATGACTTTATACAATAATAATTTCTAAAATTCATTTTTATGAGTTAATTTATCTGAAAAGATAATTGTCTTATGTAAGATATCTTATGTAATAATATAAATAAGTAACATACTTAACATAACATAATGTTTCAAATTTATTATACTATTTTCCGTTGGCTAACAAATTGGAAAAATAAAGAATTTTCACAAATTAACCTTCACATAAATAAATAATAAAACATTAAATAATTTAACAATAAATAATAAAACATTAAATAATTTTTCAATAATTATATAAGAATACTTTTAATTATATTGAAATATAATCCAACATAATAGTCTAGTTAAAACTTGTTTCTTTTATATTCATTAAATGCTTAAAAATTTTTAGTTCCTCTTGTTTTTCTTTTAACATACCTTAGCCAAGCTTGCAGTGAACAATACGCATTCGTACAATTCACCCATTCTCTGCAAAAACTCGTCCACATAAGGCCTCTTTAAGACGTACACTTGGTGTACTGTTCCATCAATCTCTACAGGAACAACAAAGTCCGCATTGTTGATTGGTTTGAAAGAACTATGCACCAGGGTCTCGTCCAAATCAATTACCATGCACTTCTTGTGCATGTCTTGATGCCTAATCGGCGGCAGGAGGAATCTCGGAGATCCGGTGCCTGGTGGTGGCGAACCACGGCCATCTCCCTGTAAAGAACTCGACTTGGAGCTCTTTGAACTGCCACCACGACCCCTTCCGAAGCAGCAGAGTAGAGAGCGCAGGAGTCCGCGCCCCCTTGGCTTCTTGCTGCTCGATGGACTATTGCTGGCTGCTTCATTTTCCCGAGGTAATTGAGCTACATTGCATAAAAAGAAGTAAATGTTAAAAAAGCTTGTTAGCGCAAACATATATACATACATGTTTTTGTTTAATCAAATTTTTATCAACAGTTACAGTAATCCTAAATCCGATATATATACTTGTATTTGATATAAATTTTAAGTTATCTTAGGATTCAATTATTGACAACAATAATGTTAAACTAAGAAGCTTTCAGTTTACAATCAGGAGGGGACATTTGTATCTTACATATCATAGAAGTGGCACATTACTGTTATTAACCTTTTATAGTGAATTTTTTGTTTTTCTCTTTACAAATTGCCCTTAGAAGATTCACTCAAAGCATGAAAGGTTAAAGGGCATGACATAGTGTAAGGAAATAAAGAAATTCGTGACATTGTTTATGGGGAGCAAGATGACAAGGGGTTGAAAAACACGATAGCGAAGAGACGAGGAGCATCAGGGGATTAGGGAGTAGCAGACGGAGACGGGCAAGGATGTTGCTTTCGCAGAGAGGAGAGAGTAAATGGAACGAGAAGAGGAGAAGAGAGGAGAAGAGAAGAGAGGAGAGATGATGAAGATTAGGCCGAGATTCAGGAGAGTGAGAGAAACGGCGGGGGATCTCGCCGTAACAGGTGCAAGGCGAGCGAAACCCCGGCATCTGGCGGTAAGTTTCGCGAGCGACGAGGACGAGGATGACGGTTTGTACGGGACTGATACGCACCTTTCTCGCTGTTGAACGCGCCTAGCTCGTCATCCCGCGACACTTGGGTGATAATGGACGATGCGTCCATTTAAACATTAGTCGGTGGTCCCTGCGTGCACGATCGCGAATTCCGTTAACGCGCGCGCGCGCGCGCCAGTCGACGGACGGACGGACGAGCGTGCGAGCGAGCGAGCGAGTGAACGGGCCAGCGCGCGCGAGAGACGCAGGGTGTGCGAGGGAGAGAGAGAGCGCGCGCGCGCGCGCGACAGAGAGACGCGATTGGCACGCGCGCGTGAGAAGGAGAGGGAGAGAGAGCGCGACGCACACAAGCTAACCTCACTCTCTCGCTCGCGTCACTCCCCCCCACCACCGCCACCGCCGCCGCGTCGCCGTCGTTCCCCTCCCGCGCGAATGGAGACGCATAGGCGCAGGAATGACACACGCGCACACCACTGTACTATGCGTGTACTATGTGACACACGCACACTGGAGCAACCGCGGGCGCTTGAATCGGAGCAACGAAGCTCTCGCTGATCGAATGTCGTTGATGACGAATGCCGCGAGCCACTTCGGGCGTCTTGCTTCTCCCGGGACACGTGCGCACTACGCCATTCCTCGTAGCTCCGGGGACGACGCGCGCCTTTCCCTTTTCACGCGCCACACCTATCGGCTCATTGCTATTCGTTCCACGACATGACGGCGCCTCGCCTCGGCACGCTTCGGTTTCGCTTCGTGGAACGAGGGCGTCGATTTCGACGACGTACTCTCCGGGGCTCGCGCTTTCGGACACACGACCTACGTCCAGTCTACGCACGTCCAGACTGCGACGTAGAAAACTTGGCCATGTTGTCGAGGCGGCGCCTGGCCTGGCCTTGAGCCACGAATGAAAGTCTACTTTTCGAGACTGATCGACGTGTACAGCTTCCTCATCCTTGTGGCTGCGAGGATGCCTCGATACGGAGGATCTTTACGCGTGTCGCGTCGCGCGCGCACATGCTTGTCGCTGAAATGACAATCGGCCACGATCCGCGACCTTGTGTGCGTAATGTGTAACTTCAAATGTATATACGGTGAAAAGGAAAAAAGGGAAATATATTAATATTCGATATGTGTATGTACACATTAACCGCGACTTGTCGATGCAATTGGACAATCTTTGTACTGCGCCTTAAGCTCGTATCAGAATACGTGCATTGAAGATTAAAACTTGACCAATCGGGACAGGGAAGTTTTAGTCGCTTTCCTTTTGACTAAATTCCAATTCTCAATACGTAATCTGATCTGACGAGTTTTATCGGATCCTGTATTAGAATGGAGATTGCGTCGGATTTGCATCGGAATGAAAAATAATTTTTATTTCGATTTGTCAAATTTCATGCGTAATCTCAATCTTCGATGTGTACGAGCCATAAGACCTTCAATATCAAATTACGATTAAAATGACGTATCAAAAGTCTAGTTTCCATCAAATGTATCAATTTGGTTACGGAACGAATATAATAGTCGGTTTCCATCGGAAGTAAAGAGTGAATTAAATTAATTTTTATTTCCTTTTAATTCAATTTTTCTTTTAGAATTACAAATTTTTTGTATTTTACATTGACATATATTTTAAATTTTATATTGATATATATTGATATAATCTTTTATAATGTTACAAAATTTTAACGTTATTAACAAATTTAATTTAATACTCTATTATCATTATTATAAAGTTTATTATAAAGTTATTGTAAGTTTAACAATTTTAATGGAAGAGTTGAAATTAGTATCATTCATTCTTATTGTTTCTATCGATTAAATTTGCTCCTGAACTGCTATTTCTACGAAGAAAACAAATTGAAGTAAAAATTTTTATTGATTTTAATCTTATTTCATTCCAAATTGAAACCAAACGAATCAAACGTTCGATGAAAACTAGAGCAAAAATCGAGATTTGACTAATCGGAACAAATTGTTTCTCTTGTTCCAGTTAATCAAATCCTATATATTTTTGACATTTATTCATATTATATAACATGCGAAACATGGATTTACTTTTTAATTTAATAAATTCGATCACTTATTCAACATCTGATACATGGCTCTTCTATGTAACCCTTGTATAAAAAGTGATTCTAAAATCAACAGATATCTCTATTCCTTATGCATATATATTAAGAATCTCTGAGTTTTTCTTTGATCTATCATTAATGTCAACAAATTTACATGTGCTTATTTTTAAAAAAACATTTTGATGGCAATAAATAAATTTATTAATTCATAAAAACAAATATGTTATCTATATTCAATTATCTATATAATTGAATCTAATCACCTTTGCAATTTTACTGTCCTTAAACATGGTTGACCATACCTTCTTTCAGCTTCATTGAGAAAAGCATTCTCCATTTGTCTTACAATCTCATTGAAAAAGAGATTTGAAAAATGAGAATAAATGGCAGATTTAAATTCAAAAGACAAGGAAAAATCAATCACACATGTTTCAGAATTGTTTTTCAGTCCAGGACTGAAAAGCCACAGCGTATTCAAGTGATCGAACAATCTGCCCTCTCTACATTCTGCTTTAACTATTCTTGGATACACCATAGTCACCTTTGAACTGTAACTCTCATTTATAGGTGGGAATCCTATTACTAGATTGGCTTTCAGGAAGTCTTCAGTTTTTAAAGTAATTTCAGATTTCTTGCAGAAAGGTATAAAATTCTTGTAATTTCCTACATCAGCAACCACATAATACATCTTCTCCATTGAAAACCTAAATAATAAATACTGCATTAAATTAATGATATTTTTAATAACACAGTCTACAACAAGATTCAACAATTTTCAATGATATTAATAAAGAAATATGTTGAAATCTCAAACAAATACTTTACAACAAGTGATACAATAAGTGATAAAAGAAATGATTTAATGTAATCTAGATATCTATTTAATGTCTTCTAGAAAATAATATAAAAAAAGTAAATGGTAATAAAAAATAAGAATAAAATATATTATAAAAGTATAATAGTTTATAATGGTTTATAATAGTTTTTTTATTACCCTACTAATTTGCGACCTTCGTATTCTTTGGTTTTGTAACTCGCACGTGTTCTGTACATTCGCCACAAGCTCCGCTCAAAAGAATCATACTTCCATGGCAATGCCAATTGTTGTAGAAAAACTGCATGAAACTGCCTAAAGTTTTTTTATATACAACTAAATGTAGAATAGTAAATTGTTTCACACGTAGAATGATAATTATTTAATTTAATGAACATCGTCTGAAAACAAGCATTGTTTTCGACAGGGGAATTCAATTCAATTCAATTGTCATACACAATGTCAAAGTAAAATTTTCGACTGAAATACATTACCTGCGCATGTCGAGTACATAAAATACTCAAACTCAATTTCGTTGCGATATTTGCAGCTTTGCATTTAGAGTTGACATATCGAAATTATAACCTCGAAAAGTACACACTTCAATGTCTCAATCTTGTTCAACTAGAAGTGTTTCCAATAATAATCACCTTCATTTTTCTAACTTATGTAACAAACTTAACATCATAAGTGCGTTCAAAATAGTGAAATTTAAATTACTGATATAAATATATATATATATATATATATATATATATATATATATATATATATGGGAAGGGAGGGGGTAAATACATTGGAGTGCGATCGAATTCGGCTCCTTTCGTATAGGTTCGGTTCAGCTCGGTAGATATATATATATGTGTGTGTGTGTGTATATTGCAAATTTATTACAAATCTACCTGTCATCGCCGATAAGCTGCGTCTATGTACTTTTTATATCTATGGTCGCAATTTTATATTTTTATCGCTAGAGTTTTTGCTTGTGTTATAGAGGTATGTATACATAGAATTAATTGATCTAACCCCCTTTATTGCATCTATTCGTCGAACGAGAGAGTCATGAATCTTGTCACTTAGTGTCAGGTTATGTTTGATCATGTCGTGAGAAAGATCGGTATCCCGTATACGCATAAATCAACGTAAATTAATAAATTACACTCTTAATGTTACAAGGGTGGAAACAACGAGGTTCCACCGTCGTTCGAGGTGTCAACCGACTAGGAACGTATACGTCAAGAGGTACGAGATCACGCGTGGATTGTACGCAGGTATTGTGTTATTATACTTTTTATAATAATTGAATTCGTATATTATAAAATACTGTACTGTACTGTATATTATAAAAAAATTTATGCATCCGTTATGAATAGATATTTCATGCAAATCTTAGATTATTTACATATGTTTCAGGTAATTTTTTATTTAAAAAAATAGAGTTACGATGCCTTAAAATTAAGCTGTATTCCCTTAATCTTATAATTATTTTAATTTAATTTAATTTTGAAATTTTTTTCTTAATAAAAATAACAAGAAAGATAATTATTTTCGCACACTTTTCCAGTTTATATCTTTGTATTTAAGCTTGACATATTACAATTTTGCATTATTATATAAGATCAATTGAAAAACATGATTCTTTTTTTTTTAAACTTAATTCGCTTGAATTGTCATAATCATTAATTACTCAAATTTATTATCTTATTAATTTTTTTTTTAGAGTCATTATTTAGAAACTGACTTGAAATTTAAAATTTAAATTAAATGAGTAAAAAATTTCAATTAAATTATGTTAAGAAATAATTAATATTTATAACATAATATTGATATTTAATTTAAAAAATTAATTACAGGAAAAGAAGAGTGATAAAATTCTAATGTCAATTATCAAAGATATAAAAAGAAGATGGAGCTAATAGGGACTTTATTGAAATTATGGCTAATGAATGTTCTAATAATAAACTGCAGCAGTGCAGTGGTACCTTTTAAAGATAATTATCAAACTCTGATAGGTGGTCAAGGCTTATATAATGCCAGCGATGATGTAGTGATTCTCAATGCCACAAATTTCAAAACAAATATTTATGGCAGCACCAAAAGTTGGCTAGTTGAGTTTTACAACAGCTGGTGTGGCTTTTGTTATAGATTCGCGCCAACTTGGAAAGCTTTGGCGAGTGATATTCTTTGTAAGTTTTTTATTGCAAATTAAGTAAGCAGTTAAGAAAAAAATAATGAACTTTTTTTTAATGGAATTATATGTTATAAAATATATTATAATAATGTAAGAAATATTTATAAGGTTTTCGAAAATATTAAATAAAATATGATTAAAAGAGTGGCAATTATTTCAGCTTGGAACGATATCGTCGTAGTTGCGGCGATAGATTGCGCCGACGATGACAACAATCCAATCTGTCGCGAATACGAAATCATGCATTATCCAATGTTGAAGTATTTCTCTGTGAATGCGCATCCACCATCTTTAGGTTTAGTGATAGAAAAGGGGAGCAGCATTGATTCTGTGAGGCATAATTTGATTAGTAGACTCGAGATAGAACAACAGGAAGGACGAGGAATCACGTGGCCTAACATCACACCATACAGGTATGATATAAGTTTTCCACAGCCATTTCTTAGACTTCTTATTGCAACTACATTGCAAAAAGAATATATGTAAAAGTATAAAATAATTTGTTATAGAAATGTCGAAATAACGGATGTATGGAGGACAACGTCCAATAACGTGAAGTATTTCTTTTTTATTTTTGAAAAAACGGATTTCCACTTAGGCACAGAAGTCATTCTTGATCTTCACAGAATCAGCAGCTTGCAAATACGCAGGGTGACTTCTGATAATGAATTGTTATGCGTGGTGAACAAGGTTACCAAATTTCCAACTTTGATAGTCTTTGGGCGCAATGAGTCACAGAAGGTCGTTAATGTGAAAGTATCGTCGAGACAAGGAGTTCGACGAGCTATTAAGGATTATGTAATCGCGAAAGGAATTAATATCGATGAGACAATAGGCACGACAGTGTCCCACGATATGGCGCAGAATGTTGAGACTGCGCATCAAACAACAATTGGAACGATTATCAAGTCTCGCGAGGAACAGGAAGGGGAAGAACATTCATCGAAAAAAACTGATGATTATTTATACCAACTAGATCTGGAGAACGCATTGCATTATTCGATGAATAACGAAATATCCCTAACGAAGTCGATAAACGGCGAGAAAATGGAAGCCTTACGAAAATATCTCGCAGTGTTGACGGCATATTTTCCTCTACGACGCGGTAACACGTATCTAGAGGTGATACGCGACGTCGTCAAAAGCAGAAGCACCATGACCGGTGAAGAATTCAGTCAGCTGGCGAAGACGACGGAAGAAGTGATGTCGCCGGTGTACTCGGGAGCACCTCATCAATGGATAGGATGTAAGGGTAGCACAAATTCATATCGGGGATATCCCTGCGGACTGTGGACCATGTTTCACATGTTAACCGTGAACTTCGCGTTAGAACCAAACAAGGTTCCTCGGGCAGATTTCTCACAAGATCCTACGGCGGTACTGCGAGCAATGCATGGCTATATCGGGACGTTTTTCGGATGTGCTGACTGTGCTGCACATTTCGTGGAGATGGCTGGCAAGAATAAAATATTCGACGCGCATAGCAGAGACGAGGCTGTACTCTGGTTATGGCGGGCGCATAACCAGGTGAACGCTCGATTGTCGGGTGACGCTACGGAGGATCCCGAGCACAAAAAAATACAGTACCCTGCGATCGAGCATTGCCCGGCATGCAGATATGTTAACGGCAGTTGGAATGAGGAAGAAGTTCTACAATATCTGAAAACAAAGTACAGCTATAGTAGCATCAAATACGACGGGATTAGCGGCTACAACAGCAATGTCGGCATGATCAACATCGGCAATGGCTCAAGAGTTAGATTGGAGAGACTCGCCAAAGAGAAACGCCCCACCGCTTTCGGCTGGGACTTAAATGTATTTGACATTAGCATCTGTGTAGTGCTGTATGTTACTTCAACAGCGATACTAGTACTAGTATGCATTAAGTTTGCTGTTAAAAGAACTAAGAAAAAGAGTCACATCAGTCTGTTGCCCAAAGTGTGATCCTCTCTTCATATTTTGCGCTATGCATAATCGTCATCGTGCAACATTCCTGGACTAGTGTAAGCGTCATTTATACTATTTCTAATTTAAAAAAAAGATAAGTCACAAATTTTCAAATTATATATCCTTCAATTATAACAATCATTTCTTAATAAGATATAAAGTTAAGAAAAGTCACTATAGTGAAAATAATAACATTGAAAATAATAACAAAATAATATTTTTCAAACAAAAATTAAAATAATGCTCCTCATATTAACAAAATTTTTTTATCAGTTTTGAATAAAAGTTAAATTGCCAAATATGTAATTGCAAGATCGATATCCTTAATTATCCTGAACTTAGTGACTTTTCATAATCTTGTCTCGTCCAAAGAATGTTTAAGTTTACCTTGCAACAGAATGTAAGAAAATATGCCTCATAATACATACAGCCAACGAAATAAGAATAAATTATACATACATTATCTCTTAAATAGAACATGATTATATTTAATATTACTATATTTTTCCTCGTTTCATGTGTGATACATGTTAAAATTAATTATCATAACATGAATCAGATTTATTCATTTTCCAAAAATTTCCATATATTTTTCTGATAACTTTTTGATTATGAAAATAAGATAATAATATAAAAGTGGGAGAGAATAAACTAATTGTTGGTGTTAAAGTTATAATGCTGTCAGTTGATTCATAAAATGTCATAAGATGTCATAAAATAAAATGGGGACTATATAGAATAATACTTTCATGAAACGAGAAACAGAATACTCTTGTCATGCTTTGTTTAGCATACATTAATATAATATATTTATTAATATATAATATATTAATTGTCATAAAATTTTATATCAGAGATTACAACAAAATAAAACGTAAACGATTTTTTTTACTTAATGCATAATGAATGTGTCGCGGCTGATTCTCTCGAAATTATATCTCATTACATATTAGAACATATTATACCCTAAACAGTATAAAAACAATACAATTAATTAATTATCAAGGGCGTTTTCCAGCTAGCGACACAGAGGACACAGTGTATCACTTCATCCTTGTTGGTTGCCGAATGTAAACAATGATGAAATGATTCACTGTTACATTGTGTCACTAGCTGGAAAACGCCCCAATATACAATAAAAGAAGACAAATAAAACAAAATTATTTCTCCATTTCATAGGTTGTATCTTCCAGAAACGTTGTCTACGACTTCCTTTTATATTTTTGATACAGTTATTTATATATATTTATATAAAAAATTTTATACTGTTTAGGTCTTATACTGTTTACCGTTAGATGTTCAAGCAAAGAGAATCAATAACTATATTAATGTGTAATTAAATAAATGTTCAAAATATTGGATTATATAAAGATTAATCTTCGACTAATTTATTGTAATTGTGTTTGAAATCAAAGGGATTGCGTAAAGAAAATGTGGTTGTGATTCAATATGTCTGTGAAATCTGGATAAAAGTTTATCTTTGATGGATAATATTTCATTTTGTAAATATAGGCTGCCAGGAAAAATTACTTCTCTACTGATCATATATAAGTTATCTTTCTTATGTAGATTTTTATAATAAAATATAATGTACAATATATATTCCTATTGTGTTTAAACACAGAAATAATCAATATATTTCATAAAATCTAATGTACACTCAAATATATATTCTTTCTGTGTTTAAACACAATAATGATCTTCATGAACATCTTTGTGAATGGTTGGAGTTTCCTCTTTCATTGAATAATAAATTTAGATAACAATTAAGGAAATCAGAAGAAACTGCAAAGTTTTTTATATTCTTCTAATTTTAAGATAAGAAATACAATTAATTTATATATAATTACAGATAATATGTACATAGTGTTTCAGATGTAGCGTGAAAGAATTGTGTATTATCTGTGTATGCAATTTAATAAAATAATACTGTCCATTACAGATATGAATCTCATTTACAACAGTTATGAAGAATAGTTAAATATGTATAATATACAGTTAAAAATATAGAAAGGTAACCAACAATCTTGATTTTTGTTTTAAAAACGTGATCCATTCAAATGTCAAATTAATTTTTGTCATCCGAGTCATTGAAATATCTTTAACATTTTTAATAAATGCTCATATATTGACACATTTCATGCAAACACAATTTTAGAAGAATTGTATAGCACTCGATGAAAGCGATTCAATCTTTCTTTGAACACAAGTAATGCCACGAGATCCCATCGTGAGGTAACTGTGATTTAATATAAGGAAGCAACCATGCCAGATACCATCGTTCTCCAAACACCTCCCTAACGTTGTCCTTCCAACCCATATCATATGTAAAGTCTTTCTTATTGCTCTCATTACCCACGACGCCTCTGAGAATCAAATTAAAGTGATAAATGCACAACACTGCGGTATACAAGGTACCCACTGCTGACACGACGTACAGCAACAGGTAGAACTGATCGATGGAGCTGTCAAAGCCGAAGAAGAAGATCGCTACGGGAAAGACCATCTTAATGACAGACATCGGGAACTCGAAGGACGTTCTGGTCCAGATGAAGAAACTGCCGTAGGAGAAGGCGTACGCCGCGCCGAGGAACAAGTACCACAGAAACATGACGAAGTATCTGTGATTGTGATGGCCCACGCAGCACCCAGTGAACACGCAGTGGTGATCCCGCTTGAGGATGCAGGTGTCGCAGGTATTGCAGTGCCAGGATCGAGGCGGCGACAGGCACTCGCAGGTGGCGCACAGCCTCCACCCGTCCGCAACTGTCGCCGTGCTTACAGGCACTATGCGCCTCTTGGTGCTGGTGTCGCACAGCACCGTATACGTGAAGTTACCTACGATGTTAAACATGATGAAATTACCGAGGACAAAGTGAAGGGTGTACGGCAGAATGTCGTCCTTGTACAACGCCGGTAACACTATCCACAGTCCGAACCAGTACATGAGAGGCACTATCACCAATACAAAGATCATTGACAGTAGATCGCCGATAGTACGTGGCCATATCTTTTTTCGGATTATCATTTCGTTGTGCATTCGTTTAATTTGTAAGATTAATCTGGAGAGTACGTAACGTGATATCTTTACGCCATTTTGAAAACCTCACATCTGTGCAGTGTGAGTGTTGAATAACATTTTTCTCCGCGCGTGCGCAGCATAAATAATAATAGTGATGTTTATTATCAATCTTTTCATATTAATTCTTTTTTTGTAAACTTTTATGTGTATATATATATATATATATATATATATATATATATATATAATCGTAACGTATACAAAAGTAAATTTTATACAAATAGATTTTTTACACAAAGATTGAAATACATTATAAATACAAATTAAATCGAGTTTATTTAAAATCTTAATTATTAAATTTTTTAGGTCAATACGCTTTTTTACTAGAAGTTTCGTTAATAAAAATTTCTTAAATTAATAAATAAAACTGATTATTATTAATTTTACATTTATTTATTGAATGTTTATAATTATTAAAATAATATGCATTAAAAATCAATAGAATTAGAATAGTATATATTAATCATTACGACAAATAATAATTTGTTATTATTGTAGATAGTTTCTTGAACTCTTTGATCTTTCTCTTATTTCATTATAGTTATATTGGTTATACTGTGGAAGCTTCTATTATAAAGGCCCCTCCGTCTGTACCAGCGAGCCCGCGAACGCCCACCACCTTTGCCTCTTTGATTAAAATCTAAAATAAATAATTTTTAATTTAATATGTATACACTCTACACGCATACACACACACACACACACACACACACACACACATTGTAACCATCATTTTCTATTATATCTATTCTTTTATAATTTTGTCAAATATTACGAAAAATTATTTATATAAAAGAATTAAATAGAATTAGAATTTGATTCCATACATAGATTGAACTTCAAATAATCTTGACAAGTGATCTTAATTAAAATAAATGATCAATTTTTTTCTTCTCGAAACCTTTTAATTTTTATATGAAATATTTTCTGATTATAATTATAATGACAACTAGTAATAATCGACTGTATTAATTAAAATTAAACACTCTGCATATCTAAATGCATTAAAAAATTGATAATTTATATACTTTTTATTTGCGGTCCCTGAAACTTTGGTAATAACTCCTGTTGCTGCTGTTGTTGTAACTGCTGTTGTTGTAACTGCTGTTGTTGTAACTGCTGTTGTTGCAGTTCCTGTTGTTGTTTCTGCTGAAACAATTGTTGCAGCAGTAATATCTGTTGTTCTTGTACCTCTTGCTGTTTCTGCTGTATTAGCAGCAGCTGCTGCACTAAATTGTAAATATCGGACATGAACTTTTCCTTATTTTTTAACAGCATTGTTCCTGTTTCCTCAGACACTTCTTCTGTAAAAATTAAAAAAAAAAAAAAAAAAAAAATATATATATATATATATATATTTATAAATACATATATAAATACATACATCTACAGGATGTTTCAAGAGAAATAGCCAGTATACTAGGATATAATTGTACACATCATTTATAACTCATCATTTTAAACAAATAATATGAGGCATTTAAAGTGTTCCAGCTATTATTTTTAAAAGTATGCATTATAGAGAAAAAGTTTAAATAACAAATATTCCATTTGAAGAGGAAATAAGATAGGGATATTAGTTTGACTTTGGATGTAGATGTCAAAATCGCGTAAAGATGTAGTTTTTTTAAAATGAAATAATTTTAATTCTTTATAAAATCAATTTCTCACCATTTTTGGTATTCTATCTTTATAACATTTTATATCAAATATTGCGAGGAATCAATTTTATTAAAAAATTTAGAGTGGTTCCACTTTAGAGTGGTTTAAAGAAAACTTAAATTAAATTGACCTTTAAATGATTTAAAAAATGATCTAAATTTAATTTCAAGTTTATGAACTTTTTTTCCTCAAAATCTTTTGTGTGAAATATTTTCTTGTTCAGATAATCAGATAATCATAGTTCAGTAATAGTTGACTATATTAATTAAAATAAAACACTCTGTATATTTAAATATATTAAAAAACTGACATAGTAACTAAAAACTGACGAAGTAACATACTTTCTAATTGCGGTTCCTGAACTGTTTGTTGTAGCTCCTGTTCTTGCGACTCTTGTTGTTGTTGTTCCTGTTGAATCAATTGCTGCAGAAGTTGTTGCATCAGTAACTGTTGCTCATGTTGTAGTTTTTGATGTTGGTACTGCTGATGCAGAAATTGGTGCACTAAATTATACATATTGGATTCAGACTCTTCTTCACCTTCTAGAGGCATTCTCTCTGCTTATTTAGATAATTCTTCTGTAAAAATATAAGAAATATATAAATATGTATATATAAATACATATACAGGTGTATGTATTTAAGATTATATTCAAGAGAAATGATCAGTATTTTAGGACATAATTATAAACAAATAAGCTTATAGAAGATGAAGTATTTAAAATATTACAAGTTATTATCTCTAGAAATATTTATAGCAAAAAATATTTTTAAATATATTGTTTGAAGATAAAAAGAAGATAGCAATGTATATTAATCTTCAATGTAGATGCCAAGATTATATAAAGATCAATTTAGTTTTTTTTTAATAAAACAAACTTTTTTAAATGGAATAAATTTTTTTATATAAATTTGAATTTCTTATCATTTTTGATACCTTCTTTATAACTTTTTGTGCCAAATATTGTGAGGAATTTATATTAAAAAATGTGGTTCTATTTAAAAAAAAAAAAAAAAGAAAATTGATCTTGACATCTACAACCAAGATTAATATTCCCATATTTCCTTCAAATATCTCTTATCTAAAACATTTTTGGTATAATGAGAACTTTCAGAGATAATTGTCCTATTCTGGACAGTTGTAAAATTATAGTATGTTCAATGTTAAGAACAAAAATATTTATTATCTTATGTTCATAGAAAGTTTGTATTTAATGTTAATACAAGTTCTATGATATAATTACATTAAAAACTTAATAAATTTTTTAATATCCCATTATCGACGAGACGAATTGATTGTATTTTGGCTGTTAGTGAAAAATAAATATAGACTAAAGAAACTAAAGAAAAAACCACATCTCTTTCATTCGAGTTGCAAAATACATTGAAATCGTGATAAATGCAAAATAAATCGTGATAAATGCAAAATACATTGAAATCGTGATAACAATGATAAAATATTTGAAAATTTATTGTGAGCTCAAAATTTTTTAAATATAATTGTATTATAGAACTCGGTTCTATTAACAATAATAAACGTTTTCATTGTTAAAATTATAAACATGCTACATCTTTATAACCATTCCGAATTGCACACATTTATATAAATATTTTTAAATAATAAATATTATAATAAATATTTTTTTAAAATTGTTCTATTGTAATATTATTATTAATAAAGATGAGAAATATAATTTAAGATATTATTTAGTACTTACGTGATACTTTATTCCTTCGAAGACTTCTTCGAAACTTGTTATCTGATCGCCTGATTTCGCTAGTCTTGCACAGTCCCGCAAATCAGTGCTGCCAGAAGAAAGACGCGGCTTACACGCACACGATTGGCGAATCACGTATTTGCACGTACACACATGTGTTGCCTAGAGCGCTCTCTGCACATATACGTGATTCTCTAATTGTGTGCGTGTAGCCGCGTCTTTCTGGCAGCGCCAATGACAAATGGGCTTGTAACCCGGTAATCATCGACAAAAGACTATCAAGAAATAATGAAACAAAACTCGGAAATATGATCCCAGTAGATTATCTCGACGTATATGTGCTAACACACATTCGATGCTCATGTGAATACAAACCCATTAAATGCATTCACGAGGAACACTTGTTTCTGGTTGCTTCAAGAAACATGTCATCGGTTGTATAATTTTGTTTTATATTTTACCGCCTGCGCATAACATCTGCGCAGAACGATCAGTATTTGTCTCACTTTATCGGTGACCCCTCTTATGGGAATTGACATGTTATCAACAGAAAACGGGTGATAACATTCAACGTTGTCTGAAGAAATAAGTTTTCTTGCCATAAGATTAATTGCCGTTTGACTCTCGACTCTATCGTGGAAAAAATGACAGTTGTAAGTTGAACATTTTTGCAGAAAGTAGCGTTATCTTTTGCGTTCGAGGTTATGTATATTTTGTTTCAATCATATAAATAAAAAATACATGTCTTTATAAGATATCAACAAAAAACTTTAGAAATTAATAATTTTGTATAATTTTGTATAATACGATAAAATAGAAGTTTTAACGAAATTATACGTGTGGAACAAATTAATAAATACTTCAATAATTCTCTTTATCATAAAGATAGAATTGCAGAATAAATATTTTATGCAAGATGTTTCACGTTTTATTTTTTATGTACATTTTACATTTAAAATATGAGTTATTTCTTTGTTAGACATTCTATTGATGTGATGATTGAACCAAATTACATGTGACAATTGATTATCAAATTATTTGGACATTTTTGTTTTTAGGAATTGAAAAAGTTTCTCTATGAATTATTAAGCAATGTTGAAGGACTGCATAGCATATTAATTACAGACAGAGATGGAGTACCCGTCATATCTGTAGCCGATGAAAAAGCACCAGAATTAGCTACAAGAGCTAGTTTCTTATCTACTTTTGGAATGGCTACAGACCAGGGAAGTAAATTAGGTCTTGGAAAGAACAAAACTATTATATGCATGTATAGTAATTACCAGGTAAATATATAATTGTGTGTGTGTGTGTGTGTGTGTGTGTGTGTATTAGTTATATAAATAATTATACTAATATATAAATCTTGCTTGAAAGAAAGAATTAAGAAATAAAAAATAATAATTATTAGATATACTAGCAGAAATAATTTATATTATTTGGTAAAATAATGTACATAAAATCCTTAATTCAATAAATTTAATATAATTAATAATTAGAAATAAATATATAAAGATACTTATAGTTAAATTATAATTAATTTTTATAAACAATTTTTTGTTATATGCTTCTTTCATTATTATTGGAATATATTTGCAATTTGAAAAATTTGAGAATTCTTTTTATCAATTTCAGGTAATCCAGATGAATAAGTTACCATTGGTTGTTAGTTTTATTGCTAGTCACAATTGCAATACTGGTCACATATTATCATTGGAAAATAAGATTGATCCTATTCTATGTAGTTTAAAAAATGCAGTAGTAGAAGCCTGATGGTTACCTGTTGTCCATTATGGGTGATAAATATTGAGTATGGATCTCAAATCTGTGGACTGTTGCAAATATCAGTTATTAATATTGATCTTAAGCAATTTTTCAAGGATAACAGGTCTGTTTTGTTTCTATGCTTATGATTTTTTATAATGCTGGAAAGTATATTTTATGTGTGTGAAAAAGAAAGATATAAAAGATTATTGTAATATTTTAAAGTTAAATATTACATTACAGAAAAATTCTTTCCAAGGAATTTAGAGATATTTCTAAAGTTAAAATGTTAATTTATATCCAGAGAAAAAATATTTTATGCATACTTTTTTTTTATAAAATTATATTACTTGCCATAACTTATAATTTATAACTTATAATTTATTACATTAAATTGCTTAATAAGAAATAATCAAGTAAAACTCTATTAGGATGAACTTTTCGAAAATTGACAAATATAAAAAAATAAGTTAAAAAAAATCTTTATATAAAACTATAAGAAATTTTAAATATGGCAGTAATGTACAAGTTTTGATATCCTTCACATCTTTTATAAAGTCATTCCAATGTAATAATGAACTAAATAATTGAACTTAATAAGTAAAAAAATATTAATATCTAAGAATATTTGGATAATTCATTTTGTATCAATAAAAGTATTTATTTAACTTAAATTGTGTAGTTAATGATTACAAGTAATCAAATTGAGTTTAAGATTTGTCACATTTGTGCAATCTAAACATAAAAAGAATGGAGATTATTATTAATCCTTAGACAGACTAACATTATGATGGGTATTGGATCCATTTGTATCACTTTTACTATTCGAATAAAGATGCGCAAATTATATTTTTGATTAAAGTAAAAATATAGGCAAAGTATAAATAGATATTTATTCTATTTCATACAAACTATTTCTTTTGTTCGTTACATGACATAAGATATGTGCATTAGATATATATATATATATATATATATATATATATATATATATTGCATTTTCGCCTGTATTTATTGTGTTGTATTGAAAAAAATTTGGTATCTACTACAGACAAAAGTTAAATTATCGATAACATTGATTTTTGTAACTAAATATATGTGTATATATTTATATACCTTTGTCATTAGAAGAAATACATATAAGCAAAATTATGCAAGGAAAATTTGCTATAAAGGATAAACTAAAGGCTTGCCCTCAAGACCATGAAGAATGTTCTGTGCTGCAATCGTCGACATATCGTTGCGGGTCTTGATCGTTGCGCTGCCCAAATGTGGTATAATTTCTGCAATTAGACCAAAACTAATAATATATAATATACTATATGTGTATAAGTAACAGATAGTATAACAATTATATAATTTTGTATCATATTATATCGAGTGCGAAATTATAGAGTCCTTAAAAACTTAGTTTCTTGAATTTTCAAATAATAGTATCTTAGTATTTTAATCCTCTTTAGTAATTTAAGCTATTATATTTTAACGATAATAATAATCGATTGTTAAAATAAACAAAGAGAAAGAATAAAATAATTATACCGGCATTAGGTAGTTTAAGAAGTTCATGATACGGTGGTAGCGGTTCCGGATCAGTAACATCCAGCCCGGCAGCAAATATCTTCTTATTACGGAGAGCTCTTACAAGCGAATCGGTATTGACAATTTGACCGCGAGCTATATTCACGAAGATGGATGTTTTTTTCATTTTATCAAAAACACTGTCGTCGAAAAGTCCTTTCGTTTCATTAGTTAAAGGAGCCGCAACCACAAGGTAATCACTCTGCTTCAAAAGATCGTCGAAAGATACAAATATTGCTCCAAGTTCATCACCTGTCAACATGTTATATTATGTATTTTAAAATGTCAAAGATTTTTCTAAATAACATTTTTATATATTTATATTCTTGAACAAACAGCAAAAGATATTTTTATTGAACAATTAACTAATTTTTACAATTAGGCGACTTATTATTAAAAATCTGTTTAATTTACAATGAGCGTCACACATGGTAATATCTTTCCTAAATATATCTTTATATAAATTTTTTAAGATATATAGACAGAATGGATAAAGAATATAAAAAGTAATTGTTATAATTAAAGTTCTTGTAAATATCGAATAAAAAATATAGATATGTGAGAAAAACATTTAATTGATTGATAAGTGCTGTGAAATGCGTGTGTTTGTATACATATGTACCTGCTTTCTTGCGCGAATGTCCGGTATAGATAAAGCGTTTCACTTCGAAGCCCACTAATCGTTTAACGATCGCTTGACCAATATTTCCCAAACCAAAGATGCCGACTGTCGAGCCTCGTAATTCCTGTCCCAACAACCATTGCGGTCCAGGTTTTACTTGATTCCTTGATTAGATATTACTTATTAGCACATATGTTACATGATGACTTTTAGCACATATGTTACATGATGACTTTTACTTCTACAGAAAATATATTTGAAAGTACAATTTTAAAGTTTTAAATTGATTAATAAATCTTAAATTTTGTTTCGTACTTTTCAGAGAGGTTTCTCGATATCAATTATAAATTATAAAATGAGAATATATTTAATCACTGTTCTAACGCCGCGCGACCCTCATAGGCGCGTTTCGCAGCAGATAACATTAAAAATATAGCTATCTCCGCAACTGCAGCCGACACCACCTTCGGCGTGTGTCCGATCTTGATTCCTCTTCTTTTAATTTCAGGGACATCTAAGTGTTCGTAACCGGCTGACATTGTCGATACGACTTTCAAGTTTGGACCTGAAAAATGTTGGAGAGATTCAAATTTCCTTTAGTTTCTAGCTCGATAAAATCTCGATTTAATTATTCTAATTTGCTTTTCTTTCGATGATGATTAATCCGTATTAGTCTATGTTCAGGATTCTGGAAATTGCTATTAAACTTCATTTAAATATTAGTTAAATTTTTTAATTGATTTTCGTCTAGTGTGGAAATTTAATTAATATATTTAAAAATAGTTGCATAAGCAAATTAAATAAAAAATAAAATTTGAATTTACCGGCAACATCTAGGAACTCGCTATCAACTTTATGATGGCCGACAAGAAAGACAGCATCATGTCCAGGTAGAACTTTTAGTACTTGTTCCCGAGCATTTTCAACACCTGGCATAATAGTGAGATTGCATCTATATATCAATAAAAATAACGATAAATGATGCATATTGCACACCAATACATTTAGAATGTTATATATACAGGGTTTTCCATTTTAAATTTGCTATCGAAATATCTCATAAAGTATAAAAAATACGAAAAAATGTTTCAGACAAAAGTTGTATGGTTTCGAAGGGAACGTAAGTTGGTGCCTGTTTGCCAGTTTGTTAGTTTGACCTTGGAGAGTCACCTGAATATCTCGTGAAGGTCACCTCCAACTTTTTAAATGGGACACCTTATACACTTTTGCATATTTTTGTAACTCATCTCGAGAGCTTTCCAAAACACTTATTTCTTAATTTTACATGAATCGTAAAATATCTTGTAAAATATTCATTTTTCGATTATCTCACCTTAATATTTTTATGTACAAAATAATAAGAAGAATCAATTATGTGTTTTCTTTACACCAATTGATTCCTCATATTATTTTGTACGTAATAGATTTAAGATAAACTAATCGAAAAATGAATATTTTACAAGATATTTTATGGTTTTTGTAAAATTAAGAATTGATTTCAAGCCTCATAACTCGGAAAGTACTTAATGAAAACTAACTTAATTATAATGTTTTGGAAAGCTCTCGAGATGAGCTACAAGAATATGCAAAAGAGTATCCCATTTAAAAAGTTGATGGAGGTGACCTTCACGTGATCTTCAAGTGACTCTTAAAACTAATGACATCATCTTATATCCCCCTCGAAACCATACCACATTTGTCTGAAACATTTTTTCGTATCTTTTAGACTTTACGAGAAATTTCGATGGCAAAATTAAAATGGAACACCTTGTATAATAGTCTCTAAATATATAATTATATATATAGTTTATTTATATAGTTAATATAAATAAATTCTATACCCAATAAGCAAAATGTAAGCAGTATGTCGACAGACTGGCAACAGATTTGATCAAACCATGTCAGCAGAATGACATCTACTGCGTCCTCATTCTGCTTCTAATCTGCTAGCAGAACCTGCTCACAGAATCGGATATCAGATTGTCGGCAGAAACTGAGCAGGATCTGCTATCAATGCTAACATGACTTGATGTCAGACTGTTAGCAGAAACCGAACAGAATCTGCGGATGCAACCTGATGGCAAATGGACAGCAGAAATTTCACAAGATTTGCACTTTTATTAATATTATATAAATGCAACAAAATTGATTATTACAGGTGCTAAATAACAATATTATCGGCAAGTTAATTAGAATTTTCTTATAGAAAATGACATATATGTAATATGTTATATCATAGTTATATTTCATATAGCGAAGGACTAATTTCAATTCTATTTAATTAAATTAATAATAAAGTAAATGTAACTTGTAAAACTTGAGATGTAATTTATTTAGAATTAAATTCTTGCTTTATGCCTCAAATAGCCAGTGCATGAATAATTTTCCATATATTATATTGATTCCAATCAGTTTAATATTCTGAATTCTGACTCTCATTTGCTTGTATCAGATATCAGAAATTAAAGTGAAAAATTAAAATGATGATTACTATATTTTTAGTCTTTTATTCATATTCGTGACTTTATATATATTTCTGACAGAAATTCAATTACGAGAAAGTACAGCTCACGTAGCGGTAAGTGAAAGAACTATCGAATCATGCAAATCCTGTTCCATTTCTGCCATCAATCTGCTATCAGAGATTGTATGCGCAGATCCTGTTCGATTTTTGCCGACAATCTGTTGTCAAATTGCATCGCACAGATCCTGTCCAATTTCTGCCACCAATCTGCCACTAAGTTATGCCGGCAGAATCTGTTCGATTTTTGCTGCCAATCTGGTAACTGATTATGTTAACAAGCTTTGTTATATTTCTGTTGACATTCTGGCGACATCACATGATATATCAGAACCTGCATCGATTCTGTAATCTTTCTGTCGACAACAATTTCTAACAGATTCCCTGACAAGATCTGCTTTAGCAGACTTGGCTATTGGGGTAAGTATGTAAATAATATAAATATATTCTACAAATATATTATATAAATAATATTATACACATTATATATTTTTTTTGTATAAATTTGAACTTACTTTGGTCGAAGCAAATCGATGCCGGTTGTCGGCGTTGCATAGCTAGTAACCAAAACACGCGGTAGATCCAGTGAACTCATCGCGCTATTTATATTATAAAATTATAGAAACAATATAAATTCGAAATTAAGGTCACACATATACAAGGATGTTATAAGGATATATGAGAATAATTTTGTCGGCGATGAAATAGCACGACGATTAATGTAAAGAATTTTCTTGCGAGTATTTTTAGCGAAAATTAAATTTACCGAAATTGCTACTTCAATAGCTGTATTAAATGTGGCGAACAGCTATTTCTGGCATACATTTATCGTTTCACCACAGATGCATAACTGATTCCGATAATTTCACGTTCTTATTATCTTATTGTCATAAAAGCAATCTGAATGAATCAGCATAAACCGGTTTATGAAGGTAACGCGATAAGATATCTTGTATTCCACATACACATTGAATATATTTTTATTTATTTGCATATACGTTAAATTAATCGCAAATAGTATGTAAGCTCTATCTGCATATAAAAGTACTGATGATTTCAAACACAATTGAAATTTAAAAAAAGAAAATTTGCGTACATTTATTTCAATATTAAATATTGCGCGAGATATTTGGCGCTATTTATTTATGACGTTTTTAAATGATCGGGTTTAATCGTTCCAGGGATAGTTTAATAAACGTTATTGACTAATTAGAACCATTCTTCTGAAGAATGTAACCATATATTTTTCAGAAGAATGGCTAACGTCTAAACTACTCCGGAGAGATTAATTTATTAACCTAAATATAATCACGTGAAACTTGTGTAATCTTCGACTTAATATATAGGAATGCGATAAAAGTTATCAGACGTATCGATTGACATCAAATTTTTCAATCTCCTAATCAAGAATTCGAAAAATTAAAAACGTTATTAAAAGATTTATCAAGTAAGATTGGCCATCGAATAGGGAATTTCTTGAATTCATGATAGAAGCTTGAAAAATTCTATGTAATAGCCAATCGGTACATCTGATAACTTTTATCGCATTTTTATGTATTAAGTCATCGAAGATTACATAAAGTTTCACGTGTTTATATATAGGCTGCGGTCGGGAAGACGTTCTGGATGCTTTAAAACATCATTCTATCTTTATTCTACATTCCATGAAAATAAAGATAGAATGATGTTTCAGAGCATATTCATAGTGCAGTCTTGACCGCAGCCATAATACGTAATACGTATATCCACGTCGCCAATTGGTCAATTCAAAATAGGACTCTCTGATTAATTAAGCTCATTAGCTCATTAGCTCATTAAGCTCATTACCCAGTAAGCAAAAAATTATTATCACAACGTTATTATAATGATATTCACTAACATAGTAATGTTGTCAAGTATGTAGTTTTTAACATTGTATGCAACATCATTATGAACAAACTTTGACACCGATTGAGATTTCGGTAATGTTGAAATAACATTGTCTATGTTGTTACAAGTAATATTGTATTAATGTTGTTTTAACATTCTGATAATGTTTCTCATAAAATTAAATCAATAATAAAATAACATTAGTATCAACATCTACATAACTTAATATTAATATCACAATAATATTAATTCTAACATTAATTTAAAGCTTTTAGAACTTTCACTGAAAAATCTAAGAACGAATATTTAGACATATCTCTAAAAATAACTTACAAGATATTATAACACACTGGAAGAAACACTTTCCTCTTCTTTCGTGCAGCACTATAACTCGCAAAAACACTGTAACTTACTTATTATGCGAGATCGTGTAAGAGCACGTGGCACGCTGGCAGCCGGCACGAGTATTCCGAAGTCAAAGAACAAAAAAATAAATCATACGCATACGCAATAGAGTGTATACGCATATCCCACCAAATGTTGCTTTTCAGTAACGTATTAGGTGTCGTCATGCCCGTCATGAGAAAGAAATTAAGATATATTATGAAAAAAAATAGTCTAAAGATATGTATGAAATAAATAATACGACCTTTAAAAACAACGCGAATGAACTTGTAACTGGATGTTATATTTTTATTTATAATAAACATATTAAATATATAATAACATATAAAATATATAATAATAACATATATAATATTAAATATATAATAAATAATTAAATATATAATAACATATAAAAAACATTTTGACTAATGTTTCTAAAATATTTTATTAATATTTTAAGAGGGATGTTATTAAATAACATTTTTAAAATATTTATAAAACATAAATTAAAATATTTTTTAAATGTTATTAATATGTTTATTAGTATATTTTTAAAATATTTATAAAACATTATATCATAATGTTTAGAAAATTTATATTAAATCAACATTTTAGAATGTTGATCAAATGTTTCTTGCTTATTGGGTAGCTTAGACAAGAAACGTAGAGTAGTAAACGAGTAGTAAACATCGTAGGTTTTATGCAAAACATCATTTTTAAACATCGAAAATAAAAATCAATTGTTACTGATCAACAATATTAGGATGGACTTTCTGAAAACTGACAGATATAAAAAAATAAGTTTAAAAAAATCTTTATATGAAACTATAAGAAACCTTAAATATGGCAATAATGTGCAATTTTTGATATCCTATACATCTTTTATAAAGTCATTCCAATGTTATAATGAATTAAATAATTGAACTTTATAAGCAAAAGAATATTAATATTTAAGAATATTTGGATAATTTTGTACCAATAAAAGTATTTATTTAACCTAATAGTGTAGTTAATGATTATAAGTAATCAAATTGAGTTTAAGATTTGTCACATTTGTGCAATCTAAACATAAGAATCATGAAGATTATTATTATAATCCTTAGATGACAGACTAATATTATGATTGATATTGAATCTATTTGTATATCACTTTTATTTTCTGAATAAAGATGCACAAGTTATTTTTGATTAAAGAAAAAAATATAGACAGTATAAATAGATATTTGTTCTATTTCACACAATCTATTTCTTTTGTTCGTTACATGAGTATAAGATATGTGCTTTAGATATATATTATATATATATTGCATTTTCGCCTGTATTTATTGTGTTCTATTGGAAAAAATCTGGTATCTGCTAGAGACAAAAGTTAAATTATCTATAACATTAATTTTTTTAATTAAATATATGTATATATTTATAACTAGAAAAAGAAATATATATAGAAGGAAAATTATGTTAGAAAAATTTGTTATAAAGAATAAACTAAAGGCTTGCCCTCAAGACCATTAAGAATATTCTGTGCTGCAATCGTCGACATATCGTTGCGGGTCTTGGTCGTTGCGCTGCCCAAATGTGGTGTAATTTCTGCAATTAGACCAAAACTAATAATATATAATATACTATGTGTGTATAAGTAACAGATAGTATAACAATTATATAATTTTGTATCATATTATATCGAATGCGAAATTATAGAGTCCTTAAAAACTTAGTTTCTTGAATTTTCAAATAATATTTTAGTATTTTAGTCCTCTTTAGTAATTTAAGCTATTATATTTTAACGATAATAATAATCGATTGTTAAAATAAACAAAGACAAAGAATAAAGTAATTATACCGGCATTAGGTAGTTTAAGAAGTTCATGATACGGTGGTAGCGGTTCCGGATCAGTAACATCCAGCCCGGCAGCAAATATCTTCTTATTACGGAGAGCTCTTACAAGCGAATCGGTATTGACAATTTGACCGCGAGCTATATTCACGAAGATGGATGTTTTTTTCATTTTATCAAAAACACTGTCGTCGAAAAGTCCTTTCGTTTCATTAGTTAAAGGAGCCGCAACCACAAAGTAATCACTCTGCTTCAAAAGATCGTCGAAAGATACAAATATTGCTCCAAGTTCATCACCTGTCAACATGTTATATCATGTATTTTAAAATGTCAAAGATTTTTCTAAATAACATTCTTATATATTTATAGTCTTGAACAAACAGCAAAAGATATTTTTATTGAACAATTAATTAATTTTTACAATTAGGCGATTTATTATTAAAAATCTGTTTAATTTACAATGACCATCACACATGATAATATCTTTCCTGAATATATCTTTATATAAATTTTTTAAGATATATAGATAGAATGGATAAAGAATATAAAAAGTAATTGTTATAATTGAAGTTCTTGTAAATATCGGATAAAAAATATAGATATGTGAGAAAAACATTTAATTGATTGATAACTGTCTATGAAATGCGTGTGTTTGTGTACATATGTACCTGCTTTTTTGCGCGAATGTCCGGTATAGATAAAGCGTTCCACTTCGAAGGCCAATAATCGTTTAACGATCGCTTGACCAATATTTCCCAAACCAAAGATGCCGACTGTCGAGCCTCGTAATTCCTGTCCCAATAGCCATTGCGGTCCAGATTTTACTTGATTCCTTGATTAGATATTACTTATTAGCACATACGTTACATGACTTTTACTTCTACAGAAAATATATTTGAAAGTACAATTTTAAAGTTTTAAATTGATTAATAAATCTTAAATTTTGTTTCGTACTTTTCAGAGAAGTTTCTCGATATCAATTATAATATGAAATGAGAAAATATTTAATCACTGTTCTAGCGCCGCGCGACCCTCATAGGCGTGTTTCGCAGCAGATAACATTAAAAGTATAGCTATTTCCGCAACTGCAGCCGACGCCACCTTCGGTGTGTGCCCGATCTTGATTCCTCTTCTTTTAATTTCAGGGACATTTAAGTGATCGTAACCGGCTGACATTGTCGATACGACTTTCAAGTTTGGACCTGAAAAATGTTGGAGAGATTCAAATTTTTTTTAGTTTCTAGCTCGATAAAATCTCGGTTTAATTATTCTAATTTGCATTTCTTTCGATGATGATTAATCCGTATTAGTCTATGTTCAGAATTCTGGAAATTGCTATTAAACTTCATTTAAATATTAGTTAAATTTCTTAATTGATTTTCGTTTAGTGTGGAAATTTAATTAATATCTTTAAAAATAGTTGCATAAGCAAATTAAATAAAAAATAAAATTTGAATTTACCTGCAACATCCAGGAACTCGCTATCAACTTTATGATGGCCGACGAGAAAGACAGCATCATGTCCAGGTAGAGCTTTTAGTACTTGTTCCCGAGTATTTTCAACACCTGGCATAATAGTGAGATTGCATCTATATATCAATAAAAATAACGATAAATGATGCATATTGCACACCAATACATTTAGAATGTTATATATACATATGTATATATATATATATATATACATATATATATATATATATATATATATACACAGGGTGTTCCATTTTAAATTTGCTATCGAAATATCTCATAAAGCATAAAAAATACGAAAAAATGTTTCAGACAAAAGTTGTATGGTTTCGAAGGGGACGTAAGTTGGTGCCTGTTTGTCAGTTTGTTAGTTTGACCTTGGAGAGTCACCTGAATATCTCGTGAAGGTCACCTCCAACTTTTTAAATGGGACACCTTATACGCTTTTGCATATTTTTGTAACTCATCTCGAGAACTTTCCAAAACACTTATTTCTTAATTTTACATGAATCGTAAAATATCTTGTAAAATATTCATTTTTCGATTATCTCACCTTAATATTTTTATGTACAAAATAATAAGAAGAATCAATTATGTGTTTTCTTTACACCAATTGATTCCTCATATTATTTTGTACGTAATAGATTTAAGATAAACTAATCGAAAAATGAATATTTTACAAGATATTTTATGGTTTTTGTAAAATTAAGAATTGATTCAAGCCTCATAACTCGGAAAGTAATTAATGAAAACTAACTTAATTATAATGTTTTGGAAAGCTCTCGAGATGAGCTACAAGAATATGCAAAAGGGTATCCCATTTAAAAAGTTGGTGGAGGTGACCTTCACGTGACCTTCAAGTGATTTTTCAAACTAATGACACCATCTTATATCCCCCTCGAAACCATACCACATTTGTCTGAAACATTTTTTCGTATCTTTTAGACTTTACGAGAAATTTCGATGGCAAAATTAAAATGGAACACTTTGTATAATAGTCTCTAAATATATAACTATATATATAGTTTATTTATATAGTTAATATAAATAAATTCTATAAGTATGTAAATAATATAAATATATTCTACAAATATATTATATAAATAATATTATACACATTATATATTTTTTGTATAAATTTGAGCTTACTTTGGTTGAAGCAAATCGATGCCGATTGTCGGCGTTGCATAGCTAGTAACCAAAACACTCGGTAGACCCAGTGAACTCATCACGCTATTTATATTATAAAATTATAGAAACGATATAAATTCGAAATTAAGGTCACACATACAAGGAACGATATAAATTCGAAATTAAGATCACACATATACAAGGATGTTATAAGGATATACGAGAATAATTTTGTCGGCGATAAAATAGCACGACGATTAATGTAAAAAATTTTCTTGCGAGTATTTTTAGCGAAAATTAAATTCACCGAAGTTACTACTTCAATAGCTGTATTAAATGTGGCGAACAGCTATTTCTGGCATACATATATCCTTTCCACAGATGCATAACTGGTTCCGATAATTTCACGTTCTTATTATCTTATTGTCATAAAAGCAATCTGAATGAATCAGCATAAACCGGTTTATAAAGGTAACGCAATAAAATATCTTGTATTCCACATACACATTAAATATATCTTTATTTATTTGCATATACGTTAAATTAATCGCAAATAGTACGTAAGCTCTATCTGCATATAAAAGTACTGATGATTTCAAACACAATTGAAATTTAAAAAAAGAAAATTTGCGTACATTTATTTCAATATTAAATATTGCGCGAGATATTTGGCGCTATTTATTTATGACGTTTTTAAATGGTCGGGTTTAATCGTTCCAGGGATAGTTTAATAAACGTTATTGACCAATTACAACCATTCTTCTGAAGAATGTAACCATATATTCTTCAGAAGAATGGCTAACGTCTAAACTACTCCGGAGAGATTAATTTATTAACCTAAATATAATCACGTGAAACTTGTGTAATCTTCGACTTAATATATAGGAATGCGATAAAAGTTATCAGACGTATCGATTGACATCAAATTTTTCAATCTCCTAATCAAGAATTCGAAAAATTAAAAACGTTATTAAAAGATTTATCAAATATCGATTAGCCATCGAATAGGGAATTTCTTGAATTCATGATAGAAGTTTGAAAAATTCTATGCAATAGCCAATCGGTACATCCGATAACTTTTATCGCATTTCTATGTATTAAGTCATCGAAGATTACATAAAGTTTCACGTGTTTTATATAGGCTGCGGTCGGGAAGACGTTCTGGATGCTTTGAAACATCATTCTATCTTTATTCTACATTCCATGAAAATAAAGATAGAATGATGTTTCAGAGCATTCATAGTGCAGTCTTGACCGCAGCCATAATACGTAATACGTATATCCACGTCGCCAATTGGTCAATTCAAAATAGGACTCTCTGATTAATTAAGCTCATTAGCTCATTAGCTCATTAAGCTCATTAACTTAGACAAGAAACGTAAAGTAGTAAACGAGTAGTAAACATCGTAGGTTTTATGTAAAACATCATTTTTAAACATCGAAAATAAAAATCAATTGTTACGGATCAACAATATTAGGATGAACTTTCTGAAAACTGACAGATATAAAAAAATAAGTTTAAAAAAATCTTTATATGAACTATAAGAAACCTTAAATATGGCAGTAATGTGCAATTTTTGATATCCTATACATCTTTTATAAAGTCATTCCAATGTTATAATGAATTAAATAATTGAACTTTATAAGCAAAAGAATATTAATATTTTAGAATATTTGGATAATTTTGTACCAATAAAAGTATTTATTTAACCTAATAGTAGTTAATGATCATAAGTAATCAAATTGAGTTTAAGATTTGTCACATTTGTGCAATCTAAACATAAGAATCATGAAGATTATTATTATAATCCTTAGATGACAAACTAATATTATGATTGATATTGGATCTATTTGTATATCACTTTTATTTTCTAAATAAAGATGCACAAGTTATTTGTGATTAAAGAAAAAAATATAGACAGAGTATAAATAGATATTTGTTCTATTTCACACAATCTATTTCTTTTGTTCGTTACATGAGTATAAGATATGTGCTTTAGATATATATTATATATATATTGCATTTTCGCCTGTATTTATTGTGTTCTATTGGAAAAAATCTGGTATCTACTAGAGACAAAAGTTAAATTATCTATAACATTAATTTTTTAAATTAAATATATGTATATATTTATATATATTTATAACTAGAAAAAGAAATATATATAGAAAGAAAATTATGTTAGGAAAATTTGTTATAAAGAATAAACTAAAGGCTTGCCCTCAAGACCGTTAAGAATATTCTGTGCTGCAATCGTCGACATATCGTTGCGGGTCTTGATCGTTGCACTGCCAAAATGTGGTATAATTTCTGCAATTAGATCAAAACTAATAATATATAATATACTATATGTGTATAAGTAATAGATAATATAAGAATTATATAATTTTGTATCATATATTATATCGACTGCGAAATTATAGAGTCCTTAAAAACTTAGTTTCCTGAATTTCCAAATAATATCTTAGTATTTTAGTCCTCTTTAGTAATTTAAGCTGTTATATTTTAACGATAATAATAATCGATTGTTAAAATAAACAAAGAGAAAGAATAAAATAATATACCAGCATTAGGTAACTTAAGAAGTTCATGATCCGGTGATAGCGGTTCTGGATCAGTAACATCCAGTCCGGCAGCAAATATCTTCTTATTACGAAGAGCTCTTACAAGTGAATCGGTATTGACAATTTGACCGCGAGCTATATTTACGAAGATCGATGTTTTTTTCATTTTATCAAAAACACTGTCGTCGAAAAGTCCTTTGGTTTCATTAGTTAGAGGAGCCGCAACCACGAGATAATCACTCTGCTTCAAAAGATCGTCGAAAGATACAAATGTTGCCCCAAGTTCATCACCTGTAAACATGTTATATTATGTTATATTATGTATTTTAAAATGTCAAAGATTTTTCTAAATAAAGCCCCTTGCACAATGCTAGGCAACAGGTAATATGAACAGAAATAGTATTTATTCTCTGCTCTTATTGGCGAATATTTTCTATTCCGCGATTTATTGGTGAATAGTTTCTATTCCTTATTTATTCTTTATCTTATAAATTGATATTCTTGAACAAACAACAAAAGAGATTTTTATTCAACAATTAACTAATTTTTAAAATTAGGCGATTTATTATTAAAAATCTTTTTAATTTACATATACGATGACCGTCACACATGATAATCCTGAATATATTTTTATATAAATCTTTTAAGACATGATATAGATTGATAAAGAATAATTGTTATAATTGAAGTTCTTGTAAGTATCGGATAAAAAATACAGATATTGAGACATTTAATTGATTGACAACTGCCTGTAAAATGCATGTGTGTGTGTGTTTACATATGTACCTTCTTTTTTGCGCGAATGGCCGGTATAGATAAAGCGCTCCACTTCGAAGGCCACTAATCGTTTAACGATTGTTTGACCAATATGTCCCAAACCAAAGATGCCAACTGTCGAGCCTCGTAACTCCTGCCCCAAGCGATTTGTCCACAGCCATTGCGGTCCGCGTTTTACTTGATTCCTTGATTAGATTATTACTTATTAGCACATATGTTACATGACTTTTACTTCTACAGAAAATATATTTGAAAGTACAATTTTTAAATAAAGTACAAGTTTTAAATTGATTAATAAATCTTAAATTTTGTTTCGTACTTTTCAGAGAGATTTCTCAGTATGAATTATAAATTATAATATAAAATGAGAAAATATTTAATCACTGTTCCAGCAACGTGCGACCCTCATAGGCGCGTCTCGCAGCGGATAACATTAAAAGTATAGCTATCTCCGCAACTGCAGCCGACAGCACCATCGGCGTGTGCCCGATCTTGATTCCTCTCCTTTTAATTTCAGGGACATCTAAGTGATCGTAACCGGATGACATTGTCGATACGACTTTCAAGTTTGGACCTAAAAAATATTGGAGAGATTCAAATTTCCGTTAGTTTTTAGCTCGATAAAATCGCGATTTAATTATTCTAATTTGCTTTTCCTTCAATGATGATTAATCCGTATTAGTCTATGTCCAGGATTCCAGAAATTGTCATTAAACTTCATTTAAATATTAGTTAAATTTGTTAATTGATTTTTGTTTTGTGTGGAAATTTATGAATAATAAATAATGAATAATTTAAAAATAGTGCATAAGCAAATTAAATAAAAAATAAAATTTGAACTTACCGGCAACATCCAGGAACTCGCTGTCAACTTTATTAGGGCCGACAAGAAAGACAGCATCGTGTCCAGGTAGAGCTTTTAATACTTGTTCCCGAGCATTTACAACAGCTGGCATAATAGTGAGATTGCATCTATATATCAATAAAAATAACGATAAATGATGCATATTGCACACCAATACATTTAGAATGTTATATATACATATGTATATATATGTATATATATATATATATATATATATATATATATATATATATACAGGGTTTTCCATTTTAAATTTGATATCGAAATATCTCATAAAGTATAAAAAATACGAAAAAATGTTTCAGACAAAAGTTGTATGGTTTCGAAGGGGACATAAGTTGGTGCCTGTTTGCCAGTTTGTTAGTTTGATCTTGAAGAGTCACCTGAATATCTCGTGAAGGTCACCTCCAACTTTTTAAATAGGACACCTTATACGCTTTTGCATATTTTTGTAACTCATCCCGAGAGTTTTCCAAAACACTTATTTCTTAATTTTACATGAATCGTAAAATATCTTGTAAAATATTCATTTTTCGATTATCTCACCTTAATATTTTTATGTACAAAATAATAAGAAGAATCAATTATGTGTTTTCTTTACACCAATTGATTCCTCCTATTATTTTGTACGTAATAATATTAAGGTAAACTAATCGAAAAATGAATATTTTACAAGATATTTTATGGTTTTTGTAAAATTAAGAATTGATTTCAAGCCTCATAACTCGGAAAGTACTTAATGAAAACTAACTTAATTATAATGTTTTGGAAAGCTCTCGAGATACAAGAATATGCAAAAGAGTATCCCATTTAAAAAGTTGGTGGAGGTGACCTTCACGTGACTCTTCAAACTAATGACACCATCTTATATCCCCCTCTAAACCATACCACATTTGTCTGAAACATTATTTCGTATCTTTTAGACTTTACAAGATATTTCGATGGCAAAATTAAAATGGAATACCTTGTATAATAGTCTCTAAATATATAATTATATATATAGTTTATTTATATAGTTAATATAAATAAATTCTATAAGTATGTAAATAATATAAATATATTCTATAAATATATTATATAAATAATATTATACACATTATATACTTTTTTTGTATAAATTTGAACTTACTTTGGTCGAAGTAAA